GGAAAAACAAAAATGCCCATCAGGAAATTTAAAGAGACAAAGAGGGTGTTGTTGGAAAAATAACAAGATGGTATAAGTACCTTGTTTGGGGATATCTTTGGCATATCTTTGGGGTAATGTTCGTTTTACCAGTTTTCCAGGGCTGCATATCTGGCCTCATCGCAGTAATAATGTCTGGAGATCAGAGGAGTCATGCAATGGGCGTCGGCCATCATCTATCGAACGGCAAAAACATATCCAAACATGACGCTCCGGAAGAAAAGTGTTCGCTAGATTCTCTAATATGCACGGTACGGCTAAGTTACACCACACCACACCACACCATCTGTCTGTACCCAAAGAATTTGTTCCGATCCACGTTCTCGGGCTGAGTTTGCGGGGCCCACACCAAATTATTATCAGCATACCTAAACCTAGCTGATGATGCACCGTAGGCATGTACTCTATCAGATCTGAAGATTCGGTACATGATACATACCGGAGAAAGGGCACACGCCTCCAAAACCCCTACCCTAGCCAAGTAGTGGGTGTGGGTGTGTGGTACGTGAGAGAGACGTAAGGCCTATGTGTGTATCTGTTAAAAATATCTCCGTAAACCAAGATCCACCCACCCATGATCCCCCATTCCCCCTACTTTGTTTATCCGCTGCGACCAAACAAACCGGGGAGAGGTCCTAGCTGCAAAAAAAGCTTCGAGATCGGTCTGAACTGAAAGATCGTTAAAATATCGGAGGGTCCCTCCCTTCCCCTAGCAAGTCATGCAGGTCATTCAAGTAACAAGAGTCATGAGCTGAGATATGAAGCTACTGCTGTATCATGTAGATGTAGGTATTCTCCCCGCATTACCGCTTGAGCTCTCCTGCGCTGCGTACCGGACATCATACATAGCTGCTGTCTCTCCTCTCCACGGTGGATCGTGCTCTGTACTCCCCCCAAGTTCCAACTGTTAGCTGCACAGCCGGACTGGTTCCCGTTATCGACGATAGAGTGTCTGTATAGATAATATCAGAGCGGCCAGAGATGTGTTTAGCGTTAGCTCGTAGGCAAACCCCTGACCCTACTCTACTTTCCGGGTATGTAGTTTAAAAAAAATAAGTCACTTGGGCAGCTCCAGGCACGGACCAACGTCTGACACTTGCTTGCAGTGATCGTGAGGATATAAGAAACATCAGGAAAAAGTCCATTTGCGATCGCGCGTATCTCATATGGCGCACACACCGCTACTCCCAGAGGCACTGTACATATGTACAGTAGGCATATCATTGCCTGAGATGACTGGGTGTTATAGGTTCGTATCTGATGTACGCCGGTAGCGGGGTCATTGGAGCACCCGACCCCACAATTACTCCGCAGTTGGCAGGACGCAGAACGATGTATGCGGTGCCGGTAGTAGTAGTAGTGGCCATTATGGTGGTGGTGGTGTTGTGATTGATGGTGATGATGGTAACGTTGAAAGGTGGAGAGAGGTGGAGGTTGTGTTGCGATCCTACGATTCAATCTTGAACGTCACTAGTACTCCGAGGCAAGCAGTAACAGATCAAAAAAGAAAGAAATTCAACGATCTAAAAAATGAAAAAAAAGAAGGTTTAATTTGTATTTAGTAACCATGCTGTAGATTGACACTCTAGACTTCCAAGCCTTATCTGCCGCCCTCAGGCCAGAACGTCCAATTCCCCCCTTGCCCCTCGTAACACAACGTTTGTGAAAAAAATTTCGTTTTCGCTTTTTTATTTTTTTTGTTTTGTTTCGAGTGTGCGAGATGTGTGGTCGAGATCTGGAACCAATCACCGCATCCACATCTCGACTGCTTCCCGTCATTCGTGCTGTTTAGCGATTACCGATATATCCCACACCTCACACCTTCCACGTCTCCAATCAATTCCCCGAGAATCTCTCTCTGCAGCCTGCTGCATGTTTCACTTTTGCGTTGATTGGTCGCCCAAGTCGCTCTTCTCCAATGGACGGACGGACGGGGGTTTGGTGGTTAGTGGAATGGAAAAAGGTTGGTTGACCCCCCCCCAAAAAAAAAACTAAACTGCTGCGCTGCGCTGCATGGAAACTTTTTTTCGCTCGCAGATGCACATGAACGAGCGATTGGGTACTGTAATTGTAGATGTTTGTTTGCTTTGAAAGTATGAGAAGGCCCTTCGGGAAACAATCAGCCTTGCTGCTGCTGCGGCGCTGGGTAAATGTCATTTCCGACGTATCTCATGTTTGTTTCGGGTTGCGTTGGTTGGTTTCGTTGTTTAGTTGGTTTGTGGAGTTGGTGGGTTGGGGTTGCATCCGTTGGTTGGCCAGGGACGAACGACAGCACAGGAACAGAGAGTCTAGGTCATATCATGTCACGTCATCCATTATTACTTCTTTTTTTGGTGGAAATCTATTTTTCATTTTTCATTTTTCTTTATTTTTTCTTTTACTTGTAGTTTTAGGCATGCTAACACATATATAACTCAAAACTTTTGTGAAAAGCATGAACGTCAGCAGCAGAATACTCATCTCGATCCCATACACCACTAGATTTAAACAAAATCCGATTGCTGCTCATCGTAGGCGCGGATATCGCCCTACCTATCATGCAGTCAAGCCAAATCAGTTGCAATTCAACCACTAGAGAAAGTAGGTAGAGTAATGTACCATGGCCCTCGTAGAAACGGATCCAATCCAATGCGTGCATCAGATTTGGAACTGGCAATCCTTTCTTTTCTTTCCCCTTCGAATCTATCCTTCGCCACCGGTACCCCCCCCAGTCTCCTTTGAAGCGGGCGTCATCCGTTTCGAGAAGCGCAGCATGTGTAGTCTAGTGTTTTTTACAATTGAACGCGGCAAATTTCAACGAAGATCTGATTGAAGGGCACGTCTCTCCCTGCTCGCTGATGACGAAGACGATGATGAAATTTACCCCGGAGTATCAGTCCAGCTGTATACTAATGTAGGCGCAAGTAGATATATCCAGCTAGAAAAAAAAAAAGGGACAACTAGAAAAAAGAAATAATAAAATAAAAAAAATAATAAAGGGTTATGCCAAAAAACAAAAAACGGGCCCGCGCCCGTTAACGTTCTCCTGAGTATCTACTCCTATCTAGACTAATCTAGAAACGCCCAGCCTATCACAGTGTGGGGGTGATGAGAGTGCCAGTGGAGGACGCCGAAGCCTGAAGGTTTCTTTCTACATACGACGGAGGACAGAGAAGGGAGAGGGAGTACAAATTTCTGACATGCACACTGCAACTCTGAGACTTGACCCGAATTGAAATTAAGTACCGAGTCAGTTCAGTTCAGTCCGGTCCGGCTCATCCCTTTGGATATAGGACTGTACTCTACAGTAGCACTTTAGATATGTAGGCCATCACCAAGTGGGGAACAATTTGGGTGGGTGTGTGGTGAGCGGGAAAAAGAAAAGCATCGTGAATTATTTGATGAATCTCTGCTGATCTGGGGTAGAAAGGTTAGGTACGGACCGAAGGGTAGCTTGCTTCATCCTACGATGGTTTTACCAAGGTGTGAATCTACGGTAGACGTTGCTTCTACTGCTAGCTTCTTGATCTAGAGATTGATCTTGAATCTTGATGGCTTGCGCCATTGTGCGGGCAGTGGGTGCGATTCCAATAGTTTGAGGTCGGTTCCCTGGGTGGTGAACGGTTGGGCATGAAATCTACAGACCGGTGCCAGAGGTGAAATTCTGGGGTTGTACCTACTTACGTGCTGGTGGGTTGGGTTTTGGTTGTGATGGTGGGTGGTGGGTGGTACGGTACGAGAACTATTGAGCATGTAGAAAGTTCGATGAACAGACGTCAACCTACCGGGGTACCTACGTAGGTAGTGTAGGGGTACACTAGGGGACGCGAGAACTGGAGGGGGGTGTCGTGTGGGTAAGGGTCTGTCTGGTCTGGGGGATGGGCAGGGGGAGGGAGGCATAGTTACAGGCATACAGCTACAGAGTAGGAAGGAAGAAGGAATTGCCATGCGGAAGTGATGGGGTCAGTGGGTTGGAGTGGGTTGGATTGAGTTAGATCGAAAAAGCCCATTGCACTCCGGGATGCACATGATGGATGCTCAATCCATGAAAAGAGACACAATTCCATGTTGCGCTGTTCGAAAGGGCCGCGAAAGTAGAAAATGAGTGGGCGAGTGGGCGAATGGAGGATTTGACAGACGGGGTGCAGCCGAGGGAAGACAAGCCTAGACAAAACACACACAAGGCTGGCTCTGCCCTGGGGAACTCAACAGTACGGTAGGGGAGTGTAGGCCGACTAAGGAGAAGGTTGAAGGCTAGGCGTAACGAGGTACCACTCGTACCAGTTGCACTATTCTGTTCTCTCTCTATACTGCTACTACTGCTACTACTGCTACCCCAAGAAAAAAGAGTAACTGGCTACCGTATGGTCACTGCTCAGCGAGTGCTCACCTCCTGTCGCTCGTACCTGCTATCTAAGCTAAAGAGTGACAAGTTTCTCTGGAGTACATACCGACAGAGGCTCTAAGCAAGAGAGCACAAAAGTCACAGTTTAATTTTTCGATCGGGTGAAGATTGGTCGAGTGATCCCGTTGAATCGGAGATTCGTTGAGCCCTGGTGCGCGCTTGTGTGTCGCTGCAGGGCATCGCTGGCCCTCTATTCGGGTGTAGGTACATGTGTTGGAGGATGCAGCAGCAAGCAGGCAAAACAGGCTCGTAATGTACTCTACTAACGTGATCTCTCTGGTCTAACTAAGCTGGGGCTCTGCTCAATTTTTTTTTTTTTTTTCGTTTTCGTTGTTTTTTTCCCTCTTTGTCGCGCTCTACTGACTATGTAGGTCTAAGGTACCACTACTCTGCTCTTCTCTATGTACAGGTCGCGAGTAGTTCTCTAGCTACCCACTCTAGCTTCTCCCTATGCGTATGTGTGTTTACCGTTTTCCTTTTGGGCGTTTAGTTTGCTTCTGGCTTCCGCATGTGTGTTTTCAGTGTAGCTATTTCGACTGTGTTCCCCTTTTTTTGGTTCTACCTCCAAATATAGGCCTCACAGCGCCTTCTGCTCTCCGGTTTCAGGAAACTCTGGAACAGTAAGGGGAAAAAATCCCATCTGGCGGCCGCCGCCGCAGCAGCAATTCTTGCAGCAGCCAGCAGCAAGCAGCAGCAGCATCTCCTCATGCTGCTTCTGCTTCTGCTTCTGCTTCTGCTGCCGCTGGCCAGACAAATCAAGGAAGAGGCAGCCTAGAAGGCAAACTGAGCAATAGTGATAGAGCGGCAGTAGAGAGAAAGCAGTAGGAAGGATGGCTGATCGTTGGACAAATCGATCGACTGATGACAGGCGGTCCATAGTAATTCCGGTGGCCCCGCCAACCAGGCACGACCATATGTTTAGACGCATTAGCGGCGACTGACTCTGGGTCTCTGTCTATTATGGATACCACACTCCCCCCTTACCCCAGCATACGGCTCTTTCTCACTCGCTCACATCTTTAGAAACCCCTGCCTGGTAAACTTGTAAGCGCAACCCCCCCCATCATGCAATTGCGTGTCAACACATCATGGGCTCAATCGTCTTGACCTACGAGCTTCGATCTGAGGTGTTTGACCTTGACTAGAGTACCTACCTCTTCCTTTTTCCTTCCTTCTCTTCCTTCTGATATAAACACCCATGTCATGCATTCGGAATATGCATAACTGCTTAAAGAATACTCTGCATATACGCCGAGGGTGAGAGAAAAGAAAGATCAGAACGGAAAGCAAAAAAAAAAAGCCTCTAAGGAAAACGGAGAAACAGTAAGAGGGAAAAAAAAATTATACACGATATCCAAGAATTCAACACTCGATCTCTACCTACCACACCTCTTCAATAATGAAAAGTCTTGTAACTGAGCAGCCAGATGGTATAAAGATTCATAACTACCAGCTCGTTTCCACTCTCTTCACAATATCATCATCAGCATCATTACTCTTTAAGGCACTCATCCGAGCCATTCTTTTAGTAGTAGTCTTTGTTCTTAGTCTTATGTCTTGGAAGGCACTACTGCAGCCCTTGATCACTGCCTCGACCACGCCGAATTCCTACCTGTCTGCACCACTAGCGTACTTTGTCTCATTTCTGATCTGCTGTATTATCTTATTCCCGTTGGTATGTTATTGTTGGGTTGCTATTATGTGGCCATATTTCAAACCATTATAGGAGTGTGTGACGGCCAGTGCGCTAACTCGTATATATATATATTCACACAGGCTCCTCAGTTTTCAGTTTTAGCATCAATCATGGGTTCCTTTAGCATGTTCACCCGGATGGCCATGGGCCTGAAGAAGGTAGGCTCTTTCAAAAAGTCAAAAGTCATTCAGCAGCAGGATGCACAAGTTTCACAGGTTTTACTCCCCAGCCCCAATACCAACAACAACCCTTCAGGAAAACTAACTGCTGTCCCCTTTTTGTTTTGAAGACGAAAGGAAAGGTTGTTGATGTAGTCCAAAAGAAATTCTCTTCAGAACCCTCATCGTCCGCAGCCGCCGCCGCCGCGGCACCCGCGCCGGCGCCATCGAAGGATGTCGCTGCCGTCGAGCCAGCTGCACCAGTTGTAGCTGTTGTAGCTGAAGCCCCAGTGGTCGAAGCACCCAAGGCTGTCGAACAGGTCCCTACCCAGGTGGTCGAACCAGTTGTTGCAGCTCCCATTGTTGTTGCAGAGCCCAAGGTCGAAGAGGCCGTGGTTGCTGTGGAGACTATCGTGGCCGCCCCCGTCCCTGAGCTTATCGTTGCCCCCACAGCAGAGATTGTTGAGGAGGTTTCAGTCGTTGAGCCCGTGGTCGAGACCGTCGTCGTGCCCGAAGTTGTTGAGGAGGTCGTGGCCGAGGCCATCGCCGCCCCCGTCCTTGTTTCAGTTCCCGTCGTCGAGGCTGCCGTTCCTGAGGAAGTCGTTGCTGCCATCGTTGCCCCTGTAGTCGAAGAGGTCTCAATCCCAGAGAAGGAAGTCCTCGAAGTCGTCTCAGTTCCTGAAATCAAGTCCACCGAAGAAGAGGTTGTCGAACAGGTCTCAATCCCAGAGAAGGAAGTCCTCGCCGTCACCGAACAGGAAGAATGTATCCCAATGTCCACTCAGCTCGCCATTTTCCCCACCTTCGCCATGTTTGCCATGCCAGAGCCAGAGGTTTTCGAGGCTGCCCCTGTTGTCGAATCGTCCAAGGTCATTGAGGAAGTTGATGCACCCGTCACCGAAACCGTCACTGTCACCGAACCCGAGGTTATTGTCGCTGCTCCCGTCATCGAGAAAGAGATTATCGAAGAGATTGCCGTTGTCGCCGAGCCCGTTGTCGAGACCGTCACTGTTGCCGAGCCCGAGATCGTCGAAGAGGTCGCTGCCGAGGTCGAAGAGGTTGTCGAAGTCGCTGCTGCCCCAGTCGAGGAAGTCATTGAAGTCGCCGCCCCCGTCGAAGAGGTCGTTGAAGTCGCTGCCCCAGTTGAGGAAGTCGCTGCCCCCGTCGAGGAGGTTGTCGAGGCCGTCTCTGTTCCCGAACCCGTCGTTGCTGCTGTTGCCGAGATCGCTGTTTCCGAGCCAGAGGAAGTCGTAGAGGCTTCCATCCCTGAGCCTGCCGAAATCGAAATGGTTGTCGAAGAGGTCGCTGTCGCCGAACCCGAAGTTGTCGAGATCGAGCTCCCGGTTGAGGAAGAGGTCATTGTCGCCGCCGCCCCCGTCGAGGAGGAGGAGATCGTTGCCGCTGTCGAGGTTGCTGAAGTCGAATCCGTTGCCGCTGTCGAGAAGGTAAGCATCATAATGCAGCTAATAATCCCTACTATTGCAACCCAAAACGGTAATGCTAATAATTGCCTCCTCCAGATCGAAATTGTCCACACTCCATTCAATGCCGCCATGCTCCCCCGCTTCATGACCCAGACATACCCCGTCGAGGAGGTTGCCGCCGTCGCCGAGCCAATTGCTATCGAATCCTGCACTGCCCCTGCCGAGTTCGCCGAGCCAATGCCCGTCAAGCAGCTCTGCTCTTGCCCCTCTGTCGAATCTTTGAACTCATCGTACTGTGACTCCAACGCCGCCTCCAACTCTGTAGATGATGCCTCCGACAATGAGTCAAATACCGAGGAGATCATGTCGCCTACCACCGAATCTGAGACCGAGACCATCACCTTCGAGGCCCCCGAGAGACCTGTTTCTTGCCCACCCATGGGAATCAGCCAGAAGTACAGCATCCGCGAGATCCGCGACCCCCGCCTCCAGAAGAACATCCGCGCCTGGGCCCAGCAGTCCGAGGCCATGGGAATGACCGAGGAGACCTCCGCCAGCAACAGCTCCGACTCTGAGAGCCACTCCGAGGAGGGCGACTACGACTACGAGCGCAGCCCACCTCTCAGCCCAATCAGCAGTGCCGGCGGTAACGACGGCGAGTGGGGCGGTGAGCTCAAGGTCGAGAGCTTGGACAAGATGGAGACCGTTGTCGAGGTTGAGGCCGTCGAGGAGATTGAGGCCGCCGTCGAGGAGGTTGAGGCTGTCGAGGCTGTCGAGGAGAAGGCCACCATCGAGCTTGTTGTACCTGAGGTCGTCAAGACTGAGGTTCCCGAGCTTGTCATGGAGGTCGCCGAGAAGACCGAGCTGTTTGTTCCCGCCGCACCCGTCGAGATCGAAGTCCGAGAAGTCGAGATCGCCGTCCCCGAGCTCCCAGCTGTCATCGTCGCCGAGAAGGCCGAGGAGATCCCCACCATTGAGGAGATCATCGCCGCCCCGGTTGTCGAGAAGGTCGAGGAGGTCATCGCAATCCAGGAGATCGTTGAGCCTACACCTGTCGAGAAGTCAATTGTTGTCATCGAGGAGGTCCCAGTACCTGTCGAGGAGGCACCAGTAGAAGTCCAGGAGGCCGAGCAGACACTGGAGGTTGTTGAGGCCGTCAAGCCAAAGAACACCCAGGTGCAGAAGAAGAAGAAGAAGCTCTCCAAGAAGGAGCGTCTGAGCAAGGGCGGAAAGAAGAAGGGCGGAAAGAAATAGATTCGATCCGCTCTCTCCTCTTACCGTTTTGTCTATTCTTTTTGCGATTCAGTTGTTTACGTTCGTATGTTCCGTCTGCCACAGCCCTTTCGGTAACACCTATTTACATTCTCATTTGTTTCTGATTTTTTGCGCGGCTTTTTAACATTCATGTCCTTACTTTATATTTTCACGCCCCATTTCTAACGTTATATGTTTTATCGCCTTTTTTTTACATTGTTTTTTTATAAGATTGATGGGTTTGGTGCACAAGGGTCTATGATACTTCTTTTGAGAAGATGTTTAGTAGTTGATGGGTTTTTTTCTCTCTTTCTGATAGTGTTGTGAGGGTTCGGTGGGAGGGGTATGGGTTATTTTTCACTTTTTATTTTTCGCGTGTTCAATTTTTCTCTCATTTTATTCGGTAAAAAGAAAAAAGGAGTCCTTATTTTTCTGCTGTTATGCAATTCACGAATATAGTTATATTCCAATCAAAAAAATTACTGTTACAATTATCTTTTTGTTTGCGCCTATTTGATTGTGTTTGTTTTGCGATTTGAGACTCGAGTTTGTGAATAGTCTTTTAATTGAACTCAACTGAATTGTCTAAATAATTGAACCAAATTGAACTTGCAAAATACTTAGCTGAAAGCTGACAGCCGGCGGGGGGAAAGGAAGAACGAAAGAACAATGGACTCCATGGCGCAACACCACACGTATGTTACGGCGGTACCTATGTCTACCGGCACGAACCCCGCCGTCGTCGGGTTTCAAAAGCGCGCAGTTTACGAGTGGCCAGCTAGACATGGCAAGCCTCCGTCCGATGCCGCTCAATTATCAGCCGTCAGCTGCCGGGGGGGAGCCTAGCCTAGCCCTCGCTCGCTCGCTTGCCAGTACTCCAGGAAGCATCTCCTCGTACATACATAGAGTAATCGTCCCTCGTTATGGTATGGTCTGGTATGATGGTATGGATGATGGGTATGGAATGGTGGGCTAGAGTTAGTGGCCGTGACAGACTTAATTGACATCGTCTACTCTACACATTTCACACAGACAGAAGAAACAACATCAATTCCTCATCACCACCCCCCCGTAGTGCAATTGTGGACTTGACCTGACTCTCGCTCGTATAACTAGAGTAACTGCCTGCGTGCTTAGCTTGTGGACCGATTGTTACCCTTGCAGCCCATTGGTGTGTCGTGTATCATGTACCTGCCGGTACACCAGAACAGCACTAGTCTGCCTGCCTAGCTACAGAAAGTAGCCACATGACATGAAATCTCGGAGGTTTTTCTTTTCCTCTGCGACCTGAGGTCTCGCGAGTTAGGAGAAGGAACGCCGATTTTTATCCTCCCTCCCCCCCGATTGATCGGGGTTTTTTCCTTTTGTTTTTGATTCGCCTCCCTCTCCTGGTGGTGAGTGCAGTATATATATATATTCTGGTTGGTTCCCACTTGGATGCGTGCATTCGTGCATTCGTGGGGTGCATCATACATCACAGCAGTGTCCGTCCCCGCAGCGCAGAGGAGTGACGGAGCGAAGGAGAGGGTGGATTTACAGACAGACAGACGTGACGGAGCGAGCCAGGGCGAGACAGACAGAGACTGAGAGACAAAAGGGCCCGCTGCACCGCATCGCACTCGATCGCTTCGACGCCCCGCCCCACACCGCTTGTATGTAGAGTACCTGGCATTACCACCTGGGCTCGGGGTACATCACTCATGGGCCGACGGTAGCCTCCGAGGTTCCGAGGGTGGGCGGTGGTGGGCGGACAGAATGAATAATGGGGAATCATATGACTTGACTGCTTATGTATGTTAAGTTCATAGAGAGGTTCTGGGTTACTGATCAGGTAGAGTTGGCAGAGTACTTACATGCTCTTCTTGCCTACATATGTCGACCTGGAGTGAGCTCAGACCGTCTCTCCCAACCTCTTACTTCTTCTTTCTTCTTCCACACCCCATCCCGATCCTCCCCCCCACAATTCCAAACTGGCTGTAGAAGGAGCTCACGGGCTTTGGAACTGGGCTCTCCCCTCAGCCTGATCCCCTGAAACCTATGCTTGCCGTGGTTAAATCTTCAACATCACCGACCCTGCCTAAGGAAACTGGCGAACATAACGAATAGCTACTCTGCCCCGCACAACCGAATTTCAATGTCAGTGCAAGTTCCCCTAGCTAGCTGATGCAGATACGCAAACCGACGGCATACGCAGGCACACTGCCTAGATACAGCAATTAGAATTAGAATTGGAATTAGGATTAGAATTAGAATTAGAAATGTGTACCGCCCATGGGCCATCAAAGGGAAAAAAACACTCGAAAGAAGAGGAGGAGGCCATAGAACAAAAGAAAGAAAGGGGAGATCACGTAAAGTACTCCTCATTCGGCGATCACGGAATGGGGGTGGGAGGGAAACCTGCGATCTCCGTGCTTAAATTCTGCCACGGACAGCTCCCTCCGGATGTTGCCGGCCGGGGGTTTCGTTTGTTGTGTTGTCTCACCCCATTCTTCTTAGTGCCCGTTGCCGGCCGTCGGTCGGGCGACAACCGCGCGCCGCGCCCCCGTAATTAGGGCTAGTTTGCCGAAATGGAAAACGAACATCAGCAAACAATCATGGGATGTCACTCGTTTGATTGGGAGCTTCAACCGAAAATTCGGGGTGGTGACATTGAAGTGGAGGATGCGGTGTGTGTGTATTCCAAAAAGCGGGTGTTGGACTAGTGTTGTCTTGGAGTCGAAACAGAGAAATAATGGGGAAAGTATAATAAAACCGGGGAAACTTGTGAGGCCGAGTTTCTCGGTACTGGGCTCTTGAGTGTTATACGTTTATCGGCTCGAAAGTCTTCTATGAATTGACTCACGAGAGAATAAAAAAGACTTAGCAGGTACGCGTAAGCACTAGGGATCATGAATAAACTTCACCCGGGCCTAATCATTATCCCGAGTGAGTTTTGGTGCAGATAATTTCATAGAGGAAAAATCAAATTTGTCAAACACTATAGTTTGAGCTAAGAACCCATGAACCATGGTCAGCTTGATGATTCCTAGTCAGCGGACGCAGTTTATCATACCCCGCACAGGTGTAGAGACGAAGCTATGTTTTCCCTTTTTCTGATCATCAAGAAAATATGTGAATCATATATCATGACGCAGCTAGCTGTTTAGTGATATATCGATATCTAATTCAAAAATAATTAGTGCTCATCGCGGAATCTCAAGTCATTTTGATGTAAGTGCAAGCCGAGATAAAACAAGCATTATTCTACCTTTAGCGAATTCAGCGAGTTTTCAATGCCGAAAAGTATAACTGGTGGGAGCAGATTTCAAAACCTGTGTAGGTTTGAATAGGGCCTAATGATCTCCACTGCAACTATGCCGATATCTACCCTTAACATGAAACCTAAGCTTCTAGCTGCTGCACAGCCCCCTGCCGGTCTTCACTCCGCTAGTATCATAGCTTGATTAGTTTTTAGTTTTTGAGATATCAAGTTCTAAACTCACCCATGAAAGTCTAACAGCCGCTTTTCGGAATCTTTTTTCTCGAACCTGGGGTTTGATTCTCGTTTCTTAACGCTCACCCAGGATATGATCGTAACGACTTGACGCCCCCCCGGGAATAACGAACATCCAGATCGAAATCTCGGGAAACACGATAACTGCGCTTTCCCTTGAGAACGGCAACTACCCTGGACCGGTGAGACTGATTTGTGCGGGGAAAGTATTGTTACAGAGTACAATTATAGTCTGAGCTATGAAGTTATTATTCCCTTCAAAGAGAGAAAACCCTTGGCTTTGCTAAGCCTGGGTCATTTATGCTCCTCTTGATTCGTTACGGTATATCTGTAATGCATATTGGTGACATGAAATGCTGTATTAAACTCAAAAGCTAGGACGGAAAATTTGCCCCAAAAGCTAAACTGTAAGTTCAGCTGGTCATACTCTGTGCTTCCTGTGGGTTTCTCGTGTAACTGGCCTTCTATTATCCCCCCCCCCCCCCCCCCAACTTAATTCTTTTCCCTTTCTCTCTACGATCCCGTTTGCCTCCGAGATTCGCAATATCCAGGACGCTGTCTAGCTGCAGACTAGCATTATATATCCTCGGTTACTAACATGAAAACCAGTCATTGGCATTAAACCGTAGATCATGACGATTAATCAATGCATACGTCAACAAAAATAAAACAAGACAATTCATGGTCGGGAAGAATCTCTCGATTTCGGCGCTCAAGAGTCCAACTACCTGTATCGTGCATAATCCTAGGAATACCAGGATTATTCAAGTTAAGGAAAAACTCCGTACGCGTAGATGCATATACATACGTACATATACGGCGTCCCCTTGATCCTTCTCTCGCGCGTAACGCTGGGGTATCCCTATTCGGCAAATTAGTGTTCACTCGCTCGGGAAATAAGAAACAACCGATCGCGAACGAGCAAGGTGTAAAATATATGGGGTAGTTACTCAGCTTTGTGGGTACAAGGAAGAACACAAGTAAGGCTGCGTAAACCGCATGTACACCGGCTATGTGTGAGGGTACCCGGATTGAGTTTATATTAAAAGTCGGCAATGTGCGTTATATCTCTGGAGATAAACCTTATCTGTTATAATGATATATAAGCATCTACACACATGTAGATATTTCATCCCACAATAATCAAAGATAGGCAGGTATCTCCTTCTAAATGCAAGACTGTGCATTCCCCTCGTGTAGAATTCCGAACGGCTTCGAAGTCTAGACTATTGAAATGGAATTGGGAAAAAGACTCGTCAGAGCACGTGCCCAGAGCCATTTTACAGCGATCTGAAACCTGGAAGGTCATGTCTCGAGGGTGAGGCATGCACGAGAGAGGCGTGGGGGGGGGGGGGGAGGACCACGCGTCATAGGGTATTTGCACCAGGCTGATTCAAGAGAAGACTTCCGTGCCGAAGTGAAGATTCCTTCAGCTTCAACAATAGGAAACATTTGAGTACATATTTCTCAATAATCACCAGAATCATGCCGATCACGTGCAAGGATTCGCTTTGTCGTCCACACAAACCCATGCCTGCAGATCGTCTCGGAGACCCGGCAAGTAATCCAGTGCCCAGAGTTTCAAGGGAACTATCTCCATAGGTTGGAAACTTGGCGCTATTTAGTAATGGCCTTTACGGGGGTTTCTAGGCTCTTCTTAAGCTTACCGCAATCACCAATTTGTCCGCTCAATATCCGGTCTGTTCAGGGTAGTAAGCTTTGTGCATCTAAAGTATCCCAAGTCTTGGCTGAGATTATAACAAAAAGATACACTCAGTACTCAGTAGGCCTCTGCTATGCATGTACCTATCTCCAGCTGTGGCTTTTGAACGAACCAACGGGAAAATAATTTTCCGGCATCACGCAACGCCAAGTCCTGCAAACCCATCACTGCCTCGACTACTATAAATGGTAGTAAAGATAAACGATGATCAGCCTTATAAGCATTATCAACCCAACAATTGAATTATAGGGAGCAGTCTTTCCCGGAAAGATAACATAGCCGTCCTGAAAGTTTAAATAGGCAAAACAGTGTCTCTCCCATGATATTCGTCGTGAATAGTGGAACTCGGGTATCAACTTGCCTCAGACTGGAGTACCCCATAATCTCATTTGCATCTGTTGAGAAGCACTTCACGTTGTCAAATCTGCTTGATAATTCAAACGTGGATATCGTAAATTACCATTTGAATTGAAAAAGTAATTATTTGGCACGAACATTCGGCTCAATGAGACAAATATGGGTTATCAAGTGGAAGTACAACACCCGCCAAGCTCTTCTTGGCCCTAATCCAACCCTTTCCGTCCGGCGGCCCGTTGTTTTCCAACGGGTGTGGCGTCGGATAAGTCCCTATCTCAGTATGGTCGAAGTAATTTGGATCCCTTTACAGGTTATCTTGTCTACTCCACGTCACGCACTAGAGTAAGATAACTCCAATTGAGAATGATAAATGCTTTGATAACCGTCACTGAAACCCAAAATGGGTTTCCAGGACTCGTGGGGATCGGATGAATTTCATAGCTGTATTTGCGATTAGCCACATACACATATACACATGTTTAGGGAAGCTACGCTTGCACTTGCACTTATCTGTAGCCCAGCCAGTCACGGCGTATGGGATGGGATGTGCACCATTCCTGAAGATGTTTACAGGTCTGACACGTGCCCCATTATCAACCACGTAGTTGCAAAAGGCTGTCTGAGAAGTCCGTGGGGTCGAGGTGCCATGTCGTCGTTGAGATTCTACTCAAATAGTATTGCTTTTGTGGTGTAACTACCACCTGGAGGCGGGCATGGTAGGAGGTAGATAGGCAAGTTGGTATATACCATGTGCTGTATGTGTGCGTGATCCGCCGTGACAAACAAACGTTAATATCGTTCGTGTAATATCTCACAGAACGTCTGTGGATGGATCTAGTTGCGAATAGTTAACTGGGGTATATACATACCTGTGCATACCTAGCAATCAAAGGGATGAGCAAGAGGACGCACGCATGCCCTCCACACACCCCAGATCATCAAGTTCCGCTATATCAAACTTCGCCAATTGCAAGTTTACTCGGTGCGAGAGATTAGGTCCTCGCAGCTGTACAGGGTGTAGGGATATGCAGCTGTGTTACATAGGATTTGGTTTGTCGGGACTACAGGGGGGTACGTCGCGTAAGTCCTAGCGTCGTCTGGGATACGCCAGATTCGGTCCATCCCAGCCATCTGGCCCAGGGTTCAGCGAATAGCAGATTGTTCCGGTACCAATGTTTACAGATAATGAGCCCGATGCGTTCGCGTGGCTGCTAAACCCGTAGGTCATGTAAGCTGGGACTCCGCCACTTCCATCTCCTTTTACTCCCTAAGGAAATTCAAAATCAAAGCCTCAACATACTCAGCACTTACTATGCGCCTACTTTCTAGAATTTCTATAACGACACTGTATGGCTGTATGTATGCTCATACAAAATAAAAATAATACGCCCATATTTCTCGCCCCCAACAGGCAAACAAAATTGCCGGCATGTATGATCGTCGTAGGGATATACCACATATTCAATAGGGTCTTGGTATAACTCTTTCGCATGATCATGATAGGTTGAGAACGGAAAGATATTATCGTTGTTCCAGTTCCCGAATCCCAACTCGCCAGGAGCCGCAAATTTTTTCCCCCAGTGACTGAGACAGGAGGACCGTGATATCACTTACAGCATTATTCTGCCGCTACATGCTTGATCAATCCCTACCAAGAGAAATTGATAGAAACATTTCCTTACCAGCATAAGCCAGTAACTCTTTGACTCTTTTCCCCGTGAGACATGCCTAAAAAGCAGGGAAACTCTCTCTCCCCCCCCCCCCCCCCCCTTGCGGTACATATATCATAACCTCGCCGCCCCAAAAGTGAACAAATATTCTCTGCCATCATCATCGGATACTAATAATTATCATTAACCTCAGTATTTTCCTTTAGCTTCAGCAGATACACCCGACAGGCCATACTGGGGCCAATAGCGGTATTCATTTTCTACACGTTCGGTATCTAACATACGGTAAGCTTTTGGAGTTGTAAATGATTGATATAATCTGCATATTGCGACTATCATTTCATACAGATCACTAACAACAGTTTTTGAAATTTTAGTATGACCGATACACCATTATCCAAAGGAGCACAACTCAGAGAGCATGCTTGGGGCATCATCAATGTGCTCCAAGCACTCTTCTGGGGTCTTGTGGCTTCCCCAAAACGCAACAAACGTATTCTTAAGATTTCCTTGTCCTTGACTATGGCCGTGGCTTTTACGTTACCTCCCATATTCTCAAATTTCCACGGGGCAAACCCATTTTTGCTAGGGACAGTTGTGAGTACATACCAAGTGCCATCTCTTCTTTTTATCAGACATGCTAACCGGTGATTTTAAATATACAGGCTATTTACATGTTTCCCGTCAAGACTATTGGAGGGCAGCTTGTAGCTACAGCTATCGGACTAATAGGCGTCCTAATAGCCCTTGCGTATTCAAACTTAGTTCTCTTTCTTGCCGCACTAATCCAGGACGACGATGATGAGAACATTGTTTTCGGCCGCCGAGTGTTTTTATGGCTATCCTTCATTTTAATTTCATCGTTTTGCGGATACATCCGCTCCAAGTTCCCTCGTCTCTATCTTGGTACAGTTCTAGGCATGGTTGTCAACATGTTTGCTATCATTAGAGGCGTCAACACCTTCGGACAAACTTTCCGGAATTTCTTCTACGTCATGGTATTCGGAGCCTGTGTGTCTATGGTCGTCGGTTTCGTTTTTTGGCCTGAAGATCATTCCTCTATCCTTCGAGATGATATGATCGGTGGAGTAAAGACAGCACAGAGTATGATGGAGTCAGTCCGGTGGGCTTTGAGGCAAGACTCGGGTCAAGAGATCGATATCACTTCACTCAAGAACGCACATTCAAAGATCCATGCTTCTCTACGAGAGGCTGGTTATGAAATCTCTGTTTCGAGGATTCCATCGTCAGAATTCGTTCCTTTTGATGTGGCCTTGGCCAAGCTGGTGTCTGCAGCACGGATATTTAACTCCGCCATGCGAAGGAGAAACCGACTCTATCCGAACCTCAGACGCCGCTTTGAAGATCTCTTTCCACCTGCAATCATTCATTCAACACGCACTTCTTCCGTGACAGTGGTCACAAGAGGAGAAAACATGTCTGCTGCAAAAGAAACAGTTGATGATACTTTTGTTAGCACATCGGAAATCTTCGACTCGATGGCTCAAAGGATTGAAGAGATGTTTCGAGGACATGAAGTCGCCTCCGTGATTGATCATGAAAAGTACTGGGCTAAAATTAATGAGATCCCGGAAAGATGGGACGCCGAATCTGGCCAACGCTCGGTATCAAGCACAAGAGAGCTCGAAGAAGCAGCTTATCGAGATCAAGTTAATACCATTCTGTTGGAAATGTTTGACATTGTAACGGATATCGCTGTGATTGTTGAAGGTATCAAGAAACAGAGACTAACCCTCTGGCTTCCTCGTAAAATCTATCGAGGTAAGATTCACAAACATTCCTCCTGCCTTAGCTTCTTCTATCAGGATCACTAACTTTAAGTAGAAACAGAAGATTCCGCCAACGAGGAAGGGGAAGAGGCTAGTCGAGATGCCATAGACCCGGATGAGGACGAGGATTTGATGCTTCGTGAAGCAACAACTCGATTGGATCGCTTTGGCATCTTTCTTTCTGATCTTTTGAGCTCGTTAAGGAACTCTCGCCATATAAAATACGGAATCAAGTTCGCTGTCGTCATGGGTCTTCTATCTCTCCCCGCTTTCATTCAAAGATGGTACATTTGGTACGAGGACTTGAGGGTTCAATGGGCCCTTATTTCCGCCATGGTGGCCATGGAAACCACACGAGGAATGACTTTTAGGACAGCTGGCATGAAACTCCTTGGTGCTTTGATGGGTGGATTTTCGGCTTGGGCCGTCATGTCGATTGGACTTGGACATTATTACAGCTCGATCTGTCTCACCCCAATCATTGGTTTGATAGTTGGATGTCTCGTTACAAATCCCAAATACATGAAAGCAGGAACAGTATTTGCACTGGCATACAACATTATACTCGGTGTCGCAACTGTCTTCCCCGATCACGGAAATGTCTCTGCTGCATTTGCGAGGAGAATTTTGACACTTCCTGTAGGTGTCGTAGTTGCCATGGCGGTGCATCTTATGCTGTTCCCCTTCAAGTCCAGAAGCCACCTGGTGAAAGGCATTTCGCATTCTCTTGACTGGCTACACCATCTCTTATTTGCCATCGAGGCTAGCTCGCAATATCCAAGTCTACAAGAAAAGTTCGACGATATGGCGAAGAAAGCTTCCAGTAGAGTCAATTTTGCCAAGTTGCTATTGCCAGCCACTGTTTACGAAGTCTCGCTTTCTGGACACTGGCCATACGAAAGATTTGAAAGGATCCTTGAAAAGGTGGAAGATGTAATGATCCTAGTTATCGGCGAGAATGATGGGATACCGGTCATGGCTAGGTCTGGGACCTGTGAAGGGTTGAGACTGAAGCTGTTGGCATCGCTCTGCAACGATCTGCTCGTGATATCTCACACGCTTAGTGCTAGACTATTCATGCCTCGAAACCAATCTCTATCATCCTCTGTTCTCAGCGAATATCAGACGTTCCTCTCGGCTAAGATTGTAGCGGAAGAAGTTGTTATCAAGAGGAATTTCTCCGATTTAGGAAGACTTTCAGATGTAAGTCCCTTCATATCTATAGAGATCATCGTTTCAAGGCCCATTACTGACGCTCTTTCTCAACAGCTGGTCAACGAAATGAACTTGCTTCGTGAAGATGTAGACGAGCTCATCACCGAAACTCAATGTCCCAAGAGGGGACTATTGCCGCAGTTATCGTTCATCATCAAAAAGTCCAGGCCTGCCACGGCAGTTGCCAGTATGGTAGACGTGGAAGGTCAAGCCTTTGAACAGCCACCGGTACCAGCGGTCCCATACAACGATGTCAGACCACCAAGCAGAGCTTATTCACTCCCGCCAAACATGCCTTAATCGGTCAACGGATTATGCTTTCCCTTCAGTGCATTTTACATTACACATTACTTTCTTTGGTTCTCGGCCCCCCTGGTCGTTTTACTGCCATTTACTGGCTTCTCATTTTCTTAACTCTATTATTTATTATTTATTATTTATTATTTATTCCCTTCCCCTTGAATTACATTCTGTCCTGTACATTTTTCTCTTTCTTTCTTATTATTTAGGGTATTTATCGGGCTATGGGAAGGTTTTTTAAAAGTTAGTTTTCTTTATGGGCATGGGCAGGGAACGGAATAGATAAAAGGGGGTTACTTATGGGAGTGATTGTATGGACAACGGCTGTATCATGACTAGGAGTTTTTTGCTTTATTTTCTTAAATTCGATAACTTAATTACCAGTTCAATTATGAATGAATTAAATTTTTTAAAAAATAACCGCTCACAAGTTCGCTGGGATTCAGAGTGTTACTCAAAGGAAATGAGACAGAGAAAAAAAAAAAGCAACTGTTATATTAGTTATCCATGTCAAAAGAATGAAAAATAAGTTGCAGCCATGTGATTCCGTCGCTCTCGAGTAACTAGATGGTGGCGGCGGGCGTCATGCTTCTAGAAGCATCAAAGGTCGGGTTGACTGTTACACCGTGTGCATTTCTCGGAATCATTCCCCCCCAATGAGCCCCTGGCCAGGTGGCTTTTGTCAGGGCGTCCCTATATTACGTGACATAATCAATCAAATTAAGGTACACATATTGAATTCAGTGGATCGACTAGGATATGGTATGTAATCGATGTAGTATATATGCCGTACCTGAAACCCTTTGTAACTGAGCCTATTCGCTAGAACTTGCTCGTCCTGAGACTATAATGTTGATACAAATACATGTAGGGCAGAGCAAGTATTATGACATTCTAATCCCTCCCCGGGTTTGACCTTGTATGGGTGTATGTAGATACATTTCTCGGCCCTAAATTTCTCGGCGCAGGCACTTAAGCTTCCTAATAATAAAGAGCCGCAAATCGAGTTGGATAATTGTAGTTGTGCTCTGCTGACTATGAAGCGCTAACGTCGACCCTTGTTGTTCCTGACTGTAATGCTACACTGCTACACATCATAACTACATGGACCGCTACCCCACACCGGGAACGTTGATCAGAGATGTCCGCTATCTCTATTTCTGAAAGCCTACTCGGTGCCATCAGAGTGGTCTCTTATACTTTTGATATCTGGATATATTGGGTGCTTCTCATAGCCGCATCGATATACGTCATTTTCTTCTACACGATACTAGGAAAAAAGTTACCGACCAGAGAATGTATTAAGAGTAGGTCAGCCAATATTAACTATATACTCTCAGATAGCTATCTTAATAAAAGATCCTTAATGATTCTGTAGCGGAGCCTACGGGCTGGGATTTTTCCATGATCAAACCACATGCCATGGGCTCTAACTGGGCCGAGACGGAGGAGGTCCCGTACAGGCCCTTCAAAGAAGGGCCCTATTTCCTAAGCATGGGTATGGTGAATTTCTACGCATGCATGCGAATCCACTGACCACGCGGTAAAGGACTTAAGCCTTTGTCTGCCGAGAACTGGATCGAGCTCGACAGAACCTACCTCGATCGCTTGGCTTATAAACGACATTTATTTTCTCTAGAGCGTTCGGAGACTATACAGTCACTACCGGGTTCGGAGGACGCATCTTACGAATCGCTAGAGATGCTGGTGGATTTTTTGCCCCGGCGATATCCAGGGATGTTCGAGAAGACGGAGCGCGGAATCGTTAATCTTGTCACCGGTGAGGACTGGGATCTACGGAGGGAATCCAAGGTGTGGAAGGAGAAGACGCACCCGTTAGAAGTGATGGGGTTGTTGAGTACCGAGGACTGGGTCATTATGCAAAAGGACCCAGAGGGCGGAGATGAGTATCATCTGCGGGCTGGTGCAGTGTGTTTTCCTTGTGAGTATTGATTGATGCTTTGCTTACATTACTTAATCTTAAAATAAGCAGCACTTTCATTAGCTAACAAATCAATGATGTGTATATGTAGCGGGCTGGCGACTGGCGGAGCGCATTGGTCATAGCTTATATCGCATTCACGCTGGGAATGTCCCACAATACGAACCTAGGATCGCAAAATCCATGGACCGGTTCTTCTCGAAGCTGAAGGTTACCTCGCCAATCCAGCGATTTAATCACAACCTGGATATATCGTATGAACTTTTCAGGACCCACAGCGTTGGGGCTGAGAGCTCGGAAAAACTTACTATTGGTAATATCTACCTTCGAGTTGAGAGGCAGACCTTGAAACGGCTACCACGGACCCAGGCCCTATTATTTGGGATTCGAACGTATATTACTCCAGTAGAAAGCATCACTAAAGATAGGGATGTTGCAAGGGTACTCAAAGCCCAGATCGAGGCTTATCCAGAGGATATGGCGGGGTACAAGAATAAGCATCTGTGGGGTGCTGTTGTCGTGGAGCATTTGGATGGCATTATTCAGGGATGCCAGGACGGGGATTCGTTGCATGCACTGCAATAACTTTAGAATCAAACCTCAGTGGTGGATTTAGATAAGCCTTAGGCTTGTTTCCTGGTCCAGGTGGTGGCATTAAGCTTGCTTTATGGTTGTAGATCAGTAGGGCTGCATGTTACTGGTGGAAATCTATTCGGTCTTACCGGACTCGATGCATCTGCCGGCCGTTTCGGCGATTCTCAACCTGGATCTGCAATATTCACTGTTGAGAATGAAACTATATATAATTACCAATGAAGGATGATGGTGTGTGTGAATCTATCGGCGGTGCAGCAAAGCCATTGGCCACGTTCATCTGAGACATAAGTGGATAACTAATTCCTGATATACCTTCCTGTATAAAAGATGTTATTCACATGTGTGTGTCTAACCAGTAAATTTATAAAGCAATCGCGCATGATCCCAAGATCCAGAGATGCCTGGGCAACGTGCGTCCAGTCGATCTCTTATCGTGGCTGTATATTCCCGCTGTTTCCCGAGAGTTATGTAAGGCTTACTTTCAGCCACTGCCGTGCTTATGGGAGTCGCTTCTGTCTAAAGATGTATGCGGAACGAGATATGGCCGCTCTCGCTAGAGCACTCGAAGACATCCGGTCTACCATTGCCGGCCCGCGGGCCCTGAAACATTCTGCCAACACCTCTCATTGGATAGATATAAGAGTCCGAGCTAGTCCATACGAACTGAAGTTGGAGACAGTATCATTGTATATCACCTCATCCTAAGGCCTATTGGGCGTGTAGTAATGGTTTAGAGAATACATGTATTTGTAAACAACCGTTCGAAGATGAGGGCGGTATTTCTTTCCTTCCTTATTTTTTCTCGTTTTTTTTTTTTTTTTTTTTTTTTTGGCTGTTGTCGTCTAATCCTTCCTTGGTGAATACATACATCATACATGCTACATGACTAGTAGGTGACGCATAAAACAAGTTCCTCGTCCGGGCCCCCAGTGAACGACAGAATTTGATAATTGCGTGTTCCAGACTTAACTCCGATTAGCTGTTGAGGATTCTGATTAATTCCGGTGAAATATTTATGGCGAGGCAGAGAGGGTGTTACATAGTGGAGTAGTTTATATGATAGATGGAAGAGTCAGTATCTTCACGATGAAATTTGTCAATTTGTCTGGTCTTAATGGATGGAATTACGGGCCGGACTTTTGAGTAAATCCTTTGAGTCTATACGCATGATTACAAGGCCAGTCGAGGTGATCGAGGAGGTATCCAGATATGACTCGACTTCATCATCTCACATTGTATGTCTAGCTAGATAGGCCTTTCGCGAATGTACACGCAGTCTTGACATGTTTCAGATGAATTTGAAAATCACATTTTCTCGGGGTAGTGAGTATTCAATGATTGTGACACACATACACGAAGTTTCAGAATCCCTCCTCTCTCTGATCATGATCGCAGGATGAACATGTGCGTTGGGTTTAAGTTTCATCTGCAGGGCGTCGTGTACGTATATCTACCCCTTAATCATAAGTCATAAGCACTAAGTGCTCACAGGAATGTATGGGGTATTTTGAGAAAAAACGGCAGAGGTGGTGACGTGATTCTATCACATGTGTACAGCACTACAATCGCGATCTTGCTATGTATAGGGGATGCCGTCAATTGGAATCCCCTAGGCCTCGTATATGGCCTGGTCCCGGCGGTATTTTTTCTTTCTCAATGGTAGGATAGGTATACGTAGCTACACGGGGTATTTTGCTACAATTGATCTGAGATAATCTTATGTTTTTCCTTAAAAAGGCAGGGTTAAGGCCTGTCTATGATTTGAGGATCAGTATATTTGATTGATTGATAATTGATGAATTCATTAGGCTCCGAGAATCATCCGGGCTCGGGAGCAGGGGTTTAGTAGGTCAGTCTGGAAATAATAAATATAGACTTCAAGTCTAGAGCGTGATCGATCATCAGGTAGCGTGATGGGGCTAGGGTTTGGCCAATGTACTAGCCACCCTCCGTCACGTAGGAATATGTCTAGAGAGTGGCAAAGAGCATACTGGTATCTACCCTCAACCACGCATTCTTTGGCCTACATGTGACTGAAAAACTGAGCGGCATTACTAAATATATGTGGACACATGATGCGTAATCATAAACTATCACTCGCTTTCGTATGTCATATCAAAATATATACTAACTGATTCGTATTTGTCACATTCTCATACCCTATAACGAAATTAAACTGCAGAAGGTTTGGAGGAGGTCTCTCTATTTTATTAACTCTATTACAGTAAAGTATCGCTATAAATGTATATTAGTAAGGATATCCAGCCTATAAGGATGGTCCTAACCCGGGTGTGGCTCTCGGTAACGTGGATAGACATCGGAGCGTATCCCATCTGTGAGCCCTCAAAAAAAAAAAAAAAAAAAAAAAAAAAAAATTGGGCGAAATTTCATCACGATTAATGTAATCCACATGAACAAAATATTCTTTCTAATTTTTCTGCAAAAAAGTACTGCACCCAGCGGGTACTACTCCCACCCCCGATTTGAACCCAGGACCTTTGCCCGGAGCCCAAACACGCGGTGTCTAGCCTGACGAGGAGCCGAAGTGTTTTGTCCACTCGGCCACTCGCCTATGTTTTGTACTATCCGGAATTGATAATTGAACGGCTCGCGCCAAGGCGCGATAGAAACCCTAACCCATAGTTAGTTGGAGGACAGATTGTTGAGTTAATCATGGGATATCACTCGACCTTCAATTAGGATTTTGTTTAATTCATTAATTGCATAATTAGGATAAGTATATGCTTATCGCGGATCGAGCGACCAGAGGCATCTTGCAGCTAATGACAGCTTAGTACCAAGGGCCTATTGAATTCGGTTGCGACCAAATATCGTGATATCAACCACCAGAAGCAATTTTGACAAATCTGCCTAGGACGTAATATGTTACTATCCCCATCAGAAAATTATGGCATTACAAGCCAACACAAAATGGCTGTAATCAATATTGTGTTGCGACCATCTTACTCCAAGTAAAAAAAAAAAAGGTGCTATATTCTCTGTTTGCTGAACACACACACCGCAATATTAGAAAAAAAAATACGCTGTGTTGACCATCATTGGCGTGAGTAATCGAGAGTGTTTGTAATATCGTGATGTTTTTTTTTTTTTTTTTTTTTTTTTTTTTTTTTTCCCTCGAGGGCAAGAGAACGGGCCCCAAATTTACCTTATACTTCATGTTCGTGCAACCTTTCCCACCATGACCAGCTGCCGTCCGTACATAAAAACAAACATATACTTCCACTGGCGCTAACATAATTAATGAATTAAACAAAAAAAAAAAAAAAAAAAAAAAAAAACCGGCGGCAACATGTTCAAATTTACCTAATCATGAGATATCACTCACCTCCGCCCACTAGGACAGGGGTGGGTACACCTGGATTATACGAGGAGCGCCAAGTAGCTAGCTATAGACCACTAATTTCTAAGCTTCACGTATATATGCCAGATCTATATATCTACAACTTCCACTATGTAGGTAGTTGTTATACTTGGTACCATAGAGCGCGCGGGGATTGCTTTTGCTTTTGCTTTTGCTTTTCCTTTTCCTTTTCCTTTTCCTTCCCCCCCCCCCCCCCCCTACATGTAGTACATAGCTATAGGATTGACAGTACTGCAAACCTACCAAATCTCATCCAGAACACATGCAGCAGTACGTACGTACGTACGTATCACTACCAAGCTGTAACTAATTAATTAACTACAGAGCATTGCCTCTACAACCGCGCGGGCCGGGGGGGGGGGGGGCTCGGTCGAGCTGTCGATCCCAAGCCAATATGGTTAAGCTAGGCTAGGGGGCCTAGCTAGGCGTCAATGATCAATAACTACAAACAGGAACACTCTTATGCAGCGCAGGCCGTGACTTTGTTAATCAAGTTTGAAGTATCTACCTGGAAATCCCCCCCATCCTCATCCTCTCTTCCTTGGCCTCCGGCGACGCGACGCCTTGTAATTAATGGTTGGGTGCCGGCTTGTATTTTCACTGTATGTGAAGCTCGAAGCCGGACCGATCGATCATATTTGTACGTAGAAAAAAACCGCTGGTCTTACAAGTGCTCTCCTAGTAGCAGAAGTTGTAGCAATCACAATATGCGCACTTCTACGTAGATCGATCTAGGTGGAGACCAAGCCATGCACCCCATGCCACTACTACGCAATCTACACAGATCGAATCCTTCTGCCTATATATATAAGCTGGGTTGGCTAAGTTACAAGTAACCAATTCCAATTTTAGCTATGTACATGTAGTTTTTTACAAGAGACCACCATTGGCTACACTCAGCGCCGGCATATCTATACTCAGCTAAATTAGATTATAAATCACAGTTACATACGTTTCCACTCCTAACTCGTCGTTGAATGAAACACACACATACACACACACACACACACACACACACTATACTATATATACCGCCAACACTATCTCTATATAAACACGTACAATCCACATCACCCCCCCCGCCCCCACGCTGCAATAGGAGGCAGTACAGTACAGTACAGTACTGCTAGCTACTATACTATACTATACTATCGAATAGCGCTGAACCATACCACCTACCCAGCACCGCTGCGGGCACGCAGTTGTGTATATATGGTTACATCTGGGAACTCGAGATCTAGAGCTGTGTCTTCCGCTCTGAGTGGCCGTGATGGGCGGGATGTTTTCCTCCTGGGTGGGTGATGCATGGGTGTTCTTACTTTTGGGGGGGGGGTTTGGTGGGGGGAAGAATAGGGCGGGGGGGTCTGGTGGTGGGGGTGAGGGTCATCACTTGATTTATACTATATACAAGTAGCTATGTATAGAATCAAGGCTCCTTTCTAGCCTTCTAGCTCTCTAGAGCTTTATCATATATAGTAGCTAGCTAGCTAGTACCTGGCTTCCAGTTCATATATAGGATCCGGAACAGCATGCACCAATTCGAATAGAAAAATAGACACTATTAGATTCTAAACTTACGACCCAAACCAAAGTAGCACAACTATACAAACCTCTCCCTCCCCCCCAAAACAAGCCTAAACCACATGCACACCCACACGCAGCCAGGAGGCAAACATGAAATCCACCACGCCCCCAGAACGCAACTTTTCCAGTGAACGAAAAAAAAAAAAAACCCCAATCACAAATTATCACTCGACCCTCACTCACCCTCCACCCAACAACATCGCGGCATGGCATTGCACATCACATCATACTCTGGCCTACACTTGCACTCGCGGTGATTGGTCGTCTACCAAACCGCCACGCCGCGCCGAGCCATTTTACGTGCGCAATCCTACTCTACCACCTACTAACTCCCTCCACGAAACCACACCCTCCAGAAAAAAATCCAAACTACATACCATGCCCTCCGACCACGAACCAAACCACACGCCTTAAAAACAGAACCAGAACCAGAACCAGAACAATTTTAATTCCTACCAAAGCCTATTATATCACATAAAAACACAAAAAGCACACACACACACACACACACACAAAAAGAAAAAAAAAGGACACGCCAAAACTCCCAAACTACCTTTCCACAACCTCGCCCTCCTCGTCCGTCACCACCACCTCCGGCTTCACCTTGACCTCGGCGGCCGGCAGCTCCGCCGCAGCAGCATCCTCAAGATCCTCGACGAGCTCCGCGTTGCGGTACCACTTGCGGCGGCGCGTGTATTTGCCCCATCCGTCGACGCCTCTGCGGCCGTCTCGCCACTATATCACACCATGGTTAGTCCATCTCTATCTCCATCTCCATCTGTCCCATATGATAGCTGTAGGGTGAATTCCACATACCTTATTATCATAATACACCCACCCCTCGCCACTCTCCCCACTCAACCCCACCTTATCCTTCACCTCCTGCTTCTTCCCCCCGCCGCCTCTCCCACCATTCGCCCCCTCCACCCGCCAGTCCTCCCCCTCAACCCACCGCCACCGCACACCGCTCCCGCGCCCCGTCACCGGCAGCACAAACTCCGCCGGCGCCGGCGCCGGCTGCAGATGCTCGTCGGTGAACGGAGCACGCTCATAGGCAAACAGGCTCGCCGTCCAGCCGACCCCGAGCCACCGCCGCTGGTTCTCGTAGATGGCGAACGTGAACTTGACGCCCGGCGACGCGCCGGTCGTGGAGGCCGTCAGCGGCGTGGACACCTCCGGGTGGATGTTGTCGGGGTTTCCGCGCGGGGCGGCGGCGATGCGCGTGGCGGGTGAGGTGGCGGAGGGGTGGGATTTCTGCGTGCTGGGCGTGTGTTTGAGCTCGGTGGAGGGGACGTGGCGTGGGGGCAGTGTGGGGAGGACGGGCGGCGGCATGAGTGATAGCCCCGTGAGGCGGCTGCACACCTTGCGGATGAGCTGCGAGCGCCAGAGCACGGTGCGGGACACCTTTGCGGGGCGCGAGTGCCATGAGAGGATCAGCGTCCCCACCAGCAGGACAATGCGGCGGGCGGTGATGATGTGCGTGGGGTACACGCTGAGCGCCAGCCACAGCGGCGTGGTGAGCAGGATACGGACAAACAGCGTTGTGAGCGCCGGGCGGGTTGTGGCCGTGGTGGCCGTCTTTGTGGTCGACAGCCACCGCGTCAGCTGCAGGAACGGCTCAAAGAAGATGTTCATGCGTGTCGTGAGCGTGTTGAGCGTCTCGAGGATCTCGTCCAGCGTCGTGCTCGTCGGCTCGTCGTGGTACCGCCGCAGAAACATGCCCAGGATGAGCACCACCACGATGAACACGTTGCCCGCGAACCGGAGCACGACGTCGCCGTAGAGGGCGGCGGCCCAGAAGGCGGCGACGACGAGGAACGACTCCCACGGGTCCGGCGTGGTCCATGTTAGCAGGCCGAGGACGTAGTTGGCGGCCTTGATGTAGGGGTAGCTCTGTGAGAGGGCGCGGGTGATCTGCGGGGGCGTGGAGGCGAGGAGGGGCGACTTCTGGTGCACCTGGAAGCGGGAGCGGGAGGCGGGGGAGGAGGAGATGGGAGCGAAGGAGGCGATGGTGGGAGGGTTGGGGTCGGCGGGTTGGATGTTGTAGTCCGAGTGGTGGCTGGCCGTGGTGCCATTGCCATTGGCGTCGTGGGTGGGCTCGTCGGACATGTAGAACGTCCAGGGCGTATCTGTGAGAGAACGTTTAGAGACTGGAGCAGACACTGGGATGTATATTCGATATATTGGGGGCCAGGAAGATAGGATAGACAGCAGTAGAATTCTAGCAGTAGAGTGGAGATATGGGAGGGGAAGAGAAGATGACGAACGACCCGGTGTGGCTGGGTTGAGGGGGGGACGCCGTTGAACGTACCAAGGGCTGCCATGCAATCCACGTTCGAGAGTTGCAGGCTTCCCAGCAGACTGGAGCAAGCAAGCAGGCAGGCAATCAGGCAATCGATCAGGTTATTTACGGCCTCGGAAGAAGCAGGAGCAGCAGATAGCGGCAGCACCAGCAGCAGCAGCAGGGAGATGACGACAGGAGGCCTTAGATAGATCTTTGTATGCAGATAGTCAAGAGATAAGATGTAGAGAGACAGACAGACAGACAGACAGACAGACAGACAGGAGATAGACGTCTAACGGACTACAACAGAAGGGAAAGTGTATCCTGAGCTCTCTCCCCCCGGCTATGTATAAAAGGAGAGAAGTGGATAAGAGAATGTGCCCTTGACTGCCCCGGTACTCCGGTGTGCAAGAGAAATGAATGGGCAGAGAGAGAGGGTGTATTAACCCAACAAGAAGCGTGTGATCAGAGCAAAGGAGAAAGAGAGAGAAAGAAAGAAAAAAGGACAGAGTAAAAAAAGTACATGTACATGTAGTTATTAAGTAAAAACACTCCCCTCCTCTCTTCCCCCTTCACCCTTCCCCATTCCCCCATTCTCTTCTCGCTCTCCCACTCTCATGCTTTCTTTTACAAACCTCCCCCCGCGTGCGTGGGCGGACGGATGCGTTGTGGAAAAGAAAAGTACACATATGTGCAGACAGACAGACAGACATCATCGTTTGCACGGTAACTACCAGCGATTTGCATGTGAACGCCTGGGGTTGAAGAAGAAGAAGGAAGCCGGTTGGGTTGGGCGCGGTCACATGCTAGCTGCGAGACATGCCTGCCTGAGTCAGCACCCGGGCGAGAGCCGCATGATGTCATCGGGGGGACGCTGTGGAGAGAAAGAGAGAGAGAGAGAGTGATCTTGTGTCTGCTCCGCGACGATGGCAGAGACTGTCGAGTAAGGGAGTATAAAATACCCTACAGGCAGGTACAAACAGGCACCTGGCTGCCAGGCACAGAAGAACGTAAGGGGTCGCTGTCTGTCTGTCTGTCTGTCTGTCTGTCTGCTGTCTCGGGTACTTGCGCACTGCTCTGCTCTAGCCAAATCCCACCGCAGGCCAAGCGGCAGAAAGGGGGAGTACGCATGCGCAGTGAGTGCCCGATGCAGACTAGTCAGGCGGTACTCGTGTGCTGTGGCCCGCTGTCAATGATAGAAGGGTAGGTAGGTAAATGTGTAGGTACATAACAGAATCACAGAATCTACTAATCGGCACCGGAAAAGCCACAGCTGTACACTACCAGTGCAGATATGAGTACGTACATGTATTTATGTGAAGCGAATGGCATATCTACACAAATACGTGATTGGGCTGTTTCCAGTCTCCATGGTCACTTCGCGATGATATTTACTGCGGAGAAGTGGACAGAGCTTATCGACTGGCGAGCTGGCTACCACGGACAACACACGTAGACGCATTCCACAGAGAGACCTCTCCTGTTCGTGATTGATCAAAGGCTTCCTACAAATACATCTGTCTAGAGAACAACCTTTTGATGAGTTATATACATATATACATGCCTAGCCCAATCGTTAGCGATGCCGAGCAATAACTGCACATGCACTTGCGCCATCCCCCTCACCTCACCTTCCCCCCAAACCCGTCCCCCCACCCCATGCTCCGCCTCCTCCGCCGCCTGCCCACAACTCGCGCCCAAGCCCACCGCCTCTACCAGCGTCTCCGCCAGCTCCTCATCTACCACACCCGCCACCTCCGCTATCTCCTCCCCTTCCCCTCCCCCTCCCGCTCCCGCTCCAAGCTGCTCACCCGCCGAATGGCCCCCGTGCTCCCCCCCGCGCGCCTCGACGCCCGCCCAGACCCCCGCATAATCCTCTACCACCAGACGCACTACATCGACGGCAAGACCTACGTCTCGCTCCTCCCGCTGCTCAAGACCCCCACCCGCCGCATAACACACCTCATCCTCGCCGCCGTGCACCTCAACGCCCTCCCCGGCGAGATCACGCTCAACGACCACCCCTTCTCGCACCCGTCCTTCGACCCCCTCTGGGACGAGGTCATAATCCTCAAGGACGAGGGCATCAAGGTCATGTTCATGCTCGGCGGCGCCGCCCAGGGCACGTTCGCGCGCCTCGACACCCCCGACGCCGCCACATTCGAGGCATACTACGCCCCGCTGAAGGAGCTGATCGAGATCTATGCGCCCCACGGCATCGACCTCGACGTCGAGGAGCCCATGTCGCTGACGGGCATCGTGCGCCTGATCGACCGCCTCAAGGCCGATTTCGGCGCGGACTTCATCATCACGCTGGCGCCGGTCGCCGCCGCGCTGCAGGGCGGCGGGAACATCAGCGGCTTCTCGTATGAGGCGCTGGAGGCGGCGCGCGGGGCCAGCGTGAGCTGGTATAATACGCAGTTCTACTGCGGGTGGGGGTCGCTGGAGGATACGCGCGGGTATGAGGCGGTGGTGAGGAGGGGCTGGCCGCCCGAGAAGGTGGTGGCGGGGATTGTGACGAATGGGTGCAATGGCGCGGGGTGGGTGGGCATGGAGACGCTGCAGACCGTGCTGATGGAGCTGGTGGAGTTGTTTCCGGGCTTTGGGGGCGTGATGGGGTGGGAGTATTTTAATAGCTTGCCGGGGGGTGTGGGGAAGCCGTGGGAGTGGGCGGAGAACGTGGGGATGGCGGTGGAGTGCGGGGTGGCGCTGGCAGATGCGCTGGCAGAGGCGGCGAGATAGATAGATATATAGGGGGATAAATGGCTGTAGACCTGTGTGTGGAATCGTAGGTATAGACGGCTGCATCGTGAGCTCGAGTGCTGTTTTAGAAAGCAGGCCCAACTTAACCAATCAACCATGATCAATCAATCATAAAGTAGACCCAATTAGTTGACTTACCGAACAATTAATGAATTAAAAAAAAAATTTTGTTGACTTACTGAAACCAGTCCGAGTGATAGTCTATGAGCCATCTAAATTGGAATCCAGCGCCCTCCCAAGTACCGCGTTGTAGCAAAGATGAATCCCACCTGGGACCCGGAGTAACGTCCCAGAAGCAATTGTTCCGGCGTATATACTGTAGGAGTATTTTCGGCAGAAGTATCTTTGATGATGATTCTACTAGAAGACTCGGAGGAAATCTCCTTACATGCTCTACCAGCTTTCCCTTAGCGCCATGCTGATACCACGTCGTCTTCGCCACGACACTCTTAAACAGCTCTATTATACACATCACTGTAAGTATATATAAGACTCGATACATGTACTAGCAAGGGCGCAAAGAATTTGGGTTATGTGTAGTTCACACAAGGTGGATTGCCACCTTCACTCTCACCTTCACTCTCACATCTATCGTTTCGATAGTAGTCATCGATTACATGGTCACTTAATTGGGCCCATGGACTGATACAGATGATTATAACACATTTACAAGTTAAGTACATGTAGTTATCGCAGCAGATAAATTTAGTCTAACTGTGTACACATATGTGACGAACGTTGATTGACGAGTGATAATACATGATCAAGCCATAGTCCAAACGTACCCAGCAGAGCTTCTTCTTCTCCCTTCCCCAAGACATAGCAAACCTTGAAAATGAAAGATACAGCCGAGCCTTGCCATGGAGATGGTATACCGTCTATGGCCTGTAATAAACGAATCGACGTGGTGACCAGCTGGTCCCAACTCTACTTTTCGGTAGCATGTTTTGATATTATAGTGCCCCATTCCACCCGTGGGATATCCGTTCTCTGGATATTAGGATATATCTCAATATCCTGATAACTATAACTAGCAAGATCCGACTATAAGACTACAAAGGTAGCTAGTAGTCATTGGTAGAGAATATCGGACAAGTGCCTCCGGAAGTCGATCGACTGCAGTGCAGCCCTATCTCTGGTTGAACCCACGTCCCCGGCATTGAGACTCGACGGCTTATTCTTCTTTTCTAAAAGACCCGTCCGTGGCTCAAGCCTTAATCTTAGATATCCTAACACACGGGTAACGTTGTAGGTACGAGCTTAAAGTTATCTAGATCAGCTTGGGTTGTGACTGTGTGCTTGGAGTCAACCAAGGTGTTAGCTGTGCGTGGCCGGGGAGAGGGTGTAGGATATTAACTTATAGCTAGTCTCACTCCCAGCAGCCTTGTAGATAGAGGAGGCCTCGTTTGCAGATGTTCTTATTGCAGAATGGTGCTTTGGTGTAGGATATCGATAACTGATAATTCTCTATCGACTCTAAACTACAGTAGGGATCGACTCTTTATAACTTTGGGAAAGTAACAGTGCCGGTACTACCCAGTTTATTCTACAAACAACAACTCTTTGTCCTGCGCGCTCCCATTGTCTTCTTTTCCTCCCGAATCATCCACTATCAACCACCTTATGGGACGGTCTCCTACATTTGGTTTGGAGTGGCCTTGCAGAGGTGTGATCATGAGGAAAGCCGCAAGGAAAGTTATGAGCACAAAGTTGTAATTTGTGCCCTTACCTATCCGATTTTCTTTTAGCATTCCTAACCTTATTAGCTATACTTTAATTAATTCTCTACCACCATATGGATAAATAAGTATTTGCCCTACCTGCTGATCTGTAGATGGGAGTTGGATAATATAGACCAACCAATTTGAAGCTTTCGTCATGACGGAGCTCGAGGGTCTTACTATCATGAGTAAGGTAAACTTCCCTGTGCTTAGTCTCATAATGATGCGGCGTTCGAATTCTGTCCTTTGAGGCCAATTGCAAAGCTGGCCTGCATGTAGCAGTGCACTAGTTAATACCATCGTGGCACATACGTACGATAAAAGGTTTATCAACCATTGTGCGTTCTGGCCATTCCTCACGGGGTGAAGACACGTATGTTTAGAGTTGATATATATGCAAACACAATCTGCGACTTCTCTTCTTCCTCTATATCTTCCTTCTTAAATATAGAACACTAGCATGATTGTGGCTTAAATAAATAACGGCACTATTCCTGCTCGGGAATTAACGGTCTAGTGGGTAACCAGACTAGTCCAAAGAAACTCTACTCTTGCTGTGACCGAGCTCGACGGCCTCCCCACTTCATCACTTCATCCAGGTCAATCATGCCAATTAGCCCACGTTGTCTGAGGATTCCAATATAATTTGATCACCCTGCACACAAATGGTGTGATCCGATCGAGGCTCTGCTTGCAAGGGGCACATACGCCCGGGGTCGGTATCCACCAAGGTACTCGCCCACTCAGACCAACGACTGTATAAAAAGTAATGCTCACCACGTCTGCGTATGCGGGGTAGAACTAGAATCGACGTATAAAACACCATGGGCTAGCTGCTGAATTTTGTCGAACGGCCCACTTGACCGGTCGACTTATTAATTCTACCTCGGGATGGGCAATGGATGTACAGCGGTATAATATATATATATATCCCAGAGGCCCTACCTACCTACTCGATATCTTTGATGAGTCTGGTACCTGGAGCAGTCGTTTTCAAAATCGCCGTTACTGAAAGCCTTTGGGGCTGCTTCCTTTATCGCTGCTTCCTTTATCGCTGCTTCCTTTATCGCTGCTTCCTTTATCGGGGTTAAGAATCTCGTGGTTCTCAGTTCAGCTACATGCGTACTTACTTGGTGAATTGTTTACAGGTAAATATGTTTACCCTTTATTTGATTAGAAATATAGAATGTTATCGATATCAACATATACTGATCATTGCAATAGGGACAGTACTTTCTAGGTTCTAGTTCAGATGAGCATACTCTGTCAGTGGATGGATGTATGTGTGCCACCAACACAGCATTAGCATTTACTGCAGCTCTCTGGGGACAATTACCCCTACACTACATACCCAGTAGTATCACAGAAAGAAGCACTCGCTACTGTGCGCTAGCTAGCTAATAGGCAGCTTTTTCGTCGTCTTAGAGTATGCTTCTTTCGTCAGAACTAAGCATTACTAGTATACACGCCCTATCTTAGTCTCTGACCAGACCATTTTCTTCAAGGGCTGGCTCTCCGTTGTTCTCTTGCAAGTGGGGAAGACGGTGGGTTTTTATTTTTGGCTCAACGGTCCAATGTGTCTAGTAACGGTTGACCGAACAAGACAACATCTCGCGAGAATGAATACACGAATGAACAGGAAAATAAATCATACAATGTTTCCGAGAGACATCAAAGGAGCGATAAAAAATATTGCGAATCAAAAAGGAATAGCATAATTCAACTCCTAACAAAGAAACAAAAAAGCCTCCCCAATTCAGCCTGCCTGAATATCTTAAACCCGATATGAAGACCGAACGCTAAGCTAGCATACCGACCCTCAATCTCTCGCTCAATCTATCCATCCTCAGGACTGGTGCACCCGAAACAATATCAATACCTCACTTCTCCTCCGATGTTTGTCCGACTATCTCTCGTTGTCGTCTTTGGAAGGGATGGAATGTATGGATTCGTCCGGGTATCACTGCGGTGATTTACTTGAGCTATGAAATGGTCAGCTTTGGTATTCATTGAGAAGCCTTGCAAGAAACTTACAGGGCATCCATCACAAGTGCAGCTCTCGCCGCATCCGCAGGCACCAGTTGAAGCGCATCCACAGCCAGACATTGTGTTTATGGGTTTGAAGGTTTGTGGGTTAAAGTTGGAAAATAGTTTTGTATGGAATGGTGGGTAGTAAGTGTTTGTCGTTGCTGGTGAAGGAAAGTTCAAGGGAAATTGGGTCCTATTTATGGCCTCTTACCCCCCCCCGACTAGCTCAAATGGTGGTGTCTTTGTCCACCTCACTCACACTACCCTTGAGCATTTTGTGCGGGGTCGTTGGTAGATAGGAAGCGATACGGACTCTGGGCTTCGTCACAAGCACTCCACATTTTCCTTGCCACACTCAGATCTACATTAGTATCCCAACTAATTATTTTTCATCTACCCCATCTGGACTATCGAAATTTCCCGTTCGGGGATGCGTCGATTGTGCTTCTTTTACGTTCTGGATCTGCCCGCTCTACAACAAACCCCGCCTCCTCCTCGATACGGAGTAGGTACATGTACCACAGAGGCTTATCGCTTCCTCGCCTCCCTGCACATGTGAGATTTTCAGAGACCGCTGAGCTACTTGTGCCCTTTCTTCACGACTCATCAGGGGGCTGGACTTTGTGTTTCGTGTCAAAGGCTGCGAGTTTTTCGCGTTGAATAGCGCGCCAAGATCTACCCCCTGCCAAATGGAAAATCTTTAGCCTAGCTTGAGCTAGTGCGATTATATCGAAGCTTGATGATTACACTGAAAAGTTGACCAGCTGACGGCCAGTGTCGGTTCCACCCCGTGTGCGAGTGCTCGATCCCAGGTAATTCTACAAAGGATATTCGATTCTCAAGGGCTTCCTATCTGGAGTATCACTTGTGTCATTTTATATCCCGAGCCTCTGTCATATATAGGTTATCTTTGATACGACTGAATGCTGCGTAACCAATGGTCTGGTACCTATCTAGAGTACGATCTTCGGGGGATACTCTGTGCGCAAGTGCCACTGATGTCGATGTGGATAAGGATGGGTATCAGTGGCCAAATCCTAGCGGGACCGGATGCCTACACTCGACGTACCCGTATGTAAATACAATGGCCCCAGCACATCAGATGGGTTGAGTGATGATATCTAGAAAGTGCCGGAGTCCTAATACATCATCATCATCATCACCACCACCATCATGATTCCAATGAACCTGTGGTCCTGATTTGTTGAGTATCACGGCTTGGAATCGTCTAGTCAACACCGTGTACAACTGAGTTCTAATTCGATCTCGTAACTGATGTGAGATATAGGTACATACATGTATTTAATAATCAATATTAGGGTCGGCGGTTAAGAGTAATAAGTGGTCTGTCTGGACGTTAACCACCAGGAGGACCGTCCAATATTAACTATCATTATGTCGGGGTTTAATGGCCGAGAGTCTTGACAAGACGCATACAGTCGCAACTCGATATGCCGGAACTCAATGCACCGAATCCCTTGTTGTCTCGTACGAGATCCTCTGAGAATATTATTTTTCTACTGCAAAATCAATTTGCTATCCCGGATTTTTTGCTATTCCGTACGAAATCCTTAGAACCCTGGCAACCCGGCATATCGAGTTGCGACTGTAGCTGCTCCTGAAATATTAAATACGTCTGCTTCTGCTATGAAGATTCCGCGGTTGGGTTTGAATGGTCCGGTAGTACACGAAGCAACCCTTTGGGAAATATTTGTTGCGAGTTTAATCTATCTATTGGGCATCTTCTTACATATTGATATATAACTTAAAGACCCATCGGGAACCCGTCCAATCGATAGACATAATTTTCATCAGGACTACAATTACTTGGCTACATGTACCCAAAGACGCGAATACGAAAGTACTCACAGCAAATTTCCTTGTTCCAATTACTTTTTGGAGAGTTCGGCTATGGCAGCGAATCACTCATGACTTGTCTGATTCGTAGATAATCTCCGAAGTCCTTACACCCCGGTAGACAATTACATAAAAAGGACTGCAGATTGAGAAGGCGGCTAAAGGTGCCGTCAACCTGTGAGAAGAGAAGTTGGTGGCGTTACAATTGGGTCGCTCAGTTCATTGTTTTTCAACTTTGTGATGTGTCACATCACGTGGTGACAGCAGCTTGGCAAGGATTGTATCTTGGAGAGGCCGTCGATTATCCGGTAGATAGGTACCAGACCGGGCCCTTGGATCTACACACATGTACGTATACCTGGTACCTACTGTAAAATGTTCTTCTCCAAAGTACATACCGTACATATCCATGATGGCAGTTTCGATATATGAGGCTTCTCGGTATCAAATGTATAGCTAGCATGAGGCATGCGTTTAGGTACGCATGTTGATACTCATGCTCTATCTACATATATTTTTGTTGAATACTGGCCCGTACTACCCTGTTATGCTGGCCGAGGCGGTTCCTGAATGGGCCAACTGCATACATGTATGGAATGATGAGATCCAGATGTAAGGGCCAATCCATATAGGACATGATTTTCCAATGGTAGGTTCCGACATATGACTTCATACCCCCAGAGTTGGGGTGCGCACGTGGGATGTATTCTGAGCTGAATCAACCCCTCGAGATATCCGTAGGTACACATTGAGAACTCAACTTACTGTTTTATGACAAGGCTGACTTACACATTGTTCATCGTGACTTCCGTTGAGTGGGGTATTTGTTTCTCTGTGTAACAATTGATGACCGATCTAGGAGATTTGATTAGTATTTAGGGCAGGTGGTAAATTTCAATGTTCACGTGGAGGATTTTTCTTCTTTCCCCTTTTCTTTTCCTATGGATGCCTGGACTTTGATGTTTAAGATTCTATCAGCTCGGCCCCGTGGACTGCACATGTGGTGTGGTATTAATATTTAGACAGGCGTGTATGTATGTGGAGAGAGTACTTGCACGAAAGGTTCTTTGCGAACAGGAGGTAAGTACAGTTCTTTAGTCCTTCCGCACTTCTAAGTACTGCACTTGTACCAGCAAGCCCCAAAGCCCCAAGCCAGAGTCCCGCCCCGTCTCTGCGCACCCTTGGCAATTCGCGAAACGAGTGATCAACCATGATTACACAGCTTGTTTTTTTTCTTTTTCTTTTTTTTGTTTAATTCCACACCTTGTTGTGTTTCATGCATAGATATTAACTTGCTTACGTTTACCGGGGGCATATAGTGTAGATATCACCGAGCAGGTGTGAACAAGGCTGCTCCTCGGCACCCTCGGCCGATGCCTTGAAAGTCCCACCGCCGATCCCCGAGTGATTCCCCATGAACCCGTAGCTAGTGCAATGCAGGCAGTTGCGGTTGCCTGCCAAGCCAGCCAATATTCCCGGCCGCGGGTAGATATCTATCACAGCTCCACGTATCTATCAAGCATCTATTTTGCAACTCTACTTAACCGAAGATAGCCCGGTGCTGGGGAAAACAGGAACAGCGATATCGATACTACCACTACCAAAATGTCGAATCTCGAGGTGCTCTCAATTGCAGAGCTGGAGGCTGCTGCAATGGAGAAGATGGACAAGATGACCCGCGAGTACTATAACTCGGGCTCAGATCGCGAGATAACGTTAGTAGCTCTTCCAGCAGACTGAAATATCTAGGGTGGCTGCCGATATATGCAAGTAGCTAACAAATAGCTACAGTCTCCGCGACAACCTCGCCGCCTTCGACCGCTACAGGCTGCGTCCCCGCGTGCTCAAGGACGTCAGCCGAATCGATACCTCCACGCAACTATGGGGCAAGAAAGTGCGTATATATATATAAAAAAAAAAAACCGCCTCCACTAGTTCTTCGGCTCCAATACCTACACACAATTAAAAATTATTGCGTACTTATGAATATATATAGATTTCATTTCCGCTCTGCATTGCGCCCGCCGCAATGGCAAAGCTCGCCCACCCATCCGGCGAAGTCGGCATCTCGCGGGCCGCCGCAAACGCCGGCGTTGCGGTGGGCTTGAGTAGCTTCTCGACCTCGTCGATGGAGGACGTAGTGGCACAGGGCGCGGGCGCCGTCGACTATGCGATACAGTTGTATGTGTTCCAGAACCGGAAGACGAGCGAGGCGCTGGTGCGGAGGGCGGAACGTGCGTTTCCTTCTTTCCTTCTTTAATTTTCCCCGCCTGTGTAGAAATATGGAGAGCTGATTTTTGGTTAGGTGCTGGATTCAAGGCGGTGTTCCTTACCGGTATGTATAAATCACTCTTTGTGGCCGGTGCCGGGTGATATTCATGCAGTGCCGGGCATAACATATAGTCGACACGCCATACCTCGGCCGCCGCATCAACGAGGTCCGGAACCGCTTTAAGCTGCCGCCGCACCTGCAGCTGCTGAACTTCGAGAACCCGGGCGACGTGGCTGTCTATTCCGAGACTGAGACGAAGGCGCACGACGGGGATAAAGGCAAGCCGCCGGCAGCGGGGGCAGGAGTGGATTCTATCGTCCCCCAGGGCAACGTCACCGGTAAATACCTCCCACCCGCCCCCATAAGAAGACTGGTAAAGTGATAGTCCCTAACCTACGTGTAGATGCATCCCTCAACTGGGAAACCGACATCCAATGGCTCCGCAGCATCACCAAGCTCGAAATCTGGGTCAAAGGTATCCTGACAGCCGAAGACACGCTACTCGCGGTCCAGCACGGCGTCGACGGAATCATAATCTCGAACCATGGAGGTGAGTAACTTTAATTCTAGCTAGCTAGCTAGGTATATTTAGTATGGTGCCTAACATGTAACTGCGACCAGGCCGACAACTCGATGGCGTCACATCCACTCTCGACGCACTGCCCGAGTGCGTTGCCGCCGCCGCGGGTAGGATCCCCGTCCATATCGACGGCGGCATCAGGAGGGGCACGGATATCTTCAAGGCACTAGCACTGGGGGCGGATTGCTGCTGGATTGGAAGGATCCCGTTGTGGGGGTTGGCGGTATGTTTTCTGTCTCTCTCCGTTTTTTTCTCTCTTTTTTTTTTTTTTTTTTTTTTACCTTATCTGTTGGGCGCGGAGAGACTAACATGGGTGGTGGTGTGATGTAGTATGATGGACAAGCCGGGGTGGAGCTGGCGCTCAAGTTGCTGTATGAGGAGTTTAGGCTGTGCATGGGCCTGGCCGGGTGTAAGAGCGTGAAGGAGATATCGAGGGACCATTTGATTAGGGTTAAGACGGATGGGACTTTGGCGAGGCTTTGAAGGGTGGGATAGAGACTTGGTTTTTATATACATATAGACTTTATTTTTGAAGCATCTTGCGTGGGGATAGGTACATGTAGTAGAGGAGTAGAATATCAGAGCTAGAAATAGAACCGGAGCTGGATTCGGTAGGATTATGATTGACACCCAAGCCAAGGTTTTGGGCCACGTTCATGCACAATCACTCGGTGCCCAGAAACACACACCCCATTCAGGCCTAGTACCTGAGTGTCCATCTCCACAACATAAATAGTAGGGGCAATGATAGTTTCTACAGCAAGTTTATCTATACCTACCGCCCACAAAATATCAAACATCGAAACGTAAAGTGATAAAAAAAAAAAAGGCCAATTTTTATTTACAGTCCCGGGGTCACCACAGTCAACAACTTCTAAAACTATTGCTGCTGCTGCTACTTACTTCCTATCACGCGCCTCAAAGGGGTACTTGAACTCCACCACCTTCTCGAACGGCCTCTCCCTACCAATCATCCTCTCCTTATCCCACGGCCTCACCCTCGTCTCATAGACCTTCACGTTCGGGAGCTCTGGCAGGGGCGTCTCGGCGATGATCTCAAAGAGCTTCTTCGGCTTCGGCTTTGTCTCAAGATGCTCAACTACCACACCCCCATCATCATCACATTAGCCCCACTCCCCACTCCACAAAACCACCCCCAGCACAAAACGAAAGGGAAACAAGCAACATACGCAACTCCGCCACCGTCTTCACCGCGCTCACATCCGCATCCAGCACCCTCACCCCCGTAAGCTGCGCCACCCTCTTCACCAGCGCAAACCGCACCTCCTCCTTCACTCTCAGCGCCGCCCACCCCCTCCTCTCCAGCCCCTCCGCCACCCACTCCTCTGGCTGCTGCTGCTGCTGCTGCTCCGCGGGATACACCTCCTCCTCGCTGTACGCCCTGATCTCGCCGTCCTGTCCCTGGGCAGAGAGGATGCCCTGCTCGACCTCCGGCGAGCGGAAGTCGAACACGGCGTCGCCGCGGGCGGACACCTGGATGCGGACGCTGGGGGTCAGCTGCTCGGGGCCCGTGTAGGGCGTGCTGAAGGCGGACGCGGGGAGGCCGTTGAGGAGGGGGGTGTGCACTTCCACGACGGCGCGGTGGACGGCGCGCACGAGTGCAGAGGGGGAGGTGAATTTTGTGTTTGTGATGAAGCTGCGGTAATAGTCCACATGAGCACACAGGGGGAAGCAATTGCAATTGGGGGGGTAGGGGAGACATACACAGGCACATCCCACTCCTCCAGCGCCGGGTCCAACCCGACGACAGCGAGACCACGGGCATCGAGCGCTTCGACGTAGCCGGGGATGTCGGAGGGCTTCTGGACGGCTGGGGTAGCGGGGGCAGCGAGCTGCTCGTCGGCCTCTTGGGGCTGGGGCGCCGCGCCAGGCCGCCAGAGTTTGTTGCGGAGGCGCTCGGTGAAGGAGAGTTTTGGCGGGGGAGGGGGGGCGGCGCCCTTGGTGGCGTAGAAGCGTGTTGCGGGCACGGCGCGGGCGCCGCGGAGGGCTGCTGCTAGCCGTGGTGCTGCTGCGCGGTACATGTTCTGTGTGGATGGGGGGGTGGGTGTGGTGGTGGTGGTGGTGGTGGTGGTGGTGGTGGTGGTGGTTTGGGCGGAGGGAGTGTGGTGGTTGGGTTGGTGGGGTGGTTTGGCTGGTTGCTGGTTGCTGGTTGCTGGGGAGGAAGTTTTTTGAGGCTCTTGATGCCTGTTGCGGTTTAGGTCCGATGGGGAACATGGGACTGCGGCAGGCAGGGGCAAAGGAAGGGAGGAAAGAAGGAAAGGGACGGTTTTTTTTTGCAACAACTGCAAGACCCAGGATTGCCATTTCTATATTACAGAGTGCAGAATTCCATCTTCTCCCCCCAGATATCATTTCCGTACATTTTCCCTCCTACACTGTGCGCCAATTGCTCCAATCCCTTTAGCCCATCACGTGTATGTAGGTTACTCGCCTTCGCAGAGGTCCTCCAGCAGCTCCACAACGCGCTTCCTCAGCGCCTGCAGCTCCGCGTCCTCCTTCTCCGGCAGGCTCGCGCGGCAGAAGAACGGGATGCCCATCGCGGCAAACTCGGAGGTCATGTGCTTGACCATCTCCTCGCTGCGGGTATACACCTTCTGGTCGAACACCCGGAGCTCTTCCTTCTCGCTCTCGGGGGTCTGTATATATGCAGAGGTATTAGTTAATTAGCTGGACGGGGTGAGAATTCGTGATTTGATGTGTGTGTGAGGATGCTTACGGGGAGATTGCTGGTGGTGGTGGGCATTGTACCGAGTTTTTTCCTGGCCGCGGTGTCAGTGCTGTCTGCTGGCTGGTACTTTAAACTGCAAAACTCTGGGATGGGAGGGAGGGAGGGAGGGAGGGAGGGCTTACAGTAGTTCGGCGATCTTCTTGTTACTCTCTACTCTGGCCTCATGTTTCCTGACGAGTTCCTCTCGCGCGACCCACCTGTCCAGCCCCGTAAGTCTGTCAGCCAAAACATACATACAATCCCCTCCCCAACTCTCCAGGTGTAAAACCCACTCACCACTGCTTCTCATGGTCGTGCTGGTGCTTCTTCATCTACAAACACCCCCCCACCCCTCCTCATAAGCCATTGCGTTCACTCGCGCGCCCCTCGTAACACCTCCAAATACTCGTAGAACATACGCACCTTCTTGACCTGCGCCATGATCTCCTCGTTCCTGTAGATGGTGTTCATGACATACTTGAGCGCCGCCGGCCAGTCCGTGATATTCTTCGGGTCCACCACTGTCACTGTCGCCGGCGTCACTGGTATAGGCGCTGGGGGCTGCTGGTAAAGCGAGCCATGGAGCCGCGGGTCTACTGCTGGCGGGAATTGGGGCCTGGAGTGAGGCGCTGGTGGTGCTGGTGGTGCTGGTGGTGCTGGTGGGGGGAGGTGAGTAGTGCTGGTCTGGGCGAGGATGCTGAGGAGACGGGTTACGTCGGCGTTCACGTTCATGGTATGTGTGGGACGGGGGAGGGAAGGGGGCGAGGGAGGGGGGTATTGGCTACTGGGGGACAGGGGGATGGGGGGAATGGGGGGATTCAGGTGTGAAGGCTTAAGGAGCGTGCAAGAGTGGCTTAACAGTGGAGGTGAACTGGGAGAGAGTACTGGATTGTAATTGTGGTGAGAGAGGTAGAACTACACTGTCACTGCAGTTACCTGCCTGGCACTGCTGGAGTACTGCTTCTGCTTGCTATCCACCGCTCATCCTGGGTGTCTCTCTGGCTGTCTGCGCATTAAGAAAGGAGTGAATGCCAAACAACTTCACCATCCTCGCCCTTGCCCTCGCCCTCGCCCTCGCCCTCGCCCTCGCCCTCGCCCTCGCCTATCGCTTATCGCTTGCACCCGACGCCCCGAACAACCAAGCACGCTAGCCCGCACCCGCCACTAGCGTCACGCAGAGGTCACGTCAGATTTCCAACATCGCCCACTCACCCCACCAAAAAAAGTTATCACCACCGCTCCTCCTCCCCTCCATCCATCGGGACGAAACAAAACAACCTTTCCCCTCAAAAACACCTCCAACTCGATAGATTACAGACTACCACCAAAAATAAATAAATAAAAAGCTCAATTTCAAAAAAAAAAAAAACCCACAACTCGCAATGGCACCCCCGCGCTCCGTGGCAGATGCCACCCGCTTCACCGCGACCGGACCCCACGCCTTCACCCGCGCACCCCCCAGCAGCGGCAGCGCCAGCGGCGGGGAGACGCCCCAGCAGCGCGTGGCCCGCCTCCGCGAGGCCGCTAACAGGGCAAAGATGGACCAGGTCGGCACGTTTGACCGCATCGTGGACCGCGGCCGCATCTGGGCCGACAGGGCTCACAAGGTTGTTGCCATTGGGCTTATTGGAGCTACAGGTGCATTGCTATTTTTTGTCCCCAGTAGAGTGGATGTGGATGGGGGTGTGAATGGGTGGGGGGGAGTGAGTGGGATGAGAAGAAGATGCTAATTGGTGAGGGTAGTGCTTTGCGGTGGTATCACGATCTTTGCGTTTACGGACATGGTGATGTTTGCGAGGAGGAAGAAGCGGGCATATGTACCTCCCCCCCCCTTTCTCCCCCGCCTTCTCTCTAGCTTTCCCCGCCTTCTCTCCCGCTTCCCCCCCCCCCCCACCTTCTCTCCCGCTTCCCCGGAGCAATTCTAACCTTTTCTCAACCCTTCCCCCCCTAGGCCGAAGAGCAACGCCACCTCCAAGAAACGCAAAAAGAGTCCCAAATCCTCGCCGCCGTCGCCTCCGGCACCGACGAGGCCACCGCCCGCCACGAAGTCGACCTCGCCCACGAGGTCCGCAAGGGCAAGCCCGTCACCACACGGCTGAAGGAATGGGCGCTGAGCGGGCTCACGCCGCCCGAGAAGGAGGCCGTCGCCGTGGATGGGCGCGAGATTGCTGCTGCCACGGCGGCGGCGGGGGGGCCGGTTGTGACGGCGGTGGGAACCCCTGTGGGTGCTGCCTCTCAGAGGGTTGGTGGTGGTGGTGTGCCGAGAGATGAGATGCTGGATAGACCGGGTGCTGATGATCTTGTGAAGGGGGGCAAGGCGCAGGGGGGGAGCACGGGCATGTTGAGTAGCATCACGGGGTGGTGGAAATGAGGGAGTGCAATTGCAATTGCATTTGGTGGAATGAAGTGGGCGAGTGAGTGCACCCATCTTTGTGTGTGTGTGTGTGAAAGAGAGAGAGCGGGATGGGGCGAGGGGGGGCGTTCGGTCGTGTACAGGACTTGCTGGGGGGCGGGGAATTATGCATGGAAATAAATTCATGGATGGCTGCTTTTTTTTTTGTATATTTTTTCTCTCTTTCGCTTTTTTGTGGCTCCCTCGCTCAAATTGTATATAAGACTAATTTCTGCCCTGGTTATAAAAGAAGTGGGCCGCTTTTATTTTGCTCCCCGCTTCCCCCCACCCGCTCCCCGCCTCTCCGCAACGAAGGAGAGGTTGACGATTTGGATGACTACAATATAATAGGAATATAGTTTGCAGATCTACGTCTCGTTGATATGATAATAGATGTGATGATCAGGCCGCCTCTTCCCCATAAGTCAAACCAAATACCGTGCATAATGGAAGGTTAGAATCCGTCCTATGTAGTGCAAGATAATGGGGTTTGGGGAACTAACGTCGTGGTTGTCTGGTTTTGGGGTTTGAAAATCGTATTAATAGGCCTAGCTATAGCTAGGAGGTCTAATATAGATATATATGAGGGGCTGTCTTATATGGCAATTGCAAGGGCTATTAGGATATCTACATATCCTAAATACCCGGAGAGAAATTTGTATAGGTACAGTCGTTTCCGGGACAACGGCGAACCTGGTTCGATGGCGAATGGACCAATTGAAGACAACAAAAGACAGTGCACCGACCCTTTACCTCGGCTGACTATCAGCCTGAAAGTCGCCCATTCGTCATCGAGCCGGGTGAGGGACGATTGTATCCTTATAAAGAGAATTATATAAAGGTTAGCTAGGTTTGTTTCGAATGACTTGACGAGAAAAGAGGATACATAGATTGTTAGCTGACCTTTTCTATTAATTAGAGTAACGGATCCGGATGATTAAAGATTGTAATTTCGACCCCCATGTGCCAATCCTGTGCCTGGTATTACCTGCCTCAGCAATTAAGGCATGCATAGCGGTATTAGAGTAGTATAGCACCTACACCAGAGTGTGTTGGTATGTACACAGCTCCGGAGCACGAGAATATTAACTACATGCTGGTGAAATCTGGCGATAGTTGGTTGTGCGGCTACAGAATCAATTCAGCTGAGGCGGCTGATGATTCGAGGCGCATGTATGCAAAGATAACTGGCTGGTCGGTCGCAAGGATACCTACGTGTCATACAAATACGTACACATCACTCAAACCACGCGATATATGATACAGCCTTGTTCGATTTAAGAATCGGATATCCCCTCAAAATCCCCACATGTCTTTAGGCGAAATCAATCAGGCCCCGGGATTGCTGGAGATAGCTATCTACGTATAGATATGCAGGCGACAAAATCGGTGGCCGATATCACGGTTATCAACACTTACAAACTAGATACTTATTTATATTCAACAGACAGGAACGACCTGTACAGTACGACCTTAGGGAGGCACGGTGTAGAGGCTTGGTTGAGGGTGGGGAAGATTGGAGAGGGAGGTTTTGGCAGTGTTTGGCTTGAAAAGAAACGTTCTACAGGAGAGTTGAGGGCTGTGAAGAAGATTTACCTTGAAAAGAGTCGGAATTTCCCCTATGCCCGAGAGCTTAATGCTTTGATAAAAGTATGCAGTGTAAGTAGTTTCTCCTTGCCAGTCTCCAAGTTGCTGGGGGTTTAATAAAAACTCGACAGCATCGGGATTTGTTCGTTAAATTCCTCGGCTGGTACGAGGAAGCTGATTTTGTTTTTCTTATGATGGAATATCATGAGGATGGAGATTTGGGGCAATATCTCAAAGGTTCCCGGTTGAAAGCACGGTCAGAGGTGAAGGAAATTGCCACTCAACTACTAAAAGGGCTGGCAATCTTGCATGAGAATAACATCTGCCACCGTGATCTAAAACCAAAAGTTTGTACTTCATATTAGAATTATCCTTCATGTACATACTAACTCGGTTTTAGAACATTCTTATCGGCCGTCGTTCACCCATCCAAGTCAAGCTTGCCGATTTTGGGTCATCAAAATCCACATTAGATACGAGTCTACGAACTAGGTGTGGTACCTCAGGTTATATGGCTCCAGAACTACATGGGATCGGCTTCCCGTGCCGGAATCGTTACACCAATGCCTTGGATATCTGGTCTCTGGGTTGCGTAATATACGAGATCTTGACCTCAGAACCACCATTTCTGTGGAAGTCAGAGGATACGGATGATAGCGCTAGCTTGTGTACGATACTGGACGCCAATTTCACCATTCCCGCTCCAGAGGTCGACCTTGTAGTCGTTATGCGTTTCTGCGAAGGGAAAGCCGGTTTCCCGGTGGAAGCTCTTGAAGAAGCTGGTGTGGATGATATTGGAATAAACTTCCTGAAAAGCTTATTAGTCGCCAACCCCGCTTCAAGGATTACAGCTTCGCAGGCCTTACTATCGATAAGTACATGGTTTTATGGCATGCGAAGAAGCCTGTACCAAGTGAATATTTCTAATATTCTAAAAGATCAATTCCATGGACTGGGACAAGAATTAAGTTGGTTAGTCATAGGCAAGTTTGTGACGCAGTGCAGAGTGCGTCAAAACGTCGACATGAGTGTGTTAGGTTTAACAAACATCTCGGCCTATACATTACATGAGGCTATCAGATGCGGATATCGGACCATTGTTGATCTACTTTTAAGTGCATACCCAGATGACGTTAACGCCACGGTTTTTCGACAAGAAGCTTTTCTTTCAGCAGCAAAATCAGGATACCTAGCAGTGGTCGTGGTACTCTTGGATTGGGGGGTAAATGTCAATTCCAAAACGAACTATGACGAAACGGCTTTACATCTAGCAGCAATATGTGGACACCCCGAAATAATCACACTACTCTTAGGCAGAGGAGCGGATGCAAATTCCAAAACGAACGATGGCAAAACGGCTTTACATCTAGCAGCAACATTTGGACACCCCGAAATAATCACACTACTCTTAGACAGAGGAGCGGATGTCAATTCCAAAACGAACGATGGGGAAACGGCTTTACATCTAGCAGCAAAATCAGGATACCTCGGAGTGATCGAAAAACTCTTAGACAGAGGAGCGGATGTGAATTCCAAAACGAACAATGGGAAAAAGGCTTTACATCTAGCAGCAACATTTGGACACCCCGAAATAATCACACTACTCTTAGACAGAGGAGCGGATGTCAATTCCAAAACGAACTATGACGAAACGGCTTTACATCTAGCAGCAATAGGTAGACACCCCGAAATAATCACACTACTCTTAGGCAGAGGAGCGGATGTCAATTCCAAAATGAACGATGGGGAAACGGTTTTACATCCAGCAGCAAGATTTGGACACCTCGGAGTGATCGAAAAACTCTTAGACAGAGGAGCGGATGTGAATTCCAAAACGAACAATGGCAAAACGGCTTTACATCTAGCAGCAACATTTGAACACCCCGAAATAATCACACTACTCTTAGACAGAGGAGCGGATGCAAATTCCAAAATGAACGATGGGGAAACGGCTTTACATCAAGCAGCAAGATTTGGACACCCCGAAATTCTCACACTACTCTTAGGCAGAGGAGCGGATGCAAATTCCAAAACGAACGATGGGGAAACGGCTTTACATCTAGCAGCAAAATCAGGATACCTCGGAGTGATCGAAAAACTCTTAGACAGAGGAGCGGATGTGAATTCCAAAACGAACGATGGGGAAACGGCTTTACATCTAGCAGCAACATTTGGACACCCCCAAATTCTCATACTACTCTTAGATGAAGGAGCGGATGCAAATCCCAAAACGAACGATGGGGAAACGGCAGCAGAATTTGGAGATTTTGATATGACCGTTCTACTCTGCGATGATTTGGAATTCGAAGAGGATTCGCCGGTAGCGAAGCGTCGACGGATTGGCTGAGTTGCATCAGTACTAGCGACAGGGCCTCGAAGACGGTCAAAGATTGCCGAGCGATTGGAAGGCCTAGTATAATACCTAACAAGAGCTACATACGGGGGCCGCATTGATTCGACGTTTGAATAGCCAATTTCTACTATCGCAATCTTAGGCCGAATATTCGGGTATTGTAGAACGAGCTGTAACAAACTCTATTACAAACTCGAACAACCGAACAAAATGTTCTACCGTCAATACTGCAGTGGTTTTTTTTTTTTTTTTTTTTTTTTTTTTTTTTTTTTTTTGTTGGGGGGGGGGGGGGGGGGGGGCTGTCAGGCGCACCGTGCATGTGAATCTCCTGATCGCTAAGTTGTAAGTATTTGACCGATTGGTACATTATATCTTAAAATGATTGGCTCTGGGGTTATTTGAAAAGTGCTATTTTGGCGTTTTTTGGTGATTTATGTCACCGTATTGTACATACTTGTACTTTTTCTTCTTTTTTCTTGTGTAAATAAGAGACCTAATTAGCCGGAATTTTCCCTACAGATGACCATCAACTTTTGGCCGGACTGGAGCCCCTCGCTTCAACTCTTGGAGTGATAGGATATTAGGATGGGTGTATATATTCGAATCTCCCAATAAGAGTACCTGCTCTAAGAACAAGCGCTCTATAAGGATACCGTGCGACTTCTCGATCCTTGTTGGGCCTTTTTAAGTGCAAATTAGCCTTTATTATAAAGATACACGCTCTATAAGGGTACCAATTTCCAGCCCCGAGCGCGCACACCCCTATAGGAAGATTCGATATCTGCAACAGATAACCCACGAGTCCTCTAGATACAAGTCCTTGCTAATTACCTTACATCTATCTATGTTGCTCGACATAGAAGTGTAGGTTGGGTTTAATCTTTTTACTTTATCGGAGCACAATGACGTTCTTCCTGATTATATCGAGATTACTGGAAAGATAAAAGTTTGAAGATCGATCATTGACCTGCCAAGCCCTGCTGTTTCTAAACTTCAAAGCTACAGTACATGTATGTATAGACTAGGACAGAAGTTTTGGTAATATACCCTTTTTACAGCCAAAGTAGCCATGTTTAGCTACCCGAAACAACCACCCAACCTCATCAAAAAAATTCCAACTCTTCAAGGGCAGTTGAAATTATCTCACGACGGAGTCCAGAGAATTCTAGAATTTTGAGTCCATTCTTCAGGCGTGTGCAATCTAATTTTTAAAGTCATTATTTGAGTGTTTCTGATTTTGTATGGTGTTCCCATACAAATTTTGTGTTGCAACGGCAACCAAACGTTACCAAAACTTCTGTACCCTGATTGTACATACTCTATGTACATGTCCCTGTTTCAAAGTTATTGTCTATGTATGTGTAATTCGAGGTCTAAGCCTACTAAATGCCTTTTATCACTTTCAAATCTCTAGTCGTTTTTGAATACTTGAAACTACAATTGTACCTAAGTACGCAGTTGAGTTCAACCACTAACAAATACTCGGGATAACATCATAAACCTGCGGACATGTATGTAGGTGATGTCACCCAGTGAGTACTTAGCTAGAGTACTCTCTCCCAAGTTCTCGTTCAGGTATTCTATAGACACCAGTTGACGCTGTGGCAATGCCCAGAAACAGGGATTGTGCAAGCATTTATAGTGTTGAGGTGCAGTATAGGAGATTGTTGAAATAAAACTCGAAGAAAAGGGGGTTCATCATTGGCAAATAAAATGGAGCACTTCAAGTTCATTGAGCTGCTGTTATGTAATCCATGGCCCAGAGAATTGGAATCGCCATCTTGGCAGAGACCAAAATCTTTAAGATCCCGATATTGAATCCCGTTAAAAGAAAGATCTTTCTGGCTATGGGGATCCAGTAATTTGGCCTAAAATAAGACGATCGTTAAATCATAAACCCGCAGGGTCGACGTCGTGAATCCATGTTTCAAGAGAGAGGTTTGAACGCAAAAAAGCGGGTAACCAACCAGCTAGGGCAAACCCTGGCCCCACTCCCGGCAGTCCCGCACACACCCAACACGCAGCTAGCCTAGAGAGTCACCAAAAAAATAATTCACCCAGCAGCGCCAGTCCAAACAACCGCCCAACCCGACGACCGACGATAACTAACATCATTGAGTTCCATCGACAGTAGCAATGGCCATTAAGCACAATCAGGTATACCCCCGCTATTTCGAAAAAATTTACCCCCCCATGCGGGGCCCACCTGGAGGAATCATCGATGCTGATTGAAGGTTTATAGCAAATCCCCAACAACCATTTCCGCAAGGACTGGCAGCGTCGCGTGCGGACCCACTTCGACCAGGTCAGTAAATGATATCTATCGAACCGACCCCCCTCCGAATCATTCATTTCTAGTCATCTCGACGGCTTGCGAGTGCTGAAGAAGGGGAAATCAATGCGCGGGAAGCTGACGGGTTTTTGTTTTGGGGGAAATATAGCCAGGCCGCAAGCTCCGCCGTAGAAATGCTCGTCTCACCAAGATCGCTGCTATGGCTCCCAGGCCCATCGATCTCCTGAGGCCTGTCGTCAGATGCCCAACCATCAAGTACAACCGTCGTGTCCGTGCCGGTAGGGGGTTCACTTTGGAGGAGCTGAAGGTGAGATATTCACTCTGGATATTGGAATTTTGGGGATCTTGGGAGCGATAAAAGAGAGGGGGATCAATTGGGGAAACGGAAATGAAGAGCCCATCGGAGGCTACTTGGATACAAGGAAGAGTGGGTGGGGGATAATGGCCACTAAAGAGAGAGAGCTGGGATATCAAGTTTCGTGACGGAAAAGGGACAGTAGCTGACGTACCCAACAGGAGGCCAAGGTCCCCCGCAAGCTCGCTCTCTCCATCGGTATCCCAGTCGACTACCGCCGCCGCAACACCAGCGTCGAGTCCCTCCAGGCCAACGTTGCCCGCCTCAGCGAGTACAAGTCTAAGCTGATCTTGTGGCCCCGTAACGCCAAGAAGGTTCAGCCTGGTGAGGCCTCTGCTGAGGCCACCGCCGAGGTTAAGCAGCTCGCCCGTGTTGCCTCTATCTTCCCTATCGACAACACCCCCGGCCGTCACGCCGTCGCTGAGCGCGTCATCACCGATGCTGAGAAGTCCCGCAATGCGTTCAGGGAGCTCCGTGTCGCTCGTGCTGACGCCAGGAACCTTGGTAAGAGGGAGAAGAGGGCTAAGGCTAAGGAGGATGAGAACGCGGCCAAGAAGAAATAAACATAAAGTCTTACATGGCCGGGGGGCTGTGGGGATGATGCTGTTATGGAACCAAAATAAAAACAATGTTCTTTTTTTTTCTTCAACCTATGTGCAGCATATTTTGCGAGAAAAAAAAATTGGGGAAAATGGGTGCGTTGTGCATTTTGTAGTATTTCTTTTTTATATTTTCTTTACCTTTTTTTTCTCTTGTTCAAAATTCCAGGGGTCTTTTTTTTGTTGCTCTCTCTTCCTCATTTCTGGGTCCCATTGTGAGATTGGAAAGAACTTGTGGATGGCTTTTCGCAACAGCAGGGCATGTGTGAGAACAATACCTTTAGATTCGAACTATAGTTGCGAATGCACGAGTATTTGATGGGTAAGATATGGATTTTAAATATTAATTCGTAAACAAGGTGACGAAAGTCTCACCCGAAGCTCCAACCTCCGTGAAATCTGAAGCTATAAAGCTTTAAACGTCGAAACACAATCTATCACTCGATCAGCTGCATACATTCTGGTAGCTACGACTGAAGCCCTTTTAAGAACTCTTGATATTTAACACGCCTTATGGATTTTGCTTGTTAGTAGGGGCGTAGCTTCTAGCGTAGCCGGCGTGGTATGATGTATCGGTGAAGGGTTTTAATCACAAAGCATCACTCGACGAACTTGACGAGCAACTCCCTCAGCAGTCTTGGTGACCTAAGTACATGTAACTCTGAGGTGATAATTACACGCAGCTACATGTTTTTTGCAGTTGGGGACTGACATTATTCCTGGGGCGGGTGAGTACGTGGGCATCTGCGCCGCAGCAGTAATCATCCATCTTGATGAGTACTAAATTTACAGTCGTCATCATGCAACCTCCCCCCTTCCCCCAAAGCAAGATTCCTCCAACACGCAACGTTCTTTGACGTGCCAGGAAAACTACGCGTTCTGTGGCTGAGCAGTGCTTTATGTACTACATGTAGTACATGTAGTGACGTTTTCAACCAAGTGCGGTATGGCCATTGCATGTGAAAGGGCCCTGTTCCCAATGTGGCTGGAACATGCCGGAACACCCCGCCAACCCATCCCGCCACAATTACTCGTATGACGTACTACCCCGCCCTTCATAATGAGCTTTTGATATAAAACCATCAAGTCTCGCAGCGTAAATCTACCCCTTTCTTTCGATCATCATCATACATTTGCAATTGAAAATTTACCGATAACAAATCACCTTAAGCTCAGCTTCTTCAACTACGACTCTATACCACTACCATCAACGCCACCACTCTCACAACTGCAATAATGGCTCACGCTCAAACTGTTCACGTTTCCAACATTGCCTCAACGACTCCTGAAAAGGAGATTCGTGACTTTTTCTCCTTCTGTGGCAAAATCACTTCTCTAAGCATCACTCCTACCTCCGCAGACGCGAACTCGACCCAGTCCGCAACTGTAACCTACGAGCGTGAAAGCGCCGCAAAAACCGCCCTCCTCCTCGACGGCACCAAGCTCGGTCCCAACCCTGTAAAAGTCGAGACTACACACTCTCTCGATGAGATTGCGGGTGGGCATGTTGCAAGTGGCGACGCAGACGCACCAAGTTTCGGCACCACCGAGGAGCAGCTAAGGCAAGAAGACAAGCCCCGCACAGCAATCCTGGCAGAGTACCTGAGCCATGGGTACGTAGTTGGTGATACCGCACTTCAGAAGGGTATTGAACTGGACACCAAGCATGGAATCTCGGCTACCTTCACCGGGTACTTAAACAAAGCACTCAGCACAATCGATAACACTACCCATGCATCCACCACAGCTAGGAGCATGGATTCCCAATACCATGTCACCGACCGTGCCCTTGGCGCAAAGAACACCCTTACAACTTATTTTGAGAAGGCTCTCGGTACACCAACAGGGCAGAAGATCCGTTCGTTCTATTCAACTGGTGAAAAGTCATTGCTTGATATCCACAACGAGGCTAGGAGACTTGCAGAGCTGAGGAAGAGCGAGAACAGGCGTTCCGCGGAACTTGGTGCAACCGCTGATGGAAACCCGTTCGTTGGCCCTGAGAAGACTACCTGCGCTTGTGGAGGGAACGAGGGTGTTTGCTCTTGCGAACCCGGGAAGTGCGCTTGCGCGGGCTGTGACATGAAGGGAGTGAAAAAGGATGCTAAGAGTGCACAAGTGCAGTTCAGTGAGGCCGCTATCGATATCGGGAATACCGCGAAGGATTTGTAAGATGGGTCTTTGCAAATTATAATAGCATTTCTCTTTTTTTCTCTTTTTCTATGAGATTTTCTTTGGAGTAGGGTTTCTTTCTTCTTTCTTGCTTTCTGGTTGTTGGGGTGGGTTTGCTTTTCAACTTATGAACCATTTTATATGTTTTTAAGAATTTCAATTTGATGTCAGGGAGCCGAAGCAGTGTTTACAAAATTGTAACTTTTGAGTTCCCAATCATTAGTATTATCGCTGCGATTCGCATTCATGTGTAGATTGTCATAATAGGTAATAGAGCTTAATACCTGTCAGGACAGTAGACCGAATCCTCACGGGCCATAATTCTCATCGCAAGTCAGTTCAATTGTCGTTGAAAGTGCAACAGTTTCACCTGCCGGTATCGCCGTTTTGTTCGCCGGTCTCATCGTTGATCTCACGTCATGTTTCCCCTGCCTGCCTCGTCCCAGTTCTGTGCTGTTTTATGAAAATCTCTAAGCCCTATCGGTGTATCCCGGACCCTGAAAAAGTACCTGTAGTGTCAGGAAACCAGTTGCGTATAGATGACGTCATAGCTACGCACCAGCGACCTGCAACTCAACGGTATATAAAATACCAAAACCACCCATCTCTACCGTTTTTCCAAACCACATAACACAATCCTCCTCCAAAACACACAAACAAAAACTAAATACCCTACTTCAGCCTCCTCCATAAAACCACACTCTAAAACAAAATGTCATCCCGCGAAGGCCGTCAGTCACCTCCCCCCGAGTCGCAGTCTGGAAGACAGTTGAACGATCCCCCAGCCGAAGGAAAGGCGCAGGCCGCCCCGTCGAAAGACTTCTCGAAGAACAAGAGCGAACAAACGAAGGAGCACGGGTTGAGCTCGAACCCAGAGGGGCCATTGGACAAGCAGGCTGAGTTGAAGGCTAGTAAGCCAGGTGAAAGGAGCATGGATGGATTGTAAAGGATGGGAGTCGATGAATGTTTTTCCTTTTTATCTCTTTTTGTAATTTCTTTTTCTTTGTATCGAATTCTGAGTTTATATCATGCTTTGATACGCACTTAGGCGACTTTATCTTCTGTGCAATTCTCATTCAGACCCAAATAAAGCTGTGAAGATTTGCAATTGATATCTTGAATGCGCCAGACCTGTAATTGTCACGATAATAGCTTTCTGCTCAAGGAGTAACATTATTAGGGTGCGTTTGGGAACGGCTTAAACAAAGGTTAACAGGGGTAAAAATCCGTTAAAATTGAAAACGTCATTAGGAGAAAAGTTGATGTTTGGCATCCCACTTTTCAGTGTAGTCTTGATGGTTTTAACGGAGTTTTGAAAAAGTAGCTCTGGGCTGCTTTTCCAAATCACTTGCATTGCACCTAAACCACTAAACGGTATTCGTGTAAATTTCTCAGTTTGCCAAACGGGCCCCCCCTTTTTTTTTTTTTTTGTTTAATTCATTAATTGTATGCAGCCCTTAAGCTATGACAATCCAAACGGACCCTTAAATAGTAACAGTTATACGTTCTTCTGAGGTTAGCGATGGAATGAATATATAAGCACTATCAATTGCTTTGAACACATGAAATTTTACCTAACCTACCTCATGGTGATATTGAATGACCTATTTACACAGCCATCGATAACTATCGGTCTGGATCACCGAGTGATAAGCCATGACTCAAGAAAGCACAAGGTTAACTCATTTTTGATTTTAAGCCCTCAACGCTCAGTAAACGCATAACTTAGAGCCCGTTGCATTCCGGTTATATTACCTTATTATGACAAGAGATATCGTTTAATATGTTATAGTACATTGATTGGCCCTTTCCTAGTATGAACACTTCGACATGGGGAGTGTGGGAAAGTCTGTAGATATGCCACAGTGAAAAGTCTGTAAATTATTAGTGGCATGTGATCCATGTGTTGTTCAACTGCGCACAGCACGAAAGTTCGGTAGCAAGTAGATGTTGCTCAATGGTACGTTTCATCACGAATAAATTTATTAAGCGCATGTAGGTACATACAAACGTGCTTCACCCCTCGGGATTAATTTCATTTATCTTTATCTACGATCCAATGGGGCTAATCCATGTTATGCAATCCAAAAGTATGGCCCGTTTCCAGCCCACGAGCGTGGGAGGGAAAAATCGTAGAAGAAAGACACCCACGCGCGATGAGCATCATTATTTCCCGGAAGTTGAAACTTTAGTGTAGACCAAGAGTAAATAGATACATGTAGTTAATGTACAATACTGTATGTATCCAGTTAGACTACATCGTCCACGTTGGCCGCCCCCCAGGAACGTTGGCACTGGTGGTTCGAACCGGTCCCTGGTCTTTTACTTCTTGGTGTTTTTATTTCATTTTTTTGACAGGCGTTTCGCCGCCTCTGCTCTAAGTACAAGCTTCCACCCCACGAGGTCCGGGGAGGGGGTAGTTCGGCGCGGAGTTATCTTTACCCTGACCCTACCCTGACGCTTGTCATCTTGGCCGCGGTCGGTTTTCCTCTATCTTTCAGTTTTGTAGTGGGTGTTTTGATGAGATCATTCCTTGAGGCATTTGAAAGTAGGAATCCCCGATTCCCCCTCCCCCTCCTCACCCAGCCATCTTCTGAGACACCTTGTTCACACGCTCCAGCCGCCTCCCACCAAACTCTCAAATCAGCCACAACAACAGAAGCAGCACGCACCCTTAACCCAGGAACAACAACTCTATTACCCCCATTACCTACACATCCCATTCACATCCCGACCGAATAACGAGTGTGAAGTTCCACCAAGTCTCTCAGTCTACCACAACTATACTGCACTTGGTGAACTATGGGGAACACTTCCACAAAGGAACGCTCGATGACGCCCCCGCACGGAGGCCACCATCATCTCTCGTCTACAGCCCTTTCCTCGCGAAGGAACGGTGGTGGTAACAATGGTGGGCCATCGTCTTCCGGTCGCCTTTCGGGCACTCTGCTCTCTAGTGGGGGCGCGGGAAGCAGCGAGAGCTATTCAAGCAGGGGGAGGTCAAGGCATAATCTAGAGAGTTCACTGTTCGGACTAGGCCTGACAAGTAGAGAGACAAGGGAGCGGGATAGAGAGGCCGAGAAGGAGGCAAGAGAGCAGAGGAAGATAGAGCGAGAAAAGGAACGACTGAAAGAACGTGAGAGGAGTCTCAGGGAGGAAAGCGTAGATGGTGAGTACTCCACATCTGGTGTTTTGACAGCTAGATTTAAGGACGCGGGGGACAACAAAGTGGCGGCTGACCTTATCGGATCTTGCTAGGGGGTTTCCTGGTCACGCAGGGAGTTTATACCGGTGTTGAGGACTTCAAGGATAAGATTGTTCGACATTTAATGGTACTTACTTCCATCTTTAACACATGAGCCTCAATATGCGGCGATCAGGTTACTAATGCGACCTTTTCGTTTTGGTGTAGATCGAGCGACGGCTGGCACCTTTCTTCAAAGGGCTCGATGACCACGAGCCTGACTGGACCGACGCACAGCTTGTTGCTGCTGTCAAAGGATTGCCCATTCCTTCACCGGATGCACAAATACACACCGAGACAAAATCTCGATCTCCCAGTAGGACTCCCGGCCCCTCGGATTCGGCAAACAACCTGACCGTCCCCATAGCTTCTCGTTCGCGTTCGCAATCCTACACCTCTGAAGGCTCCAACAGGTCTGCTACCTCCACGCCATCATCATTTGGGTTCTCCTCCAGGGCCAGGGCCAAAACTTTATCAATATCGGCCCCGCGCAATCCTACATTGGCAAATACAACTGGTCCTGCTGAGATTAACGAGCCTTCTAGAACTGTCGATGGTCGCCCTATAGAGGCCGTGCTCTACAAAAATGCAACAGAATGTCCAATTTGCTTTTTATATTACCCGCCATATTTAAATAAAACAAGGTGTTGCGACCAGGACATTTGCTCAGAATGTTTTGTCCAAATCAAGCGACCAGATCCCCACCATCCAGAACACCATGAAGGGGATCAGCCAACCGCGTCTGATGAAAACGCTTTAACAGGTACGGCAGATCAACTCATTTCCGAACCGGCAACTTGTCCCTTCTGCGTAGAGCCCGAGTTCGGTGTTATATATACCCCACCGCCATTTAGGCGGGGTTTGATGTTTGCCAATTCTCAATCTCAAAACCAAATACCATCTCCAATGAATTTTGGGTTCGCTGATGGATCCTCTTCGTCTCTACCGGGTCATTGTTCGGGGACGCCACCATCTTTTCCGTCAAGTCCAATTACACCCACAGGAAAGCGACGCTTGGCATTGGGTGTAAATAACCCTGAAGTTGTCACAACTGACCGCATCCGACCCGACTGGTCCCAAAAGCTTGCCACAGCACGCTCTCATGCTGCTAGACGAGCAGCAGCAGCAACTGCTTTACATACAGCAGCATATCTTATGGGCCCTCACAATCCACCAGCCAGCTCAAGCAGTACCAGCGGTGGGTTCTCATCGCGGCGATTGATCCGAAGAGCGGTGCGTGATGGTGGAGGTAATAACAATCCGGGCGCAGAAAGTGATACCCCTTCGCCGGCTCAAAGTGGAACTGGCACTCCTAGAGATGGCCACCATGGTGCCGGGGGATTAACTAGTCTGACAAGCTTCACGGAAAGATTAACAGGCTCGGGAAATTTCCGAGATGGATCCACATTAGGGCCCTCAAGTGCCCATCGTGATAGCAGCTTGTTCAATGAGCGAAGAAGTCGTGTGATCGATCTGGAGGAAATGATGTTGATGGAGGCTATCCGTCTTTCTCTTGCGGAGGAGGAAGAACGGAAGCGGAAAGTCGAACTGGAAGAGCAGAAAAAACGTCTTGCCGCCCCTAGCATTTCTACTAGAAATGGGTCAAATATTTCTCTCGCCAGTAGCAGTGGTAGTGTCGAAGGTAAGGGTAAAAGTGTCGACCGATCTTTATATCCGCAGGCCAGCGCTGCCGGCGCTTCATCTTCTTCAGCAGTAACTACCAACTCTCGCCCGCAACTTACAAGTGGGGGGTCAGGATCCGGATCCGGAGCTAGCGACACAAGTAGCTTTAGGAGCCTCCCGGGGAGCGACGATGAAGGGATGACCTCCGAGAATGCGGGGAGTGGAACAGAGACAATGTTCAACTTTCGCAGTTTGGCGGAGATGATTGTCGAGGAAGAAGGAGGGAGGGTTGACGTCGATGGACAGGGCGAATTTGTAGGGGTGTCGAGGGACGAGGAGAGAGAGGGTAAAGAAGACGCCGAGACTGCTGAACACGTCGAAGATGTTGCCCATGATTTGAGGGCAAATGGGAAGAATGTTACTGAGAGAGCAACCGAAGCTTAATGGACTACAATCAACATCATGTGTAATGAGGAATGCGAAAACGATTAACTGACGAATCCGGAGAGGAAACTCCACAAGTATGTGGTCTGAGTACTTTATTAGACAATTGACGAAAGCGATTACGCCCTATTTCGGTTTCGGCCTATATTTTCTTACACTCAAGTATATATGAAGCGCATTTCGGAGCGTATATAAAAGAAGGAAGGGGCTTAAGAAGAGATACGGAACACGGGAGGCGGAGAGAGGAAGCAGAGGTCTACGGACGATAGTACAATGATACTTGAGAAACCAACGAGAAACGACAGGCGTATTTTTCACGGGCGCCAGTGATAGCGGGTATTCATTTTCTTTCCCTTTTTATTTCATATTCCTTTGTATTCATCTGGACTGGCTTTGGATTTGGATTTTTTTGTTTGTTTGTTGGCGGAATTCATCGTATTCTAGCATTCCCCTCACTTCAGGTCAGGTCTCTCCTTTGAGTCTGTTTCTTGATGCTTTCAAAGTTGTCATCAACCTCCATAGCTTTTGTTACGGATAGTTTTATACCTTTTTCGAGTTAGTATTTGAATCTGTTTCAGTAGGTGTGAGGAGGAGGAGGAGGAGGAGGAGGTTGTATCGTAAGTTACGTTGTAGATCGTTCTCACCATGATGTTGATTTCAAGTATTATTGTGCCTGTCCATGCCCACAAAGCTAAGGCTGCGGGTAAAAATGACACCAGCGCCACGTTGCGCTATGCACGCTTGTTTTGACGTCTCGGCGTATGTACCTGCCGATCAAAATAGTGCGCTGTATGTAGATGTGGTCATCAAAGCACGCGCCCAACTCAGTCGCATGAGCCTATGAGACAGTCTTCATACCTACTACCTACATATCTGACTTCAACAGCGTCAAATATTTTCTTTTTTACGGATTTTAGACTCCTTGCATCAATTTTAAGAAGCCCTCTTGGGTATACACCGTAATCACTAGTTGGGTTAATGAGAAATACATACTTCCAGGTTAGTCAAAAGCTAGGCAATCTGAGCTAAATCTAATATGAGACTAGATCCAAGAGGATATTGATGAGCTTGACTATAAAATCTTTGGTTTTGTTATTGTAGGGGAGAATGTGCGTATAGATAAAATATCTGATATATTAGTCGATCTGGCCAAAAGCAAAAAATGACAAGACAGTCTTAAGATCTGACTCGGGTGCGGCTTACAGAAAAGCCCTCTGAAGAAAACAAATGTTCGAAAGACAGGAATTAAGGCTAGCCGAGCAAACCCAGCATATTGAGACCTTCAAATTAAATACAAGACAACGTCTACAGAAACGAATAAGACTGGGACAAGATATATATCCGCTGAAAGTTATCAAGGATACATGTAAGAGTTTAATGACATGTATGTTTCACGAGTGATACGTTATGAATATGTCTAAAGACGGATGGATGACAGATCGGCAAACAAATCATTGACCGCACATCAAAACATACTATTTCAAAGTAAATTTTCCAACGATGCAGTTTATGCCATAAGTTTACACCGGACAGACCAGTCTCTTCTAATATTACTTTGCCGTAATTCCGCTCTACATCCCAGACACCACTCACGCCAATAGGAAATGTTTATGAAATAAAAAGAGGTTTGAAAAAATTACTGAAATCTATTCTCTTCTCTCACCGCTTCTAACCCCTTCTCTCTCCAGCCACTTCCAGGCGCCATCCCTATCACCTGCTGCCTCCTCTACCGCAGCAATAGTAAAGGCTAAATCATAACCCCCGCCCTCATGCAATGCGCTTTCCGCGCTCATCCACTCGGCCATTTCCCTCCTTTTCTTCGTGGTTTCATCTACACACAAACTCAATGGGACACTTGTATCCAGAAGTTTATCCGTGATGGGTCTAATGATTGGGAACGCTTTCGCAGTGCTCATAACCCCATCCGGCTTCACCCCACTGTTCTCAAGGCCTGTCTTACACATATCGTTCTGACACCAGGACTTCCCACAACCAGAGAGTAGCTGTTGGAGAAGCTTCCGCTCGACACGACGCTTTAGCTGCGAGCCTGTTGGGTCATACCCTTGTGCATAAAGGGGGCCGAAACAGAACCCGCAAAGTCCGAGGTCGTTCCTTGCATTTTTAGGTGTGCGCGCACAGTTGGGATTTCTACAGACCCTTGGAAGACTTTTTGATAAACGCTGGAGGTCGTGGTTTTTGAGGTGATTTTCCATATCACGCAGTTTTATGATTCTTGAACAGAGATGGCACTCGGTTGTTCGTGATCCGCATTCCAGTTCGTGTTTCGAGAGTCCCGTCATGATTATCTCTGCATTTGGTTGTGACCCATCGCCTTCTCCATCCTGAGGGACGAGAAGATGGCAGAATTTGCAAAGGATTATTTTACCGGGGCAAGTCGTGGTTCTGTGAACAGCAAGGTCGGGAAGATTTGCAGCTTCATAAGGACATGAAGTACAGTGCCGTGGGTGATGAAAGATTGATGCGTGTTTTTCCAATGCTGAGGGGGCATTAATCCCATGTGCGCTGCATTGCGGGCAGTGCCAATGCTGCGATTCAGTGCCGCGTTTAAAAACTTGGTTGCACTTTTTGCAAACGTGATTGTTGCGTAGGCAAAAGTTTTCGTGTAGCATAAAGGTGCGTGCGGGTATCCACTGAGTGCAGTTGTTGCATTTTTTGTAATCTGGTCCTGGGGGGAGTCCATCATTTGTGGGTGTGTCAGTTTCCATATCCTCGGAGGACCCGAGCTGTGTGATTCTGAGAACATATGGTCTTGTGGATTCATCTTCTGATTCCTCGTCATCGCCCGCATCAAGGGTTCTGTAACCATGGATGCCGAAAGATAGTGTAGTTAGATCAACGAGCTCAATATTTGTGGGAGCAATTTTTATGCGTTTTGGATACGAGCTCCCAAAATCTCCCCATACATGTTCGTCATCGTGGGGTTTGCGATGCTGCTTCGACGTTGAAACAAAGATATCTACTTCATCACCGTCTTCCACTCCATCGACATCTATTATGAGAGGCAGATCCCGCTTCCACTCCTTGAGCTCATAGAAATGGTAGCCTCCTGGTAAAACTTGGCCTTGAACAGGCTCGTCGATTTTGACTACCCCGCCTGTGCTAGCCCCGCCTGTCTTACGTGCTATTCGCTGTTTCAATGTTTCTCTTGCTTGCTCTTCTGATAAAGGTTCGATGTCGACCTCCAGATCTACTTAGATGTCAGAGGGCCGATTTAAAGTCTGAAGCAATCAACCACAGGCAAAGACTTACCAGTATCGACGATGCAGACCGCCTCCTCAGGTTCTAGTTTGTCGATCAAGAATCTAAACTCTCCGCGGTCCCCCTTCCCCCGGCTGTTTGTCCTTCCAGCAACTGACAAAATCTCACCTACCGTCAAGGTTGTAAAATGCATCCTCAGATGCCGCTCTAAAAGCGCCTTCCAGTCTTCGTCATCGTAACCAGCTTCTAGAGGTCTAAGCCGTACGTGCGTTCCTTTGGGCAAAGATTTTGAAACAATAGTGATCTTTGCTTTCTCCCTCGTGCTCCCCGTCTCGCCTTCTCGTAACGCCTCCTCGTGTTTCTCCTCAAGACCTAGCGCCTCTCTTAGAAATGGGGATATTCCGACCTCCCCCTCGGCCGCTGAGAACTCCCGTGGTACCGCATGCGAGAAGCGGTTATTTGCAGGATTATAAAGCCTAAATATTAACGGATGGGGCAGCTGTTGATTTCGCTGTTGTGGCTCCTGCGGTGTATCCCATGATTCAAGATCTACAACGGCTGGCGGGGGCTGCGGTGCAGATGCTGATGCGGCGAGAAGCTGTTCGAGGGCAGACTGTGGTAGTAGGATTTTATCGCCTGTTAGTGAGACCGGGGTGTCTGTAGAGGCTGTTACCGATAGCTGGCTGGACCAGTTGAGGGATGGAGTAGGAGCTACCATCGGAAATATCAGGAGGCATGTAGCTATTTACTTAGATGAGAAGTTGAGGTAGGCAAGGGACGCCGCTTCTTTAGTAGTGGGGAGTTGAAGAGGTGGCTTACGGAATGAGGCTTAAAAAGAAGGTACGAGACATTTCCATACAAAATGACATAGCCCGGTGTTACTACCGTAGAGAATGATTAATGATCTACATAGATACATAAGTACCTACATTTTAATCTGGCACCGTGAAACTGGAAAATCGGTCATTGGCAACAAATTTGGCTGTGAATAAATTGGCTGTGCCTTAGACGGTCAGTCCGAATCACAATCAGTGGCTGATGATGATACGCCGAATCACTGAACCCGGCAACCCAAATCACAACCTGTGACCGAACGTGATACGATAACTATACTCTGTTAAACGTAGTTAGTATACGTATTCATACTCTCCTTGAACGTATCGGTACTCTGTATGATCAGTAACGGAGCATAGTTGTATAAGTTTTCTCTAGGTAATGGCGAGCTCGGTTTAAAGGCGAATAAAACCAAACCGCACTAGCTGGTTTACAAACTAAAGAAATAACCATGCAGGATATATTGACCCAGAAAATTCTGTACATATACCCAGGCTCTGTTCTGATTTTTAATGTGTGGCTGTGCAAGAACTTACCGTGCGTCATAGGTGATCACTCGCTCATGATCACTTACGGAACCCATATCTGATGAAAACAATAATGAAGCTGTTCTCATATTTCACACTATGTGGTCCCAACACAGCACATCTAGTAGTACATCATGATATTATTGAGCAGAATTCAAAGTTAAATCGTGGTCACAAAATACCACACAATGCCACACAATGCCACAACACCACGGTGTAGCTAGTGTAGATCGTACCACCGCTTCCCATATCCTTCGTTTCTTTACGATTTATTTTTCCGACGTATCTATTATCTATACCAGGTGGTGTGTTACCCCATGATCCTTTTGTAGGAGGAGCAGTAGTGACTTTATCGGCGGCGCTGGATCCGGGCCGCTTCTAGTCCCCCCATCCAAATTTGATTAACTTTCCGGTTGGTTTTAACACTACATATATCCAGGGTTGTAAGTTGTAGTATTGAGTCAGACTCTATAAGGTCCTAACGAAGAGCTTAATGGGTCAGATCTTACCATAAATAGATCAGATTCCTTAGCAAAAATTACTGTCTAGGGAGAGATACGACACAATGAGGGAGTCCATCTAACTTAACAGAATTATATGACTTTTTACGGATGCATCTACAAAAATGGCTTGGAATTTAAAGGATTTGACCTACTCGAATTTGTTAAGCTTGAGTCAAGAGATATGTGCCGTCATAAAATATCACTCGGTTACTTTAGAGGTGTGCTGTTTATTTTGTAGCTATAGAGCCTGAAGGGCGCCTCAGTATAGTGAGATATAGACGGGACATATTTGGTAGCTGCTAGATGCTTTTGGTGCTCAGTCGGCAGAGGTCTGTCATATCAAATATGGATGTTGTTGCGTATGTATGGGTCGGAGTAAAATCAGCTTTACTTTACAATTTGGGTATGATATTTATCAGGTTCTAGTCTAACCAAGCAGTAAATATCGGAGAATAGTCGAGGAGAAGAAACATGAAGCGTGAGATACATAAGGAAACTCTCAGCTCTCAGTCTCTACCCTTCCCACGCCGCCTATTTCTCTGTTTGCATAGTAAGTAATAAGGAGTAGTGTCGTGCCTTGCTGCTATCTGTGGAGCTGTGTATCAATTTTAGTGAGGTTCTGGCATCTTCCTCAAGCAACAATCGGTCTATGGCTTCGTGTCCACCTCGCGCTAATGTCCAGTATAAAGAGCTGCACTATATCCACTATTATTTCGGAAATTGCCGGTAGTACCGTTTCTATGCTCATGTGCAGGCACAGGTGCGGGTACGGGTGCCGGTGGCTCAAGTATTGGTATGGGAATGATTACAGACTGTGAAAGTGGGCTCATGGTTGTGGTTCTGCCCGTATCTTCGTTGGCCATGCACAATGTTCTCTCTTTTCTTTGATATAGCGTCATAAGATCATCTTCTCGAGTCAAATATGCGTAAATTTTAAAGCTGAGGTAAATCGAACACTTTAGGGCTTCGGGTGTCAAACCCTTTGGATGTGATTAAAAGACTTGCATTAGCTGTACCACCACCATGCATGATATTGGCCGGTTGGTTGCTAACTAGGGCGAGGATTACAATGCAAAACATAGTTATGCGCGCCTGCTCGCATTACATGAAGTAGGCATGTAGGGTCTGGGATTTAGACCCGGTGGGCGATGCCTCATGGGCTCTCACTCACCTATAATTTGTAATCCTACATACGGCACACCATATGCTAAATTTCTTTCACACCATACATATATCAACTTATCTGACTATAGCATATCAAATTGCTAATAGGTCTTCTTTCCTAGATATTATTGGCAACAACAAGGACATTATATACTCTCGGATACTTTGCAAAAAACCACGGGGAAAATGAAACAGTTTTTTTTATTGATATCAAAATACAGACCGCACCTTTTTTTTCTTTCTCTCAACCGTAATAAAAGGAAACCCTAAACCCATTGCAACCGTTTACTCTTCAGCCTTTCTCTTGGTTCCCGCACTGCTATCTCTGCCGGTTCTCCTTGCCCTCACAGCCTCAGCAAGCCCCTCGAGCATTTCAACGGTAGATGGCCAATCCACACAGGCATCAGTGATTGAGACACCCTTCTTGAGCGCACTGACACCTCCTTGCTCAGCAGAAGGAACATCCTGGCGGCCCTCGTTGATGTTGGACTCAATCATGACACCAACAATACCGTCTTCTCCGGCGCGGATCTGAGCGGCGATGTCGGCAGCGACAAGAGGTTGATTCTGAGTAAATACTGTTAGTATTAAAGCATAGACATGATGTTTTAGGTGTGATTTACCCTGTGGTTCTTGGAGCTGTTCCCGTGGGAGCAGTCGATCATCATGATCTCCCTCTGGCCCTTCTTCTTCAAAGCCTCCTTTGTGGCCTTGACATCATCTGCCTTGTAGTTAGGGCCCTTCGCACCTCCACGCAGGATGACGAAACCGTGCTCGTTTCCGGTAGTCCTGGTGATTGCAGCAAGACCTTGCTTCGTCACACCCATGAAGTGGTGAGGATGGCTCGCAGACAACACAGCATCAATGGCGACCGTCAAGCTCCCGTCAGTACCGTTCTTGAATCCGACGGGGAAGGAGACACCACTAGCCAACTCTCTGTGGAGCTGGGACTCGGTGGTCCTTGCACCAATGGCAGCAAGTGACAGCAGATCAGCGAGGAACTGGGGGGAAACAGTGTCCAGCATCTCGGAGGCAATAGGCATTCCCATTGAGGTAAGATCAACGAACAATTGTCGGCTCACTCTCAAACCCTTGTTGATCTGGAAGCTCTCGTCAATGTCCGGGTCGTTGATGAGACCCTTCCAGCCGACGGTTGTACGGGGCTTCTCAAGGTAGGCTCTCATGACGATGACCAAGTCATCTTGAAGTTTTTCTGAGACAGCCTTGAGACGGCCTGCGTACTCGAGGGCGGTTTCAGGGTCGTGGATGGAGCAGGGTCCGACAATGACGAGGAGTTTGTCGGTCTGGCCGGTGATGACAGCAATGGAGTCCTTACGGCCTTGGAGAACGGCAGCTTTGGAGGCAGCGGTCTACATGATGGTGTGTGAGTCATACTAATATTTCTTTCATCAAGAGTGAGGATGGGAGCTCCTACTGCAGGAATTTCGTGCTGGAGAAGACTGGGAGGAATCAGAGGATCCTGTCCAATGACTATTGTGGTTTTCTATTAGCTACGGTTGCTCAATTGTACCAATCTCGGTGGTTGCAGTTATTTTATAGTAGGCGACAATGTTTTGAGTGGAAATAGCAGCTGCATAGCTTGAGAAGGTGACTTACCGCGGGAATCTTCAACTTCGTCAACCGAGGGAGTCATAGCTGCTGGCGCTGTGGTGTTTATTGGCGAATCAATTACAATGGCGAAAGGAATTGCTTGAAAAAAGCGGGGCGAAGAGAGTTTAATAGAGTGGGTATCTATCGCATCAAAGGAAAAAAAAATGTTAGTTCAAAACCCAACCAGGACCCCTCGCCGAGCCCGAGCAGCCGCAACCCGAGCCTTTTGTATGCAGGAGCCACTCACCACAAGCAAATCGCAAGCTTTAAAAATTCCACAAGGTTAATGCGAATGTTCAATGGACAGATGAGGAAGAGTGAAGAGGAAGAGGAGGAGATGGGGAAGAACTTAAGAGGATGAGAAGAAGGAGGGGCATGAGTCAAGTACTCCATATTTCCCCTCTTACCACCACTGCATTCAAGGGCTGCACCCTGATCAAAAGCATATTAACACCATTCGTCTCTTAATTCTCTCCACGTTGCTTTTTTACATGTGTAATAAATAATTGTCGGCTCCTCTCATGTCTGCGGCCGGTGTTCCTAGCATTCTCGCAATATAAAACTGCATGTAGCTAGTAGCGAAACGGCAATTTTGAAATCCTTGGAACTCCTGCCCAACCCTGGGAAAAGAAGCACGTACTCCAGAGTACTCTAAATGCATCTCATCTACCTATCACAACAGCCATATTTCTCCTCTCCCACACTCGTAATGCTCCCAGTTGGTGTTCCACTGACGAAGTTTAAGGTTGCGCTTACGTAAGTAGCATAATCACTTACCTGTTGTTTGGGTCTGGATCCTTTTTTTTCTTTCGACATGGCCGAGGTGAGAAATCGGCACACCGTGGCGGATGACCGGGCGGTTGGGTATTTGACAAACAGATGCAGTTCTCTACATGCCAGATATAGAACTTAGTTTTTAGGGCGATTGAACTACACATCCGTGAAATTATCTAGGGCACGTACAGTGCAAGCATTTCCCCTTCGAATTCAACCTTTCCCTTTGATGTACGCATATATTATCTACATGTTTGTGTATATGTATGTTATGTGAGTGCGTGCACTTCATGGATGTATGGAAGAAATAGATAAATCTCCATTGCGCGGTAGGATCGTGGTGGAGAAGGGATGATCATATCATCGTTGTGAAACAGATCAATTTGGTTTAACATAGATATATGGATGGGGTGCCCGTCTTGTCTATCAGTAATCCGAGGAGTTAAAGCGCAAAGAATAAAGAGGGATGGTAGCACTGATGCGACTCGTGAAGAATCATAGGGTGTGTGCAGGTGAGTACAGGTACGTACTGGGTATCATGAGGTTGGGTATCGTAGTCAGGTCAATGATTGCGGTGCAGGATCACTCGATAAGCTTATGCAGCTCCATCACAGCATATCACCCGAACGTGGAATAGGAATGGTTTCTAACACTATCCTGTTTGCTGATCATTGTGGGGGCTGGGCATGAGACTAAAAACATGAAATTTGATGCTTCAAGTTTTAAGTGATTGAGCTCAGCTACTTGAACTACATAATATTACGATTTTTCCCCACCACGCAACACAACCACAATCAAGGCAAACATGAAACTTCATTACCGTACCCATTCGCTTCTAAAATATTTTTACAAAAAATCCAGACCCGTAAGAAACCGAAAAATAAAGAAAATCCCCAGAAGTACGCTGTCTATTCCCTGACGATCAAACTGGCCAAACCTTGACCAGTTCCAATGCACATACTGATAACACCAACATCTTTTCCACTTCTTCTCAACTCGGGCAGCAGTGTTGCGAGCTGTCTAGCACCAGTAGCACCCAATGGGTGTCCTAGCGCAATGGCTCCTCCGTTAGGGTTTACCTTTGCCATATCAAGACTGAGCTTCCTGATACAGTACAATGCTTGTGATGCGAATGCTAACAATTTAATCAGTATGCTGTATAAACCACCGGCAATTAGAGAGAAATTTAACAAACCTTCATTGAGCTCCCACACATCGACCTCATCTACACTGACACCCGTCTCCTCCAACAACTTTGGGATTGCCACGGCTGGTCCAATGCCCATCTCATCGGGCTTGCATCCGGCAGTCTTTGTCGCTACGAACTTCCCGATAACCTCGTATCCCAACCTCTCAGCCATATCTCTCCTCATCATCAGCGCCACTGCCGCTCCATCTGACACTTGTGATGAGTTCCCTGCCGTGCTCATCCCATCTGCCTTGAACGCTGGCTTCAACTTCGCCATCATCTCCAGACTCGCGTTGTGTCTGATACCATCATCCTGCGACACCATCTTCTGTGTCGTAACCGGGTTCGCCGGATCAGTGGCATCAATCCACCTCGTCACCATTGGCACAATCTCCCCATCAAACTTCCCCGCTGCCTGCGCAGCGCTCGCCTTCTTGTGACTCTCCGCCGCAAATGCGTCCATATCGCCCCTATTCACGCCGTATCGCGCACTCACGTTCTCGGCAGTGATACCCATAGGCATGATACAATCCTTTGCGTCCTGGTTGGGGCTGTCACGGAGCTCGGGGGAAAGGTCTACAGGGATGGCCCGAGATCCGTAGTTCCGGGTCATGCTCTCCATACCTCCACCGATACCGATGTTGATGGCGCCGGCTTGGATGGCATAGGCAGTGTTTGTGATGGCTTGGAGGCCTGACGAGCATTGCCGGTTTACAGTGTTAAATGTTGTAGTGTATGGATAGCCAGCGTGGATCATTGACATGCGACCGGCTTTAGCACCGCCGAGCTCCTGGAGGACGGAACCGATAGTGACATCCTCAATGAGGCGGGGGTCGATCTTGGTGCGGTCGAGGGTAGATTTCAGGACCTGTGGATGAGAATGTCAGTTATGAATATAGAGCGAGACCAAGGAGGCATTGAGACTAACGTGGGCAAGGAGTTCTTCGGGATGCGTGTCTTTGAAGCCTCCCTTGTGTGCTCGTGTGACGGGCGTGCGAAGGGCTGACACGAAAACGACATCGTTGGCAGACTTCTTCAGGATATTCTTGAGACCTTTCTGGAAGAGTGCCATTTTTGCGGGGTGATATTAGGCGATGATTAGGTGAGTGATATTAGATGGATGAAGTGATTGCGAGCTGCCAGTGCTTCCTTCCTCTGCTTCTGTCTCTTGTTCCAACGGCCAGGACACCCTCCTCCTTTCTCAGGGACCCAGGGACTCTTATATGGCATCGCATTGTCGGTGAGAGCCCTGCTGCAAATTGCGGGGACGGGAGACAAGAGAGAGAGGATTCTCGCCTGCTTGCGGTGGCGGCCGTGGGGTAAGTGCCGGATGTCGGGTACTGTCGGTGGTGGCCTCGCTGGGGGGTGGCCTCGCTGGAGGGTGGTTGCGGGTAAATCTTTAGCCGGAAGATATTCACACGAGAAGCACAACAAAACAGAACAGCCACCGCGGCCAAGGAACAAATGGTAATAGTAATATCAATAGTAATAATAAGAGTAATAATAATAATGCTTCAGCTGGTCTTGCTGTGGCTAGTAATTACACAATTACTAACTATACGTAATTCTACAATTACAAGCATTAATTGTTAATAAAATCCAGTTCCAAAGACTCCGGGGTATAATGCAGCGATAGTGTACCGGGGGTAAAGAAAGAATGAGAAAAAGAGGAATAAAAACGAGTGGTAAAAATGCAGCACTGTAGTAAAGAGGAGAAAAACAGCAGTCTAATAATAGCCGCAAACCTCCCCTATTCCAGAAAAACAAACCTCATGGCCGTAGACGAAGTAAGCAAGAAATGGCAAAAATAAATTAGAAGAAAAAAATCATCAGTAATGACTATAATGTCCCGGAACTCTTAGCCTGCACTTCTCACAATCCCCTCTAAATCCCATTCTGAACCCAGTCGCCTTCTTCTTTGTAACTGTCTGGTCCATATCAACATCTCCACTCACCTCCAGCCGTCCCATCACCTCCGTCGGCGGGCTTGTAACCACGCTTGGCATTGCGTTTTGCTGTTTTTGCTGCTCATGCTGCCCATCCATCACGACATCTTCATCGCCAAAGTGCACCGCGAATCTATCGGTTGAAGAGTCGCTCTCACTGTCGCCGATGGGTGGGGACGGCTGGTATGTATTGTAGGAGTTTTGTGAGTTCTGTGGGGCAACAAAGGAGAGCTGGAATGCAGGCTGTAGATCTCGTCGTGGTCTCTGTAGCATGTAGTCAATATCTTTAGCTCCACCCGCCTTCTCTCTCTTTCATACCTTGATAGTAGACCTAGCATCGGCTGTAGGAATCTGCGGTTGGCTTTCTGCGTGCGAGGGATCTTCTGCGTTGGACCCTGAACGGCGGCGTCGCTTGAGAGTTGTTTGAACTGGCGAGGGGGAGGCCTGAAGAAAGGGCCCCGTGTTGATATTACCCCCGTTGGCGAACATATATTGTTGTGGTCGTGTGCAAAACATAGGAGCTAGTAGAGCAAAAAATGTTATGTTTGGATTTTGTATTCAACCGACGACGTCACGATGAAGGTGAGTTAGGAACTGAACACTAGCAGATGCTCTCCAGATGTGGCACTAGCTGCGCATGAAAGATCTAGAAGGGATTTCGGAGAGTTTGGCGGGTGGGAGGCTGTTCCTGTATTTTTTTTTTTGGTTTTTGGTTTTTTTCTCCTCCTTCCAAGAACGTATGTACATAAGCCTGAGTGAATGAACGGAGGTTTGATCTTCTTGATCCTCCCAATTGGTTTTGACGGCTGGTGGTTGTGTTACTGGTGTGGTGTTAATTGTGCAGGGATGAAACACGTGATGGCGCGTTGATTGGGCCGCGGTTGGCGTTTACGTGGAGCGCTGTACGCGCAGACGCGCTTGGTATATGCATTAGCTCCATGTATGTATGTATGTAGAGCCTACGAGAAACAACCACCCACTGCATAGCCTCCAATTGATGGGACAAACAGTCGCAAGGTCATTCTGGATACTTTCTAAGGTTCTCTGAACTTTAGGAAGATTTGGGATTTATCGATTGTGTGTTTCTTCGGAACAAGGATTTGGCTGTACGGATTGTTTCACCAGATCTAGATCGACACCCATATCCGATACGAATTACCATGGCCCCAGAACAGTTAAAGAAGGGGAAAGACATACTATGTATCACCTAACCCTTCTGACAAGGCGTTCCCAATGTCGTTTCTGTGACCCGGTACCAGGCTGAGATGTGCATGTGGCTGCAACTTCATCTATTCCTTCGTCTGGCGATTGCTACTCCACCTCATACAAGTTTTAATGTCAGGGAGGGGGCGGAATTTTGTTAATTCTCTCTTAACTTACTTTGCCGGCGGCGACACCCTCAGCACAAGGACCTCGGTTGGAGCTTGTTCACTGCCAGTACGGGGTTGGAATTACACTAATGAAGATCTGTGGATGAACGAGCCACTCAGTATCTAACTCAAAGGATCTATGACCATTCAATCACACTCAAAACGTCTATAGAAGAACCAGAGAATCTCCTTACATCACTGCTTCATGACTTCAAGTTTGGCTTTCATTCCGCCTTTCGAAGCGGCCACAAAGCCAAAAGAAATTCTCATATCTGAACACATAAGCTACGAACCTACAAGGAAAAGAGGAACAGTGAAGGGTCTTGCGGTTTTCCCGGGACAAAAATTATCGATTGGAAACGTCTACACATAAGAGGATAAATGGACTTGAAAATCGACAAAAACCATGGCCTGACTCACCCTCCCAACGTCAGGCAGGCCCTCGACACCACTGTCACAATAAATTGATTCTATCCAATTAGTGTCCATAATATCATTTCTTCGTCTTTCGGGTAACCCGAACGCGGATTGGCTAAGTGCCAATCTATATCACGATAGTCAGTATAAACTCCCTAAGCGGTAACCAAAATAAGTTAGGTGAATTACCTCTAGCGTTCATAAAGGGCTCCAGACGTCTATGAACTTCCCAGGTGCTCCAAGTGGATGTATATCCTTGCATTATGGGTTACGTCAATTGGCATACGGCCCTTGCTGTCCTTCTCCAGTATGCACCTTTCGGCTTAATGATATGTGATATTCAATTATATCTACATGACCATACCGCGCTGAAATATGCATAGTAGTGCCACCATTATAATATGCGCCAGCATACATATTAACGTTGGCTCCTCTATTTATTATATTTCGGAATATACCCACGTCGCCAGCACGAGTGGCCGCATGGATAGTAGCCCCATGCCATTCACCAATATCCCCATTCATCAGCGGCGGCGATTTAAGAGGCCGATGCCTTGTTAAAAGATTCGGTAATTGTTAAAGTTAGGATTTCTAACTAGTTGTGGGCGATGCTGTCGAGCTCTGGTTGTTTTGAGGCATATATATCTCCAAAAGAATATGCCCATGGGTATCAAGAATGGATGCGTATATTAGACGCATCTTCTTACTAGTCGAATAAATACAGATGGTGTCCTTCCTAGAGATGAACTCCGATTTTGGTGAGGATTTCGCAAAAAGTAGTGAATGTTATGATGTTGCTGATAAGTAGGGTGCTTATTTGATGGAGATATTGAGGTCAAGAAAGTCTATATGATAAGGAGGGGTGATTTGAAGGTTTCGAGGTTATATTATCCAGAACGTGGTATGTGAATTTCGTAGGACATAAGGAGTGTGGGCCAAGGTTGAAATCGCTTTTTTGATGTGAAGAGAACGTTTGACGAGGAGAGAATAAAAGAGGGATGAAAAGGAGAGGAATATATAGTCTATATGTCTACAGTGGGACAATATTGAATGGAGATGCAGTTGAACTGTGATGTTTACTGCACTACTACTGCTGTTTTATTCAGGTTTGATACGGTGTTATAGTAGACTGTTACTGAGCTAATTATGGAAATTTTCATTTCCGGCACTTCAGAAATTTCAATATCATCTACATGTAGAGCTAGTGCTATTGATTTATAGTAATTATGTCAACCATGATATAGCCAATCACCACCACCAAGGGAAAGAAAAAAGGTCTAAAAGAATAGTAGCAAGCCAAAAAAAAACCTTATATTGATGTTGGTGAGTTGGTTGAGTAAACAATTCTTGGCACATGCGACGGTGAGTGATTTCAGGTGACCGGAATGGTTATATAAGCCTTAACGGACATGCGAGGGGGGTATGTTGTGTTTAACTTAGGCTCGTCCCTAACCTGCCTGCTTTTATCTTTCTAGTGGCGAGAGTAGCTTGCTGCTAAGTAGGGGATGGGTACGAGACTATGTTTAACCGTGCCTCCAAAGGATGCAAATGCCAAGCTGGTCATAACTAGTCAAGCTGGCTTTTTGAGAAACTATTTCAACTCTCTCGATCTCGTCCACCTCTAACACAACCATTACCACCGCCCTCTGCAGATCTTAGAATGTTGATAGGCTTTGGTAATTTTCTGGTTTCACGTGTTACCTATGTGCAATATGCCTTTAGTGGTATGAAACTTGATTCGACGGCATTATCATCGACACCAGTAGTACTAGTGTACATCACTCATAAGTGAGTATAAGGGTGTGTATCAATAAAATCAGAATAACTAAAACCACTCGCTAATTCACTGCACAATATAGAATCTTGACACACAAAACCATGCTAACTAAAGAGACTTCAGCCTCCCAAAACAATTATTCAAGCACTTTGTTATCTCCTCTGCGAGTACATGCCACTCGTCTCCAAACGCCATATTTTTATCCGGGTGGTATCTCCTCACCGCCTCAAGAACTGCTCTCTTATCTGGCAGGTCCGCCTTACTTTTCGTCAAATCCGGTGCATCGCCTTCCGTCTTTGGTGGATATGTTTTCATGAGCCACTCGACTAGTTGCCTAGCATCTTCATCGCTCTTTTTGTGGATTTCTTCCACCTTGTCCTTCACCTTTTCATAAATCGGTCCGCGTCTCGTATGCCATTCACTATCCTCTTGCGCCTTCAACTTTGTTCGGCGGGCCTCGACCGCCTTTTTAGCCTCCGTGAACCATGTACCACCAGGTAATTTCGGGGAGAGCGTTGTAACGAGTGATATAGCGCGGAGATAAAGTTCATGAGCTTTCGTCTCGTTTTTGAGTAGAATTTGATAGGTCTTGGCCACATAGTAGACCGACTCTGCCTCCAGCTCAATATCCTTACTCGTTGCGCACGATAGCGCATGTCGATAATCGTCTAGTGCGAGTAATGCATAATCCATAAGTTTTTCCGCACTATCTGCCACCGCTGCGGCAAAACGTCCATGTCCGGATTCTAACGCTCGGGTCGCCGTACAAGTCGATACCAGTATCTCATAACTAGCAGTGATATCCGCGGCTTCTTCGAAAATATCTTCTTCAGCTGTATGCGCCTGCCGGTCCGCATTCATGGCCTCCTCGAGCTCCAGTGCCATCCGGCATGCGCCATCGCCCTCAGCAAGTATCGACAGCGCACCCTTGAAGTCGCCGCTCTCGCTCGCGCGCAGCGCATCGTGATGATACCGCGAGGCCAGGGAGCAGTATACCTCATGGCGTGGCTTACGAAAGACGGAGAACTGGCGCAATGACGTTCGCCCGGTAGCACGCTCAAGCCATATGTCCCATCGCATGCTCCGCGTCTTTTCCCAATTTGTATGGAACAAGTCCACAATATCCCGCGCAGCAGCAGCAGAGCGGAGTTGTGTGGTCTTAGGAGAGGATTTTGGAGACCCGTTGGGGGTGTAGACGGCTTCGTCGGCGTCGATACAGCGTTGGAGGTACTGTTGGAGATGCCATTGCTGCGTGAATATGCCGGAATCGGAGATTATTGTTGTGACTGCAAATCGGGCAACTTTGGAGGCGGTGATATTAACGAGAAGGCGCTGGTTTGTGCTGATTGTCTGGTCTGAGAGGAGGGTGGTGGCTAGAGCAAGGGTTTTATCGATGCGGCCTATGCGCAGGGTTGGTGCGGTCACTGCGGAGATCGAGGCGAAGGATTGGTTAAGAGTATCCAGCTTGTGCGGGTCTGCAGGCGGCTTCGGAGGAGGGGGCGGGGGAGTTGCTCGGGCGTTGGAAGAACTCGCGCTCGCACGCCTGAACCACGACATGTTGAATCCGATATATGGAGGAACTCTGGATGTGTGATCTGGGGAAGGAAGGAACACAGTGGGTTAAGTACAAACTAATTTATTGTTGGAATGGTAACAGCTTGTGTTTTCATTCCCCGCTATCAGGCAGATGGTTGTCGACTCGACTGGAGCCTTCCTGCATGTTTTCAGGCATCCAACTTTTAATGGACTTTTTATCATTGATCTTTCATCTAGAGTATGTCGGTAGCCTTTTTGGTCGATATTTTCAGGCCTTCTATATATGCACGTATGTACTGGAATATATTACAGGCGGTGCATACGTATACTGACTATCGATATGTACATGTATGGGTACTGTACGTATCCTCTTTACCGATAATATAATGAGCCCTCGAATGAGAAGGGTTGTGCTTTTCATATGTATATACAAACAACAGAGGAGCCAAGAAGAAACTAAATCGAATCAACAGAGCCATCATGGGCTCTTATCGCACTTTATGTAGAAGCTCTTTAGGACGTAGCCAGATAACAAGTTACGTTAGCACTTACGTAGGTTCTGCATCAGAACTGTATGCGGCCGCGGCCGGGCGGGTGATCACCATCTCTGGTTCAGCCTTGGAGAGAAAAAAGCAAATCTGTATTACGGGTATGGGAAATAATGCGGTTTGCAATTAGTTCATATTCATACAAAGTAAATGACATGATGTGGATTAATTTGGAGGACGAGTGATACTCCTTATTGCACAGTCGTGTACGTGTGTTAATTGCCAAGGCCCACTAGGACATGTAGCTACCAAGCCTAGCTAGCTAGCTCACTACATCTAGCTACATAGCTAATTACTGGCGAGAGCTATCATTTCCACTGTACTATGTACCATGTAGTTCCTATCGAGTGTTTATTTGCTATCTGTGATTTGTACTGTGTCAAGACAATGAGTTTGGCTGTCTTGGTAATACGTGTTTAACTACATGTAGCTATCGCACGTCTTTATCCACTAGTTACCTGTTCCTTCTGTTCTCGTCCAATTATACAATACGATTCTCTTAGTTCAGTCTCTTATATAACCGCGTCTGGAATAACATTCGTTTCTACTTGAAGGGCCGGCCGGTATACACTGTGTTATAGCACCGACTGGGGGTTTCGGGAGCTAGCTGCATGGCTGGCTGGCTAATAGATATAGATATTGCTGGAGTTGACTGCATAGCTACCTGTTAGCATTACCATGGCTATCGCACCTTCTATCTTATGTAATTGAGATAGCTAATCTAGCTGGGCAGAGCAAAATTTAAAAGGAGCCTTTTGGCTTCTTCATAAACAGTCACTCGTCCTCTCATCCTTGTGCACAAAAACGGGTATGTAGTTCGCCCACGTGCCTACGATTCCTAAACGTCAATATAATGGAGATATACCACCACGGGAAGTACTCAGGTAACGACATGTAACTACAGAACCAGTCATCTGCCTAGCTAGCTAGCTAGGTAGGTAGGTAGGTAGGTAGGTAGCTGGCCCCATCGCGCGCTGGCTGATTGAGGGAGAAATAGATTCCTACATACATTGGCAGGAAGATGGTTATGTAGAAAGATGGAAATGGGGCATTGAGCATGGGACATGAAAAGGAAAGGAAAGCGACGTCTGTACATTACAACCCCCCCTACACCCTTCCACCCCCGACCCCGCCGGGCGACTAGATAGGGCGGGCGGGCGGGTAGGTGGTAGGCTCGATATACAACACACATAACCCCCAAAACAGCCGCAGCACAAGCAAAAAAAAAAAAAAAAAAAAAAAAGGAAAGAGCCGTAATTCGCGCGGGTGGGGGGACGCGCTCCATGAATTACCACCCATACATCACAGCCGTGCACCCGTACCCCGGCGGCCATATCGTCGTCGTCGGTCGCGCGGCGTCTATTCGCCCTGTAACGGCATGTACATTCGCCGCTGTCTCGCCGCCTATGCATCCCCATCCAACCGCCGCCGCCGTCAGTCAACGCCGAAACCACCGGAAACCAGAGAGAGAGGCCTTTGGGGGGCCCGGGGGGGGGGGGGGGGGTGAAACTAACCTCGACCCATCGCGCGACCCACGGGCGCACAAGCGCATACACCAGCAGCCCGACCGTCGCCACGATGAAGATCACGACCACGGCCTGGTCTTTCGCTGAGTCGCGTTCTGCCATCCACCCGCCCAGTCAGTCAGCCATCCAGTCTCCGTCCGCGCAACAGCGGGAAAGAGAGCAACATACGGAAACAAGTAGTAACAACATCATCGTCCTCGACGCCCTTACAGAACGGGAGGTTGTAGTCGCGACAGAAGGAGCGGTTGCAGTCGGTGCATGACGGGATGGGGATGAGCGTTGAGTTTGTGAGGCACGTGCATTTGCAGAAGAGCGAATTGGAGGTGGAGGTTGTGCCGGCGGCGGCGGAGGCGAGGGCGGGGAGGAGGAGCAGGAGGAGCGTTAGGAGGGGGAAGAGGAGGGGGAGGGGGATCATGGTGCGTGTGGATTGGCGGTGGTGGTGGGGTGCCAAGATCTGGGGTAGTGGTTGTGGTGGTGGTTCACTGGTGGGGGGCGAGGGACGATGCTTGGGAGCAGAGCTGGGCGGGCTGGGCAGCTGTGTAGCTGGGCGCTGACGGGGTGGTGATGATGATGATGATGATGATGATGATGGGAGGAGAGGGAGGGTTTGGCGCGTTCAATGCCCTCTTTGCTTGTCTTTGGAGGTGTGCAGTCTCAGACAGACCAGTGCCAGAATTATCGATTAGAAGGTTGGTCGTCGCCGCCGGTGTCTTGTCTTTATTTAAACCCCTACCTGTTACCTCTCGAACAACTACCAAAAGCGTCAAATTAAACAGCGATTACTGAACATCGTCATGTAGCCTAAGTGAGAGTAAGCTGCCTTGAAGTTTACTGCCGGCTATATGTAGCTAGTACTGTGTACAGCAGCTTTCCTTAATTACTGGTTTTATTTGCAGAGCGGGAGAGAGGTTCTATATACACAGAATAATAACTAGTAACTCCACGGGAAAGTAAAAACGAGAGAGGAGTGATGTGATGACCACGAAAACCGAGAAACAGAAACACCCAGAATGAAATGACGAACACAACAAAATATACGCCCCACACACAATCAATCCCGCGTATCAATCAATTGATTAACCAAACCCGACCCGAACACCATCCCATAAAAATAAGACAATACCAAAATAAATAAATAAATAAATAAATAAAAGCCGCAATTAAAAGCCGCCACAAACTTTTCACAGAAACTTAAAAAAGGGCCGCGTTCTGAGTAACTAAAGCATGCCCACCCTTCTAGTCGTTGCCGCAATCTCCTTCTGGAACTGGCGCCCGCCAACTGGTACATTCGTAGCCGCTCTGAACGGCGTCCCCGACGAGACGGTCCTCGGCTTTGCCGTGCTGTGCTGTGCGGGCCCGAGAGAGAGGTAGTATGCTTTTGCCGGCGAGGTCAGGAATGCGTTTGAGCTTGAGCTTGAGCTTGATGCGGACCCGCGGCGGGGGACGTTTGCGGCGACGCACCATTCGCAGTAGGACTCTTCGGCACCGTCATTGCTGTGTTTGCGGTCAGTACAGTGCCAATGATCATTTTGTAAGAGAAAGTAGGCGGGGGAGAACATACTGTGTGATGCAATACCCGCCCTTGCACGACAAGCATACCCTGCTATGCTTCGTCGTGCACTCCGCGCACTGACTCCCGCACTCAAAGCACGTCCTCTCCACCTTCTTCTTCTTCTCCGTCTCTGCACACGCCTCACACCACCACACCCCGCAGCACTCGCACCACCGCTCCTTCACGCACCCCTCGCACTGCAGCACCCCCTCCGCGCCTCTGCACGCCGCCTCAAACCCACCAAACCGCGGCGCCGGCGCAACAAGCGCCTTACTCCGCGCCGGGACCGCTCCGCACCCTCCACACCCGCTGCCGCTGCCGCCTAGCCGAATGTTCGCAAGCTGCGCGGGCGCCGCGTGTTCGCCGGAATGCCTGTGGCCGTCGCAGACGACGGTGTCGAATGTGATGCGCCCGGCGCACGCTTGTAGGACTGGCACCCACTCGCGGGTGAGCCGCAGGCGGTTGTTCCGCACGATGCGGCCGGTGGATGAGGAGAAGGTGGGTGAGGTGAACCAGTAGACGCCCTTTAGGCTCAATTCACTCGCCGAGTATGAGGTGACGAGGGAGGTGAGGAGGGCTATGAGACTGTGGCCGTTGATGTTTTCGCAGCCGCGGAGGCTGAGGAGCTGGATTGAGCTTGGGCGGCCCTGGGGAGCGATGAGGGTGCGGAGATCAGTGTCTGTGATTGGGGTGTTGTCGAGGACGAGGGTTCGTGTTGCATGGAGGATGCGGTGGTGCGGAGTTGTTGCGAGGAGGCGGGGGAGCTTGGGGTGTTTATGGGAGCGGGTGATGGGGCGTGCGGAGAGGTCGAGGTAGCGGTGGACGCTGGGGGAGGAGGTGATTGAGTTGTAGAGGGCGCGGGAGGTGAGCGTTAGGGAGTGGATGTCGTGCACTGAAAGGTAGGGCGCCGTCGAGAGGAGGAGGAGCTGGTTAGTGAGGATCGTGAGGAGGGTGGTGGGGTGTTGGTCGGCCATTGGGAGGGAATGATATCTCAGAAGGTACAGCTAAGTGCTGGGTGTTTTATATATATCTAGGGTAGATATTGAGTGTATATATATTAATTGAAAAAGGTCAATCGATGAGCAGCAAGAAGGCGGGCAAATCTTCCTTCTTCTTATCCTTCTTTTTGTGCTTTTCTTAGTGAGGGAGGGGCGGGAGAGGGCCCAATATATCTGGTTTGGATCTCTATATTTTATTACGCCCAAGATTCCTGTCACTATCAACCACTCGCTCCCCGGGACTGGTGGAGTAGGTACATTAAGTAGGTATGTCTGTACCTACCCACCTGGTGTAGATCGAAATAACGGCAAGTCCAGCTAGCTATCTAGAGCAGATTAGTATGTAAGTAAAAAGATGAACCCACACCCTCCCATGATCCCATCGCGCCAACAGGAAAAGAAAGAGGGCTTGGGCAGTTCAAACTTCATGGAGGTTTAGAGTTCAAGTTTCGTAAGCCACTAAAGCAGTAATGCCAGGCCTTATCTCGAACCTCTCGGGTGTTTACCCGGAGTAGCTACGCTGCGAGTGAGCTCACCCTGCGTTTCAATTCCTTTCCCTCTCTATCTACTTGTGGTCTAGCTGGTTATCAGTTCGTTCGCCTCATCGATTTCAGGAAACCGCACCCACGACTGTGCCAAGCTTTAATCTGAAATCGAGATGTTGCGGCGCTGGGTGGGAGACCCGCGTACCTACATATTTTAATTCTATCTACCCTATCATTTCAGTAAAGGGGAAAAAAGTAAAGAAATGCGGGGTCCCTAGGGTAAACAATGGGCATCATAGAGTAAAAAGAAAGTGAACGATCAACGCACCAAGCAGTCTGATTTCCAGAGCGGCCGTCATGCACACACACCCACCCCGCAATTTGGAAATGCACCAACCCCACCAAGTTTGTTATATGTACCCGCATTCAAATTGTCAAACATAAATGCCCAGCCAGGTCGGAAATTTTTGTTTGTTCCAGGTTCGGTTGGGGAGTACAGAGGGTGGCTGTTGGTTAATGAATCGAAGGATCGGAATCTCTCCGACAGTTAGACTGCCTCCTACACCATCAAATCAGCAGGCTTTGTTATCCCACGCTGGGGATGACTGGTAATGTGATTTCCTTATCTATGTATCGATTACCCTTTGAAACAAAAAAATTTGTTGAGCTAAAGCGGAAAGCCAGATGGGACACAGTAGCTGGGATGATAATCTGCAGATTTGCACTTGAGCTTGCTTTTACGTCACGGGTAGCTATTCTGAGTACATCCTAGCGACCTAAGCCTACATACTTTACGGGGTGATAGGTACCGTTAGATGGGATAGATACATCCCACCGCTAATCTGCCTGCGCCGCAAGAGCAATCTTGGAAGGTCGTGACATATTAGATACCTTGGACAAGGTACTTAACGACGTTGTTTTCCCTTTAAGACCTGCCGAGTAGTAGTACCACTCGAGAGTCGAGACAGTTTTACAGACCAGACATAAGACCATGCATCGTACGAATGAGCCAGGCACGTGGCCAGTGACGCGTGCGGCGTATCGACCTTCCAGCTGCAAACTCCCCTCCCCCGCGATTGATCGCAGGTAGGTAGTGAGGAAGTACTGCGGTATGTAGCAGCAACAATATCAACCGGATTTCAAGGCTACATACGATTTCTCCCTCTCTCGATTCTTTGGAAAGGTGGTTATCAAGTCGTTTATGCACAGGCGTCTATCTATCTGGCCTTATTGGTTGTCTGACCTAAGAAAGCCGTTGGGAGGACAAAGACGCCCCCACTTCAGGATGATCTATTTAATGCCAAGATCTAACCTGAATTTCTGGCCAGTTTTGTCAGAACTGACACTTTGTTCTTCGTTACGACACAAGTGAGCCTATCCATCGGCCCATGGCCGCAGCCGCCTGATTCCGTAGCTTTGGGATGCCGCGGTCGTAGCAGGTATCGCCGTTGCTAACGTTATCTGGATTGTTGGGGAGAGCATCGTCTCATTTTTTCCCCTTTGCAACAACAACCAGAATTGGAGGGTCGAACAAGCATTGCCGAAAAGACCAGGCTGGCTTTACCCTGGATATGATGAGATTCACGAGGAAAGTCTATGGGGGGATACATAGAGGGCCAAGAAGGCGGGGTTCCCTCAAGAGGATAGTAGGTGGGCTAATTAGCCCGGAGTATGACCGACTGGTTCAATTACACGCCCTATATCCACAACCCCCCCCCCCCCCCCTCTGCTACCTTAATAATCGTAGTTACTCTACTCTACTAGTAGTAGTAAGAGTAAGAGTAGGTAACCATTCAAACATATGTGTAACGGAGGCTCGGAGAAGAGTACTGTAAAGAGTGTTTTGCCAATAGATAAGTGTGCTGAAAAGGCAATTGGGCTCCGATAGGGCTTTGAATAGTAGAGTTGCCCGGTTTCTTGGCTCCTGGACTGGGGGGCTTCTGGCTTGGCCCATTTGTCCCTTGCAATTGATTGGTGGACAGAGACATTGGAAATGATAGACGAGTGCTCAACACCGAACTCAAGACAGGGCCCTGTCTGAAGATAAACCAGCAATTTACGCACTTGGTTTTGGTATCACCGAGCCACTATAACTTTAATTCGGCAGTTATCCTGAATCCTGATATTTATGGATCCTCTTGTCGTCCCTTTGGCTGTAGTACGTACATAGCTGATTGATTGGTCAAGGTGTACCAAGATTTCAAGGCGGTTCTTACGCCCAGGTGATGGTCCCAATGCGCATCGCACTACAACTTCCAACGCCCAACCAGGATATAACATCTCAAACTCTATGCAACCCAATTGAATATGTGGATAGAGTTATCTTTGGCACAAAGTTGCGGCATCGTCATCTTTCCAGGCTCCCACAGTGGACTGCCTGATTAGTTACGTGCCAAAATCTCAAGTGCCGTAGGGCGAGCTTTTTTTTTCAAGCCCTCCAATTGTAACATCTCCGCAGAGGGGAGATCTCATTTTTACATCTCCGGGAGATATATAAAAAAAAAAATAAAGTGCGAGCAACCTGATCTCCTCACGCATCTATCCTCTCCCGTTTTGCTGCTTGTACCCAAGGCCTTCGAACGAGAGTTTTGATTCGACATGTTGGTCAAGCCCCACAGAACCTGATCAAAGCTGTTCCGTTTGATTCTATATATGCTCGCGTGGACTGTCTTCGAGGATATGGGCTTGGTCAATTGTTCAAGTTAGTTGTCAGAATCAAATGGGGCTGACCGCATTCTAATTAGTCACACAACGAGTACATACACGTAGGATATTTATACAAAAATGTCGCCTTGTAGCCCACAATCGAGGTATGTTAAGTCCTAGAAATTTCGTAATTTAGTATTAACCGTTTTATGATTCGACACCAACTTTTCTTCAATAATCAGCTCTTCTAAGCCTAGATATATGTATCTTTCGGTACACCATAAGGGGACTACTTGCATAGATGTACTGAGCTTCTCAGAGCTGCAGTTGCCCAGCTTTATCCCACAATCCTCGAGGACTGTTTTGGGGCGGCTCGTATCTCCCCCCAAAAAACCGTTAGTATGTGTATATGTAGGCTGGGGGGTCACTTGCATTATGTAACGGTATAGAAGAATTTGAGGATAAATGTGGAATGTATTGGATCATTTTCCATCACTCGGACAGGCTCGGCATCGACCGAAAGTTCCAAGCGGGTGAGTGATTGTTTATGATTCGACTCCTCTCGTGAGTGATTCCAGTCGTCCCCTATCCAGACAAAGCCTACTATATCGACTCGGCAAAGAGAGAGCCTTTCTGATGATAGAGAGGATTCAGATGATATGAGGAGTGGGCTGAAAACGTTGTCCAAACCAGCGACGATATGCCAAGGAGTCAACAAACCAGCAAGTCGGTTTTTGGGAAATGGAGACAACAACACGTATGACATATAAAGCTCCGGGTAGGAAAACGTATCAAGATGATCCGAGAACACGCTAGTCACTTATCAATTACATGTACCTACATATTAGCTCTATAAAACACACTTGTCTCGCTTGATAATATCACCTTTCTTTCCTTCTTCATATTCGGTTGGTCCGTACCTACGCAATTTATACCGATTTTACTCTCAGTTGGAAGGTTTCATACATCCACTTCACATACTATATATCTATGCCAATTAGTTTGCAATGTGTTCATAGCTTCCGTGGCCTACCATGAGTTTGTTTGGCACCTTAAATAAGTTTCCGCCACCACTTTTGTGTTGCAACCGCATTTTCACGTACAAATTTGGCGGAAACTTATTCTCGCCGCGAGTACATGTGTACCTATAATTCCAGTGCCGGTATCCAAGTCAACTGACGGATCACCGCCACAAAAGCCGATCGTGACACAAAGGTTGTACACATACAACTTCATTGGGACATAATTCGCGACTCTGCCTTATTCGGCATCCAGTGTTATTTATTCAGCCAGCGTCGGCTTCAAACCTCCCTGATCATCATTCCCTAGATTCCAAGAGATCTTCCATCTTAGACCGCCTACCTAACTATTAGATTACTACCGTCCAAAGATGTCAACGTCGTTCGACTTCGATATCGGCTCCTTCAGAGGGAAGCCAAATTATCTCATGCGCTCCAAGAAAGGCTTCTGTTGGTATGTTTAACCGGGTCTTGTCTCTCTACCGGTGATTCTGTAATGTCTAACTGTAGCGCTTCTCTGTACTAGGAACAACTTACCTCCGTCGTTACTAGAGCTGGTAACTTTAGAAGGCATGGCAGAAGCCGTAGAGGCCTACGCGCTTGGTCCTAACGGCCTTTACTGGGTTCAGTATGCCAATGAAAACGGTGAAATTTCAATAGGTATGTATGGAGAGTGACTATATCGAATATTGGAGCGCCTTCCAAAGCTCATATCTATTTATCACAGTAACCGCGCCTGGTCTTTGGAAGTATCTAAAATGCGACGATAACACTGGACCGACGATTGATCGACTTGAGTTTGGTCAATTGCAGACATATTGGAGTACTTATTGTTGGGCTGGAGAGGGGGAGGGAGAGGAACAGGTGTTGAACCAGAGCATTCATTACAACAATCTGCCCCTGGGGTTGATCAATCAGATCACGGAGCTGAGTAGTCAAGGGTTGCTTACTGAATACTCGGACATTGGGTTCTTGGCAATGGGGAAGGATAACTCCTGGATATTGGAAAGCAAAGGATGGATCTGGTCAGAAGGGATAGATCCCGGACTCTTGGCGGCACTTCAGGAGGTAGACGAGAGCGTCAGTGCTGTGGTCTGTCTATTCTTTTTTTCTCCTGGCGAGCGAGAGAAGTATTGACCGGTTTATATTGCGTAGAATGTCAGGCTCTCAACAGTACAAATAGATTGCTGGTGGATTGAGTATAGTGATGGCAGTACTCACTTTCAGGTGCCGGCGCATTGGAACAGGGCCATCACTGAGTATGGATCGCTGCAATATGCGCTGAAGAAACAACCGCGAACGGCGGCGAGCGTTGGGCGAAGTCTTGGTCAAGGGCTAGTAAAGGCAGCGCCCGCGATTACGGTTGCTAGCGCGGCGGGATGCGTGTTGATGTAGCACATATAGCAGGTACGTTTCTCATATATCGCCGAACTTACTGATGCAATCTAATAGTAACGGAAGTTCTGGCCGCATGGCTGTCTCGGCATTCAGGGGAATGGGTGTATTGAGCCTGAATTGAGCCCGCGAGACCATGGATCCCAAGTTTATTATATTTTCTTTTCTTTCCATCGTCTTTTGTCACCTGATGTTGTACTTGTAGCTTTTGTTTTTCGCTTTAACATGTATATAGCAGTAAATGCATATTGGTTGTCAGCCAAGGCCTTGATGGAGCGAATCACGGTATGTCACTCGGGGGAGTGGCTCCTATGCGTGTTAAATCTTTTTGTTTGGCTGTAAATAGCGCTCTATGGTTTATCGTAGAATGTCTCTACAGCTATAAAAATCAAATCCAATAGTTGTAGGTCCCAATATACACATCCGATATCCGGAGTCGTACATGACGTTCCCATCCCTCCCTCTCCTCAGTACTTTCCACGTTTTTAATATCCGTCTCCTGCAGGCACTACCAAGGAAAAGAATCCGGGCGAAACAAGCCTTCGAAATGAAAGAAAACGGAGAACGACGTGGTGCTCATCTCCATAGAGTGTATTGCATGCCTGTCTGTCCGGCTGTCTGTCTGTGTCTGTCTGTGTCTGCCGACGGCTCTCTCCGCAGCTCCTCCGACGGCACATACATCGCAAAACACCTGAGCAAAGCAAGACCGGAAGTTGAATGAAGCTTGTTCACAACGTTAACGCTTTCTCTCTGCCCTAATAACGTTTATTTGTTGCAGATCATCGGTCCAGGCCATATCAGGCTAATCCTGCCCATCACGGACCTCCCCATTAGCGCGCTTCAGGTAAGTAGAGCAGAGGTCTGTCCAGGGGTGGAGCTGTGTAGAAGCTTATATGTGCTACATTCCATGCCGTCTGCTGTCAGGATAGGCCAGGGGGGAGGGGGTGGAGGAAAGAAAAGGAGAGTAGTAGCTATTCGTTACCATCAAAGGTCCTTCTTTTCTACTTGTTATTACTACTGTGTCAAGACAACGAGTTAATTATCTGATAGATACGTGTTTATCATAGTCTTTTTGTTCACTATAAAATGAGCTTGCATGTTCCTTCTACGCTTGTGATAATAATCATATAATACAATTCTCAAAACTAAATTCCAAATAATAATGCTTACCTGCCCCGAGTAGTCACCGCTCTGAGGGAGCTAGTAGTAGTGTATGATTGATAGTCCATTGAAGGTCGGAATGCAGGGCTATATCTCCGACCCGGATCTACCGACGTTTGGGTCCGACGGGAAGGGCTTCCTGAGACAAAGGTACGTGCTGGGCTAGCTGGGGCTCGAGAGCTGCTTCCACCGCTGTTCTCCGCTTGGGCGTCTGTAGAAACGCCCTACCGTTGTAGCGGTACTAACGTCTACACCCTCCCTTGCCTTACCTTGTTCCATATATGCATATCTAATGAAGAAGAAGCCTTCATGACATGGGGTTTGGCGCCTGAGGGTTTGTGTGTTGAACCAGTGCACTAATGGTTTATTCTTAAGTTTCCCCGGTATAGATTACATACATCTGATAGATTAAGAAGCTTACGACAGCACTCAAGGGTTTCTTTTGTTCCCTGTTCGACTTTCGGAGAAACACTCAATCAATCAATCATCAATATGAATTCTCTCCCCTCGTTCCCCGCCCCCGGGCCCCAGGGTACAGGTCGGCTGTTAGTTTAGCGGAGTTGAGTTTTGATATTAATTTATCAAGCTAGCTTTACAAGGCCAAAGCAAACTTTCTTCTGGAGGGAGGTTTTGTATATAAGCCTGCCTCGAGCTCTCGTTCGTTGGACTCATCAAACAGCTCAGCTTCCACTTCTTACTTTCATTCATTCATTCAAAGAGCTACTATACTATATTCAATACATTCATTCACATCTACATACTATTTTCAATCCGCAAAATGCAAATTCTCCAACTTCTCGCCTCTGCCGCACTCCTCGCGGGCTCCGTCCAGGCCCATGTGCGCCTCACCGCCCTCAACGGTGATACTGGCTGCGTCCGCCTCCCCCCCAATAATAGCCCCGTCACAGATGTCACCTCAGACGATATCGTAAGTCCATCTACCCACCCATTCAGTCATTACCAATTAAACACCGTACTAACCATCCTTCTAACCAGATCTGCAACGTCGACGGTGCCACTCCTGCCGCCTCAGTCCTCGACGTCGTCGCGGGCTCCAACGTAACCGTAACATGGGACACCGGTGCTCACCCGGGCCCCGAGCTCGCCTACCTCGCCAAAGTCGACGACGCTAAGACAACGAAAATCACGGGCCTGTCATGGTTCAAGATCTACCAGGCCGGCTTGGAGGGCAGTGACTACCACTGGGCGTCTGCAGACGTGAACGCAGCAGGAGGACTATTGGAGTTCACCATTCCCGCGAGTATCGAGAGTGGACAGTACCTACTCAGGGGAGAGACGATTGGATTGCATGTGGCGAGCACGTATCCGGGGGCGCAGTTTTATATGTAGGTTTACTCCGCTTGGCTAGGTTTAGTTTGTTTGTGGAGAGTTGGGAGCTAGAGAGACTAATTTTCTGGATAGGTCTTGCGTGCAGATTAATGTCACCGGTGGCGGGAGTGCGACCCCTGCGGGCGTGTCCTTCCCGGGTGCGTACGTTGGCTCCGACCCCGGGATCACCCTCAACATCTACTACCCCCCCCTCACCAGCTACACTCCTCCTGGCCCGGATGTCTACTCTGGATAAGTTAAGAGCAACCAAATAGTGGTGGGAGTGGTGGTGGTGGTAGGGGAAGGTAACTAGTTGTTTATAGTTATATAAAAAAAAGTGTATATTTTGGGGTGGAAAAGGGGTTTTAGTTTTTTGTTTATAGCTAAAATATCATCTTGGCGAGTTTGAGACTCTCTATATTATCTTTCGCTATTGTTCATGGTGGTGCGGTGTGGTGAAGTGAAGTGAGATGAGGTGAGGTGAGGTGAGGTGGTGGGATGATGAGAAGGATGATTTGGAAGGGCTTGGTCATGAGAGATCACTCGTGGCTTGGTAAATTTTTACTACAGGGGTGGGTGGTTTTGCACGCACCACGCATCAGAATACTAAGCAGTCGGAAACCCTACAAGTACCATTTGTTGATATGGGAGGCTTAAAATGAGGTTTTATCACCTACAAGAGGGTGGCCAGTGTTTTCGTGGTAGATTGTTATTGCAGGGTTAGGTGTTCCCTAGCCCGCTCTGCCCTCACTCCCTTAAATATTACTTCCCGGCCTTTGACAGTTGTGTGGGCGAAGTAGTCTAGTGATAGACGCCTCGTCTTGCTACACCGTGTGGGTTGAGCCACCATGACCGTCCGGGGGTCATGTCATGGGCTCAACTCCGGGGGTGGGAGTAATGCTCTGGGGTGTACGGCATGTAACGGGGAGTAGAGTCCGATATACCGGGATAGTTGATCTCAGATCCTTCCGCGAATTAGGGCCTATAGCCCGTGAGGGGCGTATGGTCACACAGCATTACTTTTTTTTTTTTTTTTTGAGGGGCCTGAGGGCCTTAGTGGGGTATGTGTGATATCGATCCGAGCTCTTTCTGGCCGGCCTACAATCGCAGATCGAACTATCTTAGCTTCTCGCTCATTATTTGGCCAATTAGTCTCCCACATGGTCAGGGCCGGATGTAGGAAATTAGGCCGGCTTAGCGAAACTTTTTCAGACCATATTCTTTTATAGTATAGTAGATGCCCAAATTGGCTACACGGTCAACCTATAGCTATGATACGAGGATAGGTGATACCGCCGCAACAGGGCTTGGATTGGGGGCGTCGAGATGTAAGGACCGAGTGTAGATAGGGAGCGAAGTTATGTACTCAAGGATCACAGGATCAAGGAGTCGGGGGCAGACTGAATCACAAGTTATCACTCGATACATGGCTAGTAGGTCCTTGGTATCCGCGTTCCGAATATTCCGCCACGGTATAGGCTGGATGCGCCATCGATCGCATTGGCGATATGGTATCCATTCGGCCGTCAACTTTGTATCGAGACCGCCACCTATATAGTTTACACGTGCAGCAAAATCTTGACCACCTCTCTTCTCCATCATAATATATTTGCAAAAAAACCATAGAAATAAAATGTAAGAAGGAATCATTTTGATCGCATAAAGAATACACACTAACTACCGTCTTTAAGGCTAAAGGAAGCAAGGGAGAAAAGGAAAGAAAATTTAAAAGGAAACCCAAAAAAAAACTCCTCTAGGGCTCGGCAAAAAAAAAGACACGAAAAAAGATGCATAACTATACGTATAAACGCCATTCCCTAACGTACTGACAGAAACCAATATTTAATTACTAGCCCACGCGGAAGCTAGTCCAACGCACCCCTCACTCGGAGCTCTTCAACTAGCCGCTTATAATCCTTCAGCAACTCGCCCACTTCGGAGATTCGTAGCTCCCCAGGATCTTCGACATCAAGAAACCTCGCGATTGGTGGAACTCCCATTTTGACTTTGGGTAAGGAATTCGCAAGATCGGGGAATGTCTAGTAATCGATGTTAGCATTTTCTCAAGGCACTGATCGAAGATTGGGGGGCAACATACAGATAGTAGATCCACAACAGGCGCGCTGTCGTCTCTTTTATGGGTATGTCCCTTATCCGCCGCACCTACAATACCCAGCCCTTTTGCAGCTCCCGTGAGAACATCCGTCTGTGACAAGGTTGTTGCTGATGCAGCGGGCGTGGTACTTCTTGTGAATCCTCGTACCGCGAAGCGACCTAATGAGGTTCCTAGATTTCCCAGCTTCTCTGCCGCCACTGCTGCAGGCGTCGTTGACGATCTCGGGGGTGTACCGAATGTGGTCTCCTTTTCGGTCTTATGGCTCTGGGTGCTTTTGATGCTGGCCTCACTTGCCACTCGTTTTAAACCTCCATCGTTCTCCGCAAACTTTTCATCGTCAAAGGATCCGATGATTGGGGAGTCCACTAGTTTGCGAGCATCCTCAAGTGTTTTAGGGAGCTCCTCTCCGCGCTTCTCCATCTTCCCGAAAAGAAACTTATAGCTACTTTCTAATGTGCTACCAATACCACGAATCCCCTGATCCGCAGTAGAAATAGCACCAGAAGCAATGTCGATTGGAGTGAGGTATGAAAGTCTCCTTGGCATCCCGCCCACATTGGCCGCATTAGCAGCAGAAGGAGGCTGGAGTGACAATGTAGATGATGATGCAGATGGGTTTGCCCCAATGACCTTCACATGCGGTTTGTTCGCATTCTCAGCGGCTGCAGCGTCAGCATTAGCATGAGCTGCCGCGAGTTTATCAGTGAGATTGCCTAAAGGATCGCCAACTGGTGCCCAAGGGATTTCAGGCGTTCCTGCTTCAGACTCTTCTTTCGGAAGAGGACTTCTGCTCCTGCTTCTTGGACGGCCTTCGTCTGGGTCTTCTACTTTAAGAGTGGCCAGGTCGACAGTCTCAAGGAATGAGATTGCAGCTTCAAGGTTTGTTAGACAATAGGCAGCCTCCCCATCGATCGCTTTCTTGGCCCGAAAACGTTGGATAAAGAAGAGGTTTGAGATAATATTGAAGCTTTGTGTAGGGGGTGATATTATGAGCGTGTAAATGAGAGTGGGAAGTATGAAATCCGCGGAAGAAGATGAATTGTGCGTTGACAACCAGTCTGAATATTTTCAGTCAGTAAACCTTACTAAAAGTATAGAAATATTTTATCATACCAACGATCGCTTTGTGTGCCTGCTTCAGTGATTGCAGCTTCCCTACAGGATTTTTCGGATCATTCATCGCTACTAGTGCCTCTACCGCTGGCCGGAGCTCCTCCTCAATATCACCCTGCACCCCTTCCAACTCAACTCCCAGGTGCCCCAGCTTCACACCAACTACATTCAGAGCTGCCATCTTGCTTCTCAAACTCTCATCCCTGGCTTCGTCATCCGTGCTTTTATGCCTCCACAAGCGATCATAGACACCTTCCGTAATCCGCTTCTCGACGGCTTCTTCCAGGGCTAACCGCTTAATATCAAGCATCTTCCTGTCACGTTTCTTCTGGGCTATTTCCTCCCTTGACAACATTTGCGTCGGGTTTTTCGACGATGATGGAGAAGACCGGGGTTTCTTGGACGCAAGTGACAAGTAGGAGTGCGAAACATGGGTATCGACTTGCTGGAATGCACTGATGTAAAATTGCTGAAATAGCTCTATAAGTTGGGCTACTGACAATGGGTTGGGGTGGACTTTGGCAGACAAAGACTCGATAAAGCTGATGTTCTATTAGACCTAAAACCTATTTCCCAGAAAACGATAAGAGGTGCAAACCGGTCCGTCAAACTAAGTAGTTCAATGGGGAGCTCGTCAAATCCTTCAGGAAAGCTGGTGGATGACGGCTCTTTCCCGGGATCTTCTTCGTCATGTTCTTCGATGGGAGACGGAGTCTCGGAAACTGTTTTTGATATCTCGGGGATTGTGAGTTCACCTCCGAGCCGGGAGAGAGGATTAGTTGTCGACGGTTCGAGACGAGAGAACGAACGGGCGCCGCGCAGCGAAGGTCGGTCCGGGGAAGCGGATCTTATAGAGGAGGTAGCCGAAGCAGATTGTTGGTCGGGAACTGGGGTGAACAACATTCTGTGAGCAGCGATCATAATGGCGGGGGAATCAAGTGCAGGCAACAATAACAATAACAACGACTACGAGAAAACAAAGGATATGAATGGGGGTATAAATGCGGGAGACTGCCAAAGTGCGCAAAAGAGAGTGATAAGTAGATAAATGAATTCAAATACCTCGTACAGACATGGTGGGCAGAGGCTGATGCTAACGGTGAAAGTTTCCACGTATTCAGGTGGCCCAGGGTTTCCGGCCAGCTTGAGGAGGCTGTCGTGATGTTGTGCCGCCGGTTGTGCTCGTGCTTATCCTCCTTATCGACCAAGCGTGATGATAACTGCTGAGGTGCGGGGCAGAGAATGTTACGGATGTAAAACAGCCGAGGCTTATCGATTGGCTCGTTGCACTTAGTAGGTTATGCATATAACGGTACAGACCGGAAAAATTATTTATTTACGTTTTGTGTCCGAATCAGGACATGTTCTACAAAATGTCTACGCTATTTGTACATTTATAGACTAGGGGTTGGCCCGGTGTTACCACCACGAAGAGTGATTGACGACCTAGATATAAGTCCAGCTGGTGTCTGGAATACAAATTTCGTTGTGAACAGATTTGGTCTGCTGAACGGAATTACTCATACTTTCTTTGGGTTACTTCCAGCTTACTAAAAAAGGATTAGTAATGAAGCAAAGTAGGCCGGGTTCATATCGATTGCTACTCGTAATTTCACAGCGTTTGTGGACACGACCACTATTGCATGCCATATAAAAAAGTTGTCTTGACGGTTTTTTTTGTCTGTATGTAATAGCGGTCGTGTTCACAAACGCTGTGAAATTACAACATTACCTATAGTCATGATCCTCATATGACCACCCAGAGGTTCTGTGAGAAAGAAACCTCTAACGGGCGCTTGGTGGTCGACAGACCTCCTCTATAACCAAGTGATCATGATGTACGATATAGGGAAAGTTACAAGAAGTACATGTATGATCTTAAAAATTCATTTTATACACCTTTCACTCGAAGAAAGTATATCAAACAACCTTATCTTTTTTCTTACCCCACGAGCTGAACAGCCCACTTGCCCAACTCCAGAAGCGCTTGAAGAAACTTTTCCAACTAAACTTAGCCTTCCCGCCTGACTTCTCGACTTGCTCATGAACAGTATTGACGAATATTTCCTTTTCTGTCGAACGAAACATTCATGTGAGTAAACTTTCTCATATCATGGAGATATAACCGAGCAAAAGGGGAAAGAACTTACCAGGTTCGGAAAGCGCAGTATAAATGCTCATCATGTCGTCGGTCTCTGTTTTGGTAATTCCCCACGGGAGGAGCGTGTCGAAAATCGGGAATCGAGACAACAAAGAGCCGGTATTCTGCTCCGATTTTGGCGCATCTAGTGTATCTTGGTTAGCAGACGTACATGAAAAGAAAAAAAAAAAGGAAAAAATGCTGGAAAAGTGGAAATACCGGCAAGAGTGAACGTAGCATGCTCAACTCCATTGTCATAAACATCTAGTACAGGTTCGCTACCCCAAAGACCAAAAATGGGGGCCGCTTCTGCGATTGACAGTAAAAGTGCCAAATAAAAAAAGACGGATAAAAATGTTGGAAGCTTCATTTTCAGAGTTTTTTGGTATATTCAGGAAGACGAGGTAGATGGGTATTTGTGCGTCGAGTGGGATATGTTGTGGGTTATAAAATAGAAACCTGGGCGAGAAGGAGGAAAAAAGCTTTTGGGGGAAACCAGGATATATATACCTGAGTCTGTGCAATGAGGTCAACGGGGAGGCCTACGAATACGCGATCGTACATGATATGCGTATTACAGTAATACATGATGTAGGTATCTTCTCACGATAAAATCCCGCTAGTCGTTGTAACAATGCTCTTCCATGTGCAAATTTTCTTAAAGTTGACACCCCATATGGCTAAAGCCAACAGGTTGTTAGGTCATCGAGCTGTAGTTTTAATTGTAGTATGACTCGGATGGTGGTTATGTCCTTATGCGTATAAGCGGATTTATATAATAGGACCATTTCTAATAAATTCGACCTACTTTGGCCTAGCGCTTGGGGTGCTGATGACGAATGGTGTACTCATAAAGTTCTGATGTCTGTGAAACAGACTGCTGTTGAATACCATCCTGGGGCCCGCCGTGTTGACAAATCTAGAGATCGTATATATTGTTCAACTTTATTCATGCAATTAAATGTTCGTCTACACGTTAAAGTAAACGCCTAAATATTGTTAGATTCCTGCGCAAATTTATCATTACCCGACAACTAGTGCGGCCATGTCCCCCTCTGATTAGCTAATCCTGCGGATCTTTCAACCCACCCGGTCAGCCTCCTACCTACGTACATATAGGCCATACATGTAGTCACCAAACGCTATAGCAAAGGGCCTGGTAGGATTAGTATGTGTAAACCAGTGATCGTGAGACGTATTACCTGCGCAGTTAATAACTTTTATATTTGGCTTGCGGGGTGGTTTTATACCCAGAATTCGTATGTGTTGTTATCACAACAATATCTGTACACTTCAGGTCGTTTTTCAAACTAAGAATGTCGACGTTATATAAGCTCAACACCGTGGAAACTCTCTCAAGAGAAGCTGTTTGCCGCGTGAAATTCCTTATAGACTTCCGCCTCCCTTTATTGTTTTTCGACTACTACTTCGCGCTTATAGGTTTCCCACGGCGCGTTGGCAGCGGCAAGTGTAGCCTCACAAATAACGGACCACATTCGTGGGGCCGCCTTTTTGAGAGCGCGAGCTCACAATACTTTCATGGCCGACTCATGACCATGAGAGCCTTACGCGTAGAATCACCGTCGGCTCCTTATACCAAACAGAATTTTGAGTTTGGACTCGTTTCTGGAGGCGCTGTCTAAGATAATCGCCAAACACGCATTCCGACAGGAATTAAGCATCATATGCCGTCGGGACAGTGCTGACTCTTTTAAAGGCCAAAAGATGACTAGATTCAATAGTCTCTATTGTTTTTGTTAATATCTTGCCCAATTTTGCTGTGATCTTTTGTCTTGCCAGAGAGGTGCTAGCATCATGGTTTTGGGACACCTATATCCCTTAATTCATGAGTATATCTGTACGATACCATAAGCTGGCTGCAATAGGCTGTTCGGCCAGCCCTCGATCGTCTTAATACTTTGACTCCGGAAAGCTAATAGGGTAAATTAGTAGATCCCCCTCTCCAGGTCAGACGCTTAGGTAAAGCTATTGTCTATCTCATGACAAGGCTCGGTCTCATAAGCCACACTACCTAGCATAGAAAGGGCCTAAGCAGACAATCATGAAATATCACTCGACATCTCGAGTGACAGCCCGTGACTATATTCACTCCGTTTCTATCAACGTACAGCGGAAAGAGCACACAAAACTATTCCTGGATCTGTATGTTTAGTTCGCAGACTTATCCCCCTCTTGTTCTGCCAAGTTCGCAACATCTTCTGCGAAGAGCTTCTGAAGGTATTACTTTCCGTTAAAAAAACAGTATCCAGCAACATCAACAGAGAAATCCCTTGACAGTTGATGATATGCGCGGCTATGCACCTTTGGCACGGTTATTGATGCATTAGGCTGATATATATATCATGACCAAAGTTCTCTCGGTTTCGGGGAATCTTTATCCCGTGTCTGTAGTACTGCTGCATCGATCTGGTATGCCTATTTCTAGACTCTGCAAATAATACCCGGACCGTGTCTTCCTTGGTCAGTGGGCTGTGCTGGCTCTGAACATATTCCAACTACCTTCTGTAAGAAAGGCTGACGAGCTCAAGTCCACGCCTCTCCGCAGCGGCACCGGACATTCCAGAAATGGGCAAAAAAAAAAAAAAAGCCACATTAGAGCTTCCCGCGAGATAGGTCAACGTGGTGAAAGAACCCGGCACGGAAGTCTGAGCTGTAAGCTACTATGACCGGGAGTAAGTTAGCCTGGGTCCTGAGGGCTTCTTCTGCCGTAAGTTCAAGCTTGATGTTTCTAGCGCGGCTATCGCTGCATCTTGCTGGTCTCGGAATTGTGCTGCACTTTTAAGGATGAGCCGCTACTCTGGGCATGGGCCGTGTGCTTGTCCATATCGAGGGGTCTCTTCCAGTGGTGGAACAAGTGTCCATGTCACAATCTGTTTCTATCAACAGATGTAACATCTCAGCCACGTCCTTTGGCATATATGACGAGTAATAGCGGTGGCCTTCGATCTCGGCGTGATAATAAATCGCCTTTATATTTACCGGCGAAGCCGTGATGCAGCTGGCGAGCCTCGCTCCCTGTAAGTTAAGTCTTGCTGCTAAGTATGTTATCCCCTCGCGGCATCGGGGGCGGACCTGGGGAGAGAGAGAGAGAGCTCGTCGTTCTAATGGCAGCGGGCCTGTGGCAAAACGGTGGAGTGTAGTGCGGAAGAAACAAGGGAAGCGGGGTAAAAAAACGTTGTAGAGGCTTCTAGCCATCTCTTGTCGCAGTTGAGCGGGTAACTTTGGAAATGATAAGCCGCGGACGGTGCGTTGAGTCGGGTTATATTTATCTATCTAGCCGCAGAACGTCACAACCTCCCTCTCATCAACACCACTCTCGAGCCCTTCAGCCTCGAGGGCGGAAGAAGAGTCATCGGGTCCCATCATAATCTGACTAGATCATTGGCCATTACTACAAGCCAGTGGTGTTTGACCGATGGTATAGCTCGCATGAGCCAGCACAAAACCCCAGGAATCATGTAACCGCCGAATAAGTTAGCAATAACGGAACGGACCGGCCTCGGGATCACGAACCATCACTCGTATAGTGTCACCGCCCACATATAAATCAAGCTCACCCGGGCATGCACCAACTCACCCAACCAGCGCCCCCCCGCCAGATAGAGCACAGACAGTGATTTAGTTCTTGAGAATCAGTGTATATTAAAGACCCGCTCGCCCTGCGAGAGGCCACAAACACAGGCATAAACCGATTATCATTATTTCTTGAATACACTTTCCGAGGTCCACGTCTACACGTAAACAGACCTCCATCTCCCGCGTCCTAGTACCAATACCACCTGTATCTGCAACGTACAAACACGGCTCGAAACACTTTTAGTTGATATAAAACCCACAACCACCCACTCAACCCTCCTCCCCAACGCGACTACCTCCCCATCCTCAACACAAACCCCGCCCCCACCTCCTCCTCATCCCGTCCGCCAAACAAGCCGCCCAAATCGCCCACCAGCGCCGGCGCCTCCCCCCTCACGGGGGCACTGGGGCTCATATGCCTCCTCCTCTTCTCCTGTCCCGCCTTACTCGGGAACGTCGGGAACATCTCGGCGCTCTTCGGCTTCGGGTCCTCCTTGAAGTAGGGGTGCTTCAGCACGTCCTCGGCACTGATGCGCTGCGCGGGGTCGAGCGTCAGCAGCCGCGAGAGCAGGTCGACGCCGGCCGCGGTCAGCAGCGGGAACTTCGTGCGCAGCCGGGGGCCCGTGAAGCCGGGTTTTTTGGGCAGGTTGAGGGCCTTGGCGTTGGGGAGCTTGCGGAAGGTGGGCCATGTTTCTTCCGTGGGGATGCCGCAGAGGTCGAATATCTTATCTCTCCATGTCAGTACCGTTCATAGATCTCCCACCCCCCCTAGTTGAGGTTGAGCGGGAGGGGAAAATACGCACCTTCGCCAACTGATCCACTTCATTCTTCCCCTGCAGCAACGGCTCCTTCAGCAGCAGCTCGCCAAAGATGCACCCAATACTCCACATATCGACCTCGGCGCCATACGTGACGGCGCCCAGCAGCAGCTCGGGCGCGCGGTACCACAGCGTGACCACCAGCTGCGTGAGCGGCTCACCGAGGTGGCGCGCGAGCCCAAAGTCGGCGATCTTGAGCTGGCCGCGGTTGTTCATCAGCAGGTTGGAGGTCTTGAGGTCGCGGTGCACGATCCACTGCGAGTGCATGTGCGCGGTGGCGGAGACGAGCTGGTGCAGGAGCGTTTTGACTTCGGACTGCAGGAAGGGCTCTTGCATGTCTTCGCTCAGGATCTTGAGGTCGTGTTCGATGAAGTCCATGACTATGAAGACGCTATCCGCCGGGGGGGGGGTGTTTGTCAGTCTCATCTACCATCCTAGAACCTCTCTAAAAGAGGCATTCAAGATATCGCAGAGTAGAGAAGAAGAAGAGAGAGAGAGAGGGAGAAGAGACTCACTCCTTCAACGTATCCCCCATCACAATCTCCCTAATATTCACCACATTCGGATGCCGACTCGCCAGCAACGTCGTAATCTCCCGCAGGCTCGTAATCGGAAACCCATCCGTCTCCCTCTCCAGCTTCAGCCGCTTCAGCGCCACCACCTCCCCGGTCGCCCGGTCCTTTGCCCGCGTCACAACCCCATAGCTCCCCTCCTCGATCCTGTTGAGCGCCTCATACTTGTCGACGTGCGCGCACGGCGCCAGCTCCGGCGCCGCGTACCGCAGCAGCTTCAATGGCGCGTTCGGGTCTGCTGCTGCCGCCTCGTCCTCGTCGATGCGCCGCCGTTTCGTGGGCGGGGATGTGGCGGTGGCGGTGGCGGTGGTAGTGGGTGTGGAGGTGCTTGCTGAGGCGGCTTTGGCAGCGGCCTTTGCGGCCTTTGCGGCGCGACGGGCCTCTTTTTCGGCGCGGCGGGTGGCGGCGTCGGCGTCGTCGGCGGGGTCGGCGGGGTCGGAGGATTCCCAGCGGGATTTGGGTTTTGTGGACATTGTGGACATTGTGTGTGGAATTGCGGGTCTGCTGGTTGGGGGGGGGGGGCGAGTGTGGGCTGTGAGCTGTGGATCGAGAGCAAGAGCTGCGGTGCGGTGGTGTGTGGGTTAGGGGTTAGGGGTGTGCGGTGGTTGGGCCCCTGGCTGTGTAACCTCCGTCTGTGTGACATGGCTTGCGCGTGGCTTGGCGGTTTGGTAAGAGTCGAGTGATGGCTGGTGATGGAGAACGTTTGCAGGTGTTCACTGACTGGAGGTTTGAGGGGCAGGTTATCAACAGATATTGTCACCCATGGCTACGTCACACCAGACCAATAGCGTTGGTTCCAGAAATGTCAATGGCCATGTCATTGGGCAAGTAAGATATCTTTGCATATCTACTACATGTGCGTAGATAGATCATAGGTAGGTAGACAAGTGCATATATTGTATTCCTCCACCGTGTAGATCCGAAATTAGCGGAATCGATATAGCTAGCCTACTGCAACGCTCACCGTAAAGTCACCCACCCCTGCGCATGCAAGCCGGATTGGCTCCTACTCGAGCACTGGGCCCTTTGTTGCTTCCTGGTAACGGTTTGGTTATGTGCAGGTTCTGTTATCTAGGAGGAGGGGAGTAGCGGGGAGGGCTTCAGAGAATCTTGTTGTGATTTCTGCTTTGGCTGTGATCTTGGCCCGTCCAGACTAGCTGTTCCATCGCAATCATTTCCCTGCCCTATATATGGCCACCTCATCCCACTCCACTGTACTCAATCTAGCCTATACCTACCTACAAACCACACCACACCCATAAATAAGGGCAGTGGATCATCGGCAGAGCGAGAATGCCAATCAAGAACCACACATATATACAACAGAGGAGCATGCATATAAGCTGGACATAACAAAGCTAGACACTCAGCCAAACTACCCCGCCCCGATACCTAGTAATTTATATTCCAACCTTAATTATCTGCACCCCGGATTGCGACTACGATATGGGCTTTGATAATGCGGTGTAGGTCATGTTTTATCACTCGAGTTGGTGGATTGCCCTAACTCGTGGCCGCGATAAGTAGAGGTCATCCATTATCACTCGGTGCAGGGGATTGGGATTGGGGGATTGGTGGTCAATCAGGGCTAGGGCAACACAGGATAGCTATTACAACCACTGGCTCTAACCACCCTCCGCATCTGTTGTTGATATAGAGGTGTTTCTAGGACGATTTAACGTAGGTACATGCGTGCACACAAAGATATAATTTAGGGTACTAGTGGGAAGGACATATTGAAGCCATGGGAAATCCTGAGTCGATCGAGTTACCCACCTTAATGGCTAGCCTATATATCTCATTTTAGCTTTTGAGCTTCTTCACTATTGCGAATTAGTGTCTCTACGATAAGAACTCGAATATGCGTCTAGCAAAGTTCATCTATTGTCACTCGAAGGGTATATATCCCACAAGCTATTCTCTTCAGTTAGTAGCCAATCATTCAAAGCTAAAAAAGAAAAAGAAGAAGGAAGTCCAGGTCAGCAAGTTACAAATCTGCACAGCCCCTCAACAAACGATCTACCAAGTCGCCTTCTCAACAACCCTCCACTTATAATCCGCCAACTCGATCTCGTCCCCCTCACGAATCTCCGTCCTAACCTCAATCTGCGACGCTCCATTCGTATTCGCCACTCTCCTGCCCTGCACCTCTTCAGCCCGCTGCTCCACACACGCAACCATACACGGCATCACCCCCTCCCCACACTTCCACACCCTCGACCACTCCGTCTCCCCGACGCCCAACACCCACCTCTCCGCCGTCACCTTCCCATCCACCTTCATCACCCCCTGACACCACCTCCCCAACCTCACCACACAGCCCCTCGCCGACGCATCGCTCTCGGGCCCAACCCTCCTCTGCGCATGCTCGCCGAGCACCAGCACCGCCGCCGCCCTCGGCTCCGGCTCGGTGTCGCGCCAAACCTCCTCATAGTCGCCGACGAGGCCCGTGTCAAAGTCGAGCATTGTCCCGCGCTCCAGCCAGTCGCCGTTGGCCAGCTGCGTGAACGTGCCAGAGTCTTCGACAACGTCGTCGTAGCGCGAGTCGACGGTGTGCACCCAGCGGCCGACGTCGCCGCTTTCGGACTTGTGCGAGATGCCGGCGAAGCCCCAGTAGAGGTTCTGGGGGGCCTGGCGCATGACGCGGAGGTCGACGAAGAAGCGTTTGGGGGTTGTGAGGACGAGGGTGTTTGTGTGTTCGTGGGGTTTGGTGTTGGGCTAGGAGGGAAGGTATAGATAGAGGTTAGATTTTTTGATTTGGCTGTAGGGAGAGGGAGCTAGGGGTGGGGGGAGGGGTTTACCCAGCGGATGGAGATTCGAGAGGAGATTGAGGCCATTGTAATGAATGTGTCTGTGTTTATTTCGAATACTATGGAGGGTTTGGGGGTTGTCGAGTTTGGTGGAGGTGAGTTCTCCTATGCTATCCTGAGATATGAAGTGAAGTTAAGCTGTGTCCTGGGCTGGGGGGGACAGCTAGCTGTGATATCATCTACTGTGGGGTAAGTACTGTAGTTACATGCTACATATCATTATCGTGCCGCGGAAAATTGTTATTCCGCCATATCACATTGTTCGGGAAAATCCGTGATAGGCCAAACTCTAATTAAACTACGGCAGCTGTATTGCTTGCCTTCCCTGAGGAATCAACATCGTGATAGCCTCATCGCTGGAATGCGATTCTGGAAGTGGTAGGAGGCCAACCATGCAGTGATGTGTGTCAAGGCCTGACCAATGACCGTGTCGCCTGTTTCAAAATAGGATGGATATCAACGGTGCAAATAATACTTGCCAAAATCGAATTGGTTAAATGTAAAGACACTTGTTAGAGGTAACCGCTTGGGGAAATCTAAATAATCAACACCATTTCACAAGTTCTTTCTTTAGATGCACCGGCTACTACGTAGATGTCAACGGCAGCTAGCTAGATAGCCCAACGATAAGTACGTGCAGATAGCCAACTACGCGCTCTCATACACCACCATACCACATACTCTAGTTGACTACAACACACAATACACCACCTACCATGCTATCTTCCTTCTTCTCGCGGTCGCCCGCGACCGCCGAAGACGCGCCCCTACTCCACAAACCGGCGCTGGAGCGGAATCACACAAAGCTGTCAATGCTCGGTCTCGCATTCGCGATCCTTAACTCGTGGACTGCGCTCTCGGCCTCGCTCTCAATCGCGCTCCCGTCCGGTGGGCCTTCGGCTGTCGTGTGGGGTCTTGTTGTGTCCGGGGTTTGTAATCTGTGCCTAGCAGCATCGCTAGCCGAGTTTTTAGCTGAGTATCCTACGTGAGTTAGTTTTTTGTTGGGTTAGGTTGTGCGTGGTGTGGTGTAGTTGAAGTTGGCTGACATGTGATGTGGTGCGATGCAGTGCTGGTGTAAGTCCATTCCCTTACACATGGGAAAGCTTACAGGGAGAAGTTTAACTTTGATTTTTAAATTTTTTCGTGACAGGGGCAATATCATTGGGTTGCAGTCGTATCACCTCCAGAATGGATGCCGCTGCTGAGCTGGATGTGTGGCTGGATTAATTGTTCTGGCTGGGTGTTTTTGGTCGCGACAGGTGGGAGCTTAGCGAGCCAGATGGTTGTAGGCATAGCGAGTTTGTTGGACCCGGTTAGTGTTGATATTGATATTAGTAGGGTGGCAGTTAGTAGTAATAATCTTTAGTACTTGGTAGTTAATGGTAGGGGATACATATGCGGATGCTGATATATGGATCGATAGGAATATGTAGCTACCCCAGGGCAGATGCTGTCCGTGTATGTTGCCTTCACGGTCACAGCTTTCGCGATAAATGTCTTTGGGAACCGTGTGCTGCCGATATTCAGCAGATTTGCATGTACCTACTTACCTCCCCTCCCTTAGCTCGAAACTCTGTTTACTTACCAGTCTTGTAGTCATCTGGTCCGTCTCGGGGGTCACCATAATCTCTGCTACGCTGTTATTTGCCTCCGCAGGGACCGGATATCAAAGCCCCAGCTTTGTCTTCACCAAATTTGTCAATCACACCGGCTGGCCTAATGGCATAGCCTGGTCCCTAGGGCTCCTTCAAGGCTCGTTGGCGCTAACAGGATATGATGCTGTCGCGCATATGATTGAAGAGATCCCACACGCCTCGCGTGAGGGCCCTAAAATCATGATCTATGCTGTCCTTATCGGTATGGTAACGGGATTTGGATTCCTTCTGGTACTATTGTTCTGTATGGGGTCTATCGAGGAGGTTATTAGTGCGCCGTGCGGGTAAGATTCTCCGAGTGAGATTCCATGACCATAATGAGCTAACCACATCCCACAGGCCTATCTTAGCGATATTCTACCACTCAACTGGGAGTAAAACCGTTTCTATATGTCTCTTGATGTATGTGTTACTACTCTCCTATACCTTCTGCTTCTAATAGGTTATGTAGCTTCCCGTTGGTCTGCCTTCTTTTTGGTACAACCACGATCATGACTACCTCGTCCCGTATGCTCTATGCATTCTCACGAGATCGAGGTCTTCCCTGTTCTTCGACCTTCTCGATAATACATCCTAAGCTCCACGTTCCGGTTAATGCGCTTCTCCTCACCGCGGTTCCAGTACTGCTCATGGGTGGGTTGTATCTAATCTCCACAGACACCCTGAATGCATTTCTGTCCGCTAGTGTGATTGCTCTTAGTCTTTCCTACGGTTTTCCTGTAGCAATCAATGTGTTTACCGGTAGGACGAGGTTGGTTGGGACCAAAGAGGGCTTCAAGATGACCGGATGGGTAGGTTGGGCGGTGAATGGGGTCGGTTTGGCGTTTGCGGCCGGAGTGACGGCGCTGTTTATGCTGCCGCCAAATGTACCAAAGACGTGGGAGGATGTAAATTGGTCACCGGTAGTATTTTTGGGTGTTGTTATTGTATCAACGGTTGCGTGGTGGGTGGAAGGGAGAGGGATGTTTGTAGGACCAAGAGTGGTACTCGTTGAAGAGGAGGAGGAGGACTAAGAGGAGGGGTGATGGTAATATATGGTGTTGATTATAAATTCAGGAGGTAGATTATAACGAGAGGAATGGGGGTCGGCGGTTCTCGGTAGTTTTATATTTGTTTAACCAGATAGTACAGCTTTCAGAGTTATTTCTTTTAGTTCGGACCCGAGTGTTTATAATAAAAAAGTATATATTTGGTAAAAGTAGGGCTTATATCATGTAGCCTATGATATTAGTGACCTGGAAAAATTTATTCTAGCCTAATCAGATGCAAGCTTGTAGTGTTTTGTTGGTTTAGCCCAACTAAATTGTCCGAGGGAACCCTGGATCATTGGAGGGTGGTGCTTGATCATCGAAGACCTACCGAGTCAAGCCTTATCCGGAAGATTCCTACTTCGCCGAACAGAATACTCCATCCTTTTTCCCTCTTGTGGAGTGTCATCCGTTCGGAACGATCTCTGAATGGTCTATAATGCGAGTTCTCGTGTGCAACCTATTATTTTATGTACTCTAGATGATACCCAGGAGGGTTAGAGCACAAAAAAATAGGTAGATGCTTATATGTAACCATTCGGAAACTTTTTAGACGTAAACTAACCGTTCGCCAATCAAGGTAACTCCACAATACCGGGGAAGCTCTCTTTGTTGTCGGTTGCGAGTAATAACCACTCTTCGTATGCACAGGGGGTATAGGTGGATTTTCTATATAGGTCAGTCGTTAATATCATCCTATAACCTCTATTCGGATAGAGTGCTGTGACCAGTATGATATTTTGAGTGAGTCTGGACTGTGGTCTCTTTCGCATGGCAAGGGTATCTGGAGCCGGGTGAATCCTGGTAAGCTGAAGACGCCAATAAAGATCCCAACGGCCGTAATGGATAATATGACTGCACCTATATGTAATCGAGTAGGCTTGTGTTGTGTGTGGGGAACAATGATGTATTGGACATGCAAGGGAAGATCTCGAGCTGTAGGACTTACCTCAATGTACTGCTTTAGAGCAGTGGGGTATCCAATCGTGTGATCCTTTCTCGATCGACCGTGGTAACTTCAGCTTTCGCCTGTCGTACAAGTCCCATTGCATATAGACATGCGCATATATATGCGGTTCACATCAACTAGGAGGTTGACCTGGGACGGTATGAGACGTAGGGTAGGTGGGGATGGACACGAGGCCAAATCTGGGATGTCCTCTTGAGACGTCGACTGCAGAAGTTGATTTATTGTACTAATCAGCCGGCCGTTGAAGCATTAAGAATCCATTAAGCCACAATTTTTACCCCCACACGTAGGTCGGCATTTTCCGAAGTATAAGCAAGTTATTCACAATATCTCACTCGTCAACCATATCCAATTGCATGCAATTGATTGGATATTTGATTGATTTAATTGATCAATTGAGCCAATGCTTAATTATTTAGTTGATTATCGCTCTTAGTTCAATCTTTTTGATACTAGCCTCTTTGAGCGATTAGGATACCCCTGTTGAGTACATCATACATGATGTGCAACAACTACACTGCATACGGACATCATGGATTAGAATGTATCTAGCTTCCAAGTACAACGACATCGATTGCAACGGAACACCGATTGCAACGGAACACCGAGGACAGGAATCTTTTCGGAACTAAGATGGACTTTACGGATAACTTTTCTCCGTATCTACTGACCCAACGGATCGACGGCACTCGGACGGGACCATTCTTCTCCGAGGGATTGCGTATATAATCTCAAAGCTTTCGAGCTCCCCAATTAACTGAAGAGTTCATCTCAAAGCATTTCACATAAATTGTCACCTAAAAAAAACCTTATATTGCTATTCGTGAAGATGGCCTCCGACGCAAAACCAACTGTTACTTACACACGCCTTGGCAATTCTGGGCTGAAGATCTCGAACCCTGTCCTCGGTGCTATGTCTTTTGGCAACTCCAACTGGTTGGGACCATGGATCCTGGGCGAGGATGAAGCTCTTCCAATTCTGAAAGCCGCATACGATAATGGCATCAACAGCTGGGACACGGCGAATGTTTACGGTTATGGTGACTCGGAGAGGATCATTGCGAAGGCTATTAGGAACTATAAAATCCCACGAGAGAGATTGGTCATTATGACTAAGTGCAATGGAACAGTAGGAGGTAATTGGAAGATTTTCTAATATATTGAATCCTTGCCATAGGACTGTCCTATACTATAGTACGGGTTCATGTCTTAATGGAGATCATTATCATCAAAATGACTGTCCTCTGAAGACAAAGCCTCAGCCCCAACAGCACCTTTGTACTGTCAATGCAAATTAGAGTAGAACTGATATAATGGTAATTGTTTTATAGACCCTGGTACTAGCATGACGGATATGCTCAAGATTCCAAACATTGCGTACACGAAGGAATATGTAAATCAGCAAGGTATGTCATATTCGTTAATCCAAAGATCAATAACGTCCAAAACTAATTATAAACATCTAGGGCTCTCTCGAAAAGCTATCTTCTCTGCCGTAGATGCGTCATTAAAGCGTCTTGAAACAGATTACATCGATCTCCTCTAGATCCACCGTTGTGATAGCAACACGCCCTTTGAAGAAACCATGGAAGCTCTCCACGACCTCGTGAAAAGCGGCAAGTAAGTTCCTCCTACTCTCCCTCTGATTCGATCTACTAACAGCCCATCAGAGTCCGCTATATTGGTGCATCCTCCATGTGGACGTGGCAATTCAGCGAATACCAACATATTGCCGTCATCAACAAGTGGACTAAATTCATCTCCATGCAAAACCACTACAGTCTCCTCTACCGTGAAGAAGAGCGAGAAATGATACCCTACTGCAAAGCCACCGGGGTTGGTCTCATCCCCTGGTCACCCCTCGCTCGCGGCCATCTTGCACGACCCGCTGGAACCGGGGGTAAGAGTTTACGGGGTGGGATGGAAGAGAATAGATCGAAATCGGCTTTAAATGGACTGTACATGATAGGGGCAACAGAGACGGATGCAAAGATCATAGGGCGGGTTGAAGAAATTGCAAAGAAGAGAGGGTGGAGCATGGCTACGGTAGCGTTGGCGTGGATCAATGGAAAGGTCACAGCGCCGATTATAGGGATGGGGAGTGTGGAGAGGGTTTTAGAAGGATTAGAGGCGGGTTCGAAGTTGTTAGATGAGGAGGAGGTCAAGTATTTGGAGGAACTGTACGAGCCGTTACCAGTTATAGGACATAACTAAGCTTGCGTATACTTGGTGTCTATACCATGTGTCTGGTTTTAAATCTTTTATAAAGTCATCATGAATACCTTGCGGCTGAGGCCGGAGTATATGACTGCATAACATACATGTATAGACTTCATCACGCCACGAATCATATATACAAGCCTCACATTCAAACATTCGAAAATCCAATTGTCTTTTTTGATCTACCGCAGTAATTCGTCTCAGCAGACGCTCACATTGACGTTGAAATTCTTTGATCTGGTCATTTGTCTTGAAAACGCCCCCCTCATCTTCCCTCATATGCGCTGTAAAAGGCAACTTCGACGTCTGTGTAATCGTCCGCTGAGACAAATTACTGCGGTATACATTTCATCATCACCAGCGAAGGCTCAAATCAATCATGGTTACACCTACAAACATACATGTGTGTGTAACGTTAGATCAACTAATCAGTGAAGCATACCCACGCATAACTACATCTTGTTTGTAAACTGGACCGTTATTGAACACCATACAAAATCATGGACTCGGCGCGTTTTGCATGGGATGCGATAGCAGTCCAGTCCAAAAACACTAGGAAAACACGACTGCCTACATGTAATGCTGCCCAGTCGATCCTTGACAGCTCTGCTTATTACACCTCAGCTACTATCTACGGATATATGGTCAATAATCCAATTGCACGCATGTGTGGCCACGTGGGCTTGTTTTCTTCAGTTGAGTGTAATTCACGCAAGGTACCATATATATTTCAGAATCCTATCATCTATCTTGACCACTAGCTGGTAGAGTACTAGGAGGATGCGTAGAGCAGTGTCCTTATCTTTGACCCGTAAACCGTTATGACCTGACTATGAAGATAGATCGGGACAACAGTCAGATCGACCGCCGACTTAATCTTGCTCATATGCATGGTTATGCCACCAATTCATGAGTCGTGTATTTGTGTTCTAACAAGATAACCATATCTACGGCCGCAGCTCTTGGTTAAACAGATAACTACAACCAAACCCTTTATTTGTCCGCGTCATTCATAGATCGTGGTCATTCATGTATGACACGGGCACGGTGCCGGTGATGAATAAATTTTAATCGATTAGAATCCAATACCAATCTTTCGGGGGGTAATTGTAATTGTGTGACAGCTGGTACGTGGTTAACTGCCTACATTGGTTGAAGATACAACTGCATTTAAATTTGCAGCCTTCTTCTATCTGACATTGCAGCCATTTCCAGGTCAATATGGGCGAACCAGCTAAGGTAAAAGGGGTCGATGCGCTTTTGCCTAGTGTGTAATATCATGAACAAGTCTGGATCAACCAAACATTGATTAATACTCACATGTACCCAAGCTTAAGGGCTCGTTTGGGAGCAGGCCCAAACGGAGTTTTGTGGGCAAATTTGTATGGCAACGGGAAAACTCCGTTTCATTTTTTTCATAACTGCGTTTTGCAAGAAAAGTTTGTGTTTGGCATGCCAATTTTGAACCTCCGTTAGGGAGTTTTTGAAAAGTAGGTACTACCTACTTTTCAGCTCCGTTTTCGTTGCAACGCTCAAAAACCCACCAAATAAATATCCATCTTGACAACCAAACTACACTGCTGTTTGGGAAACCAAAACTCCGTTTTCAAAAATCTCTGTTTGCACCCATCTAACGGAGTCGTTGCATAACGGAGTTTCATAACCACGAAAACTGCCAAACGGGCCCTAAGTTCTCCTCAGACAGATCTTAATGAAATTTCAGAGGCTTCGTTTTCGGCGCAAGATTTAAAAAGAGGGTTTTCTTTCTTTTTCAATTAATATGTACATGTATCTAAGGCTAGAAAGGTCTGCAATAGTATAAATCTTGGTGTTGCAGTAGGTCTAGGTTGCGCAGGCCTAGCTAGGCGCCACTTTAGAAAGTGCACTTTCTCTAACTTTATCACTACGGGCACGTGCCAGTCAACGTTTTCCATCGGAAGTTTACTCTAGAGACGCGAGAAGATTTGTTAGAACCCGGTTTCGAATTTCGATCCGATCAGTAGATCCTTTGTACCGTCCGGTTACGTTTGATAATAGACAAATTTTAAGCTAGACTAGCTTAAGGTTGTGACAGACTTCCCCTGGGCATTCAAATAGGACCAGGCAGAATAACAATCTCAATGCCACCGAGTAGAACTCCCCTTGCACCGGTCATTCGATAAAATAAATTTTAACCCTGCAGCAGGTATATACGTAATTCAAAAAGTACAGATATGAGTACTTAAGCAATATTAGTACATTGCTTATGTAGAGTACTCTACTAGTACCCTACTAACTTAGCGCCTCAAGATCGATATAATACATATGTATATGGTCATTCTCTACCTGTTTTACCTACGGGAGAAGTCCTTCATTAATTCAGATTCAAGTCTGAATGATATAGTCTATTAGATATATATATACATGTACCTACACGGCAACATTCCGCCACGTACTCATATTGTTCCGGCTACCCAAAGTGGGTTTTAGAAGTTTGTAATTTGATACATGCATTCAACTTTAGGTCAACTTACATGTAGCTAACGTTAACACGTACGCACAACTAGTGGTTTGCATGTATTTTAGTATACAGATGCACTATAATTATGTATTGATGGTACCTACATGTATGTACTGAAGGTTAAAGAACAATGATTGCGATCGATTATAAGTACATATAAAGTGCATGATGTTTTGAGGTTGGATTCATGATTTGGAGTACGGACGAGCTGTGATACCGGTGCTACGGTATACAGGATGTTGAATACGCCCGCAATTGCGCAAGACACGTAGGCTTTAGTTTTTTGACGAAAACCACTATGTGTAAATATTGATATATATACATAGTGCCGCAAAATTTGGATAAGAGAACTTTCCCAACTGTCATGCCCCTAACTACCCCCAAAACGTAAGCTCGAATTCGAAACGGATATCATTCGATAGTATGTTATGTACGTATCGAAATCAATCCAAACTTGATTAGATACCTGCTGACAATATCTGTTGAATCATATCCCAGTCCTCGCCCGCGTGTTTGGATCCCCCAAGGGCTCAGTATTGCTGTTCATTTCGCATTTGATGCCTTCGCGTGTGCGCATAACTAATAAATGAAGCCGGTGCCGGCGATTCGGTGCAATGAGCTCAGATGATCTTAAAGATAGCAGCCAGCTACCACTTAATTGGTCACACACATTTTTACTGTAAGAGCTCACTCTCCGTAGGAAACGGTGTATTAATCGGCCATATCTAGTGACTATGTGAAAATGTGGAATGAATCGATTACTAGTCAATTAGCCATGGCGTACGTCGCGGTTGATAATGAGCGAAATTAAGTTTTCTTGCAGCTTATATAATTGCGGCTTGAGTCGCTCTAGGGCTTCTTAGGCATGCTAACGGTCCTCAGTACTCCCTAATCGGATGTGAAGTACGTACCTACATACTCTACAGACTGCCTGCCTGCCAAATCGAATCTTCGACATCCAGGGCTCGGGCGGCAGATATATGTACACCGATGAACGAATGCACGTGATTGCACATTGTGAAATTAATCGATCGTTACACAATCAACGTCGTCACTCTTTGACTTCTAATTAGTACGTAGAGTCGAAATCTCTTAAGCCTACGACTGAGTTCAAGGAATTTTATTCATCCTGCCTAAAACCTTCAAGCTTCGATCTTAAGAAACAGACTGCATATAAACAATTTGGATCGTGAGTACCGAAGATCGATGCTCTATGTATTGGTACCAACACCCGAGTCTGACCTAAATATAATTAGCTAATTATAAACGCAGAAAACAAAATATGTAACAGGTATACAGCTACTACAATTTATACAATTGTACAATCGGATTCGAGTCTCGTAAATCCATGAATCCATCGAACACAACCAAGATTAGGATATTTACATCGTATATCAAGATCATATATAGATCTACACTCAGTACAACGTACGGTAAACCGTCAACTAAGAACACATATTACTAAACATCACCTGCATAATATTTCTATACACCCACTAGACTTTTAATTGATCGTAGCTTAAAATCAGCTGGTTCAAACGTACCTATTAGTCCAATATATGGTTTACGGTAGCAATACCCCCCCCCCCCCCTCTTTTCTCCCCAGCTTTCTCCCCACCCTGAGTGAGTATTTTTTAAAATAATTTTAGCTAATTATGTTCGAAGATCGCGTTATGGTAGCCATGCACATGTACATGTATGTAAAATAATCCTGAGTGTTCTAGAATTCCTCGAAGCTGCATTGGATTAAATAGACTAGCTCCGTATAAATGTGGCAGACATTGGAGAGAGAGTCTATGGGCGGACGCCAAACGCCCAACAGAGCCTGAATAGTGGCTCGTATTATAATGAGTTTCTAGGAACGCTCCCAATGACATGGCGCATGTCGAGAAGAATTCCGGGGACCAAGCACACATATGAAACTTGAGCCTAAAATGAGCCAGCCCTCTCTGAAGCCGAAAGCACCGGTTTTTATGGTCGGATAGGAAGGAGCATAGATATATTGTGCTGCATGTAGTTACAAATATTGTTCTTACCACCGAGGCCGGGCTGTACTCTTGGTACGTACTGCAGTACTGAACGGGTTAGTTATGGATGGATGCAATGGTGCTCCTGTCAAAACCGTGGGTGACATATTCTAGAAAAAATAACTACATGTTCCACAGATTCCTTCAACTCCTGCATGAAAGCATCACCGCATCATATATCAAGGTTAGAACACTGGTTTTCAGCACTTGTCGACAACTGCCACGAGTAATGATGATAGTAGACTTGCCATATTTCGTTTCTCGTGAAAGCTAGTCAGTCTTTTGTCAATTCTAGCAACGGTTTTATCTTTAAATACCCGATACCCAGCGGCCAGCTCTGCACATCCTTAAACAATTCTTCAGATAATCACAATAAAACTTAGCAGCTACCGCTTTGCCTACAGAAACACCATCACTATGACATCCGAATCTCCGAATTTTTCAAGCGGAAGCCCGAGCGGGATGAATACTGCCGGGTTGGCAGCTGCGGTAGTTTCGGCTGTTGCTGGCGTTCTTGCTTTGTTCAAAGGCTGGAAGGTTTGGAGGAAAGGAAAGGTCGCCGTGAGTGGATTATCAGCAAATTTCATCTGGAAATTACCGGGCTAAGACTAATCACTCTGTATTCATTAGAAAAATCACAAGGATGTAGAATCTGATGCGCATGCCGAAGATTCATTCAGAATCACAGGGACCTCAAATGACATGAGGATTAGCGGAGCGCCCAACACGCATACGAACGTCACTATTCAATTTATTTCTCAGCGTCCCCATCCTCCCATGTATCCAAGCAACTATAGTGGGTACGCAGCCTCACTGCCCAGCAAATAACAAGAGAATCATGAGAAGAGAGAGGTTAGCTTAAATCCGTTGGCTCCCTTCAGTCTCTTTATCTCTTTCGATTGTATTATCAAATGCTAACTTTTATAGTTGAGTGTACATTTTAAGCCCAGTCCCACAAGTCCGCCATATCTCAAGTAGGCGTGGATTTTGTGCGGGAGAAAGCCCCTGAGATCGAGCACTTTGATGTCTTACGGTGAAGTTTATTACATGTCTCAGCGTAGTTAAGTCCGGGTATGGATTCTCGAGATCTCTCTTGCTCATTTCAAATTTTGGTTATCTTGGATCGAGCTCGGAATCTAGGGTTCGTAGTGTTATTTGGGATTTCAAGTCGAGATCAGTTACAAGAAGCATTATTCCATCCGGCGCCAATTGCAATCTTCAAAGCTTTTAGTGCTTCAAGGTCTTTAGTTTCCGTACTTTCCCCGAGTTCATTTGTTTTTCTTTTAAGAGATTATATACCGTAACTACTTAACGGTCGTAGGTCTTGTAGATTATGATAAACAATATAGCCTCATTTTCTCCTAATATACATTTATACGGATCAAGTTCAGTACTAGTATAGTACAGGCAGATGAGATAATTACCTAGTGGCAATACATAACATGTTTAGGCATATTTAATACCGATGAATTATCATGAGCCCTATATATAACACCAGCCATGGTGATCTTGGTTATTTCTTAGCACCAGGACAAATTATCACCGCATTCTTAGGACTAGACTTTATTACATCACCAATGCATCACATGTACTATAAGTAACTGCAATTAAGGGCCCGTTTGGAGGAAGTAAAGTTTAGAAACTGCGTTAAGCAACAATCCCGTTAGCAACCGGCAAACTGAGAAATCCTTCAACGGAGTTTTGGTTTGCCAAACATGGATACCGTTTGGTGGGTTTAACGCATGTATTTTCATGGAAAAGCAAGTCAGACCTACGTTTTCAAAACTCCGTTAAAATCATCAAAACTGCACTTAAAAGTGGCATGCCAAACACATCAACTTTTCTCATAACGAGATTTTCAGTTTTAACGGAGTTTTTGGACTTTTTAACTCCGTTTAGGCCGTTGCCAAACGCGCCCTAAACACCTAGCTCTGAATATCAAAAACACCCCCCCGTCATGATATTATACACCACAGCACATATATATATATCTCATCCATCCGGGCATCGATACATCCTATTCATTAAACATATGCCCGGTGTCAGTTGCAATTGTATACTACATGGCTTGCACAATATTGGATTTTGTACGTTCTATTACAACCAATCATGATCAATCAAGCAACCGGGGCGATATAGTAGATAGACTACATGTCATGTAGACAGGTTCACTTACCCTATTTCAGTTTGATACTATCAATTCATATCAACCCATGGCCACCTCCGCTCCTATTGCCGATTTTTTTTTCCTCCTCGTTAAAAGTCTTGGTGCATATACATGGATACATTGTAGTGAAGTAATTTTAGGGTACCAGCTTAGTAATTGTGCTGGCTAGCTATTAGGATACCTTGATTCACTAATTCTAACGGCTGCACGCTATCAGGCGTCCAGTACAACTATGGTTTCCACTATTCAAGATTGCCTATCGCCAACTCTTGAAGTGTTGAAAACATGGGAACTGCCACGTATTTTAACGTCGGTCATATCTTTGTAATGCCAAATTCAACTAGTACTAGCAGAACAGCTGTCATGTGCATCGATATATCAAGCCTCTTTGCTAGCGTACTTCTATCTACATTTAAATATAATTGACATCCCCCCAAATCGCTTAAAATGAGGCACATATGTGATTTGGAGGGGAGAGAAATATCTAGATCCAGAGTATTGGACTGGTATATACTCATCCGCTTGTCAATGCGGGATGACACAACTGTCAATACGGGATGACTCGACTGTCATACCTTAACCTGGCAACATTACTGACACCCTATAATCTACATAGGTATAGAGGCTAGAATTCAGGTGTAAGATCAATTGATTGACAAGAGAGATAATGAAATCTGCTAGCATGAGCCATGCCCTTGCAAGGAAATTGGCCCCGATTTTGGGGGGCCAGTATGGGGCGGTAAATGTGTCAAAAGTAATTTTACCAACGGTAGTAAATTATTTTACCACCGGTGGTGAAAATAATACCAGTATGGATACCCTATAATGCTAATTTTTATGATAAAAGCACAGACCTTTTGGCCAAAAGGGGCCATATAATGCCAATATATATGAAAATTGTCCACCGGTGGGGAATCTCACCATCGGTGGCGGTATTTCACCACCGGTGGGAAATTTTCATAAGTTTTGGCATTAATGATTGAACATTTACTTATTTAGTATAGCGCAGCATAAAGACCGAAACTCAGTGTTTATACCGGTGGAAATGTACTAATGTAGGATAGCGTGCAGATACAATGACTGAAATTCAGTGCTTATACCACCGGTGGTAAATAATTTACTACTGTTGGTAAAATTACTTTTGACACATTTACCGCTCCATAGGCCAGTATCATACTAATAGCTTAAGGGATAAGCGATATGAATTAAAAAAAAAAAAAAAAAAAAGAGGGGGAAGGCGATGGGTGGAGGCGAGTGATAGCTCATGAACTCATTCAATTGCTAAACACATGTCTCACGAGGTATGAGACGAACCTCTGCGAATCCGAAGCCTTTTCTACCAGCTCATCTATAGAGATGTATGTATTGCTGGCAATATAGATGGACCCACAGTAAACCCGTTTACACTGTGTGATTACTACTTATATATCGACGCCTTCCCTAGCCATCCATCCGAACACCCCCCTCACCCGAATAGTTGAGTATGATTGGTACAGAACCGGTTGCAACGAAGATTCTCTCTTTTGAAGTTGACTTTTCGGGTGAGGGGGGTGTTCGGGTGGCTAGGGAAGGCGTTTAACACTCAGTTTTGTCGTGGAAGAGATTGGATAATGTGACCGATAAGATGAACCCATGGATTGGATGGTTTCTGCGCGCGTGAGCACGTTGATTTAGTCCACCAGTTGATAAAAACACGCTACACCATAAAAAAAAGGAATAGTCCGTGAGAACTGGATAACGAGGTCAGATGCCGTTTCAATCAGGTGGTCTGCGTGAGAAAGATCCGAAAGCATCGGCATACAAGAAACACCTCGAACGGAGCTATACCAATACCTACGCCTATCTCTTAGTCCGTCGATAAACGCCGCCCCTTTCCCCTTCCCCGTCTCATACCTAGCACAGATATAGCTGATAGTGTCAATCATTTGATTTGAATCAATCTCTGCTGTAGATTTTCTGTACCCGCATGAGAGGGGGGAAGGGGCAAGGGACAGGCAGCATTGAAAACCCAAGAAGAGTAGCCGTTGCACCTATAAATCTGAGTAGGCATGTTTTGTTTCGGGGGCAAGTCCTGAAGTCGAAAGCCATATACGAAGTGCGTTTATATAATTATGCGTTCCACAGCGGCCACGCAGTGTTGGCAGTCATGCATGCAGCGTGGAGGATTTATCGAGAGTTCGAAGCTTCATACATAGGGTAGTTGTGGGTTCTAAAAGCAGCTAGATGTATCTTACCAATGGTTACTTGGTGAGTGAAAAAAGAAAATGTCACGGTCTGCATGGGTGGTATCCAGTAACTACATAGAGTAGTGTAATGCGGCTACCATAAACAATGGAGGGGCTCTGCTTCATGTGCTATCATACGTCACAACTCCTCCCACCACGGCCTATCTACCTCCACAGCAATAATTATTTCGAACAACCATGCGACCTAGCCTTCGCTCACAGCTGTGGGTGTTCCCAAATCCCTTGCGACAGACCCTGGCTCCATCGCGACGTTGCGCTCGTGTCCGACATTCTTCGACTTCAACAACTTACTCAACCCCACTTGCGAAGCACCTCGCTGACGCTATCAAGGCTAATGGCCCAATCTCCCTCGCAGTATACATGCGGCAATGTCTTACGAACCCCGAAGGCGGCTACTACACAACCACCCGTACCGAAGGCCGTGATCCGTTTGGCCGACGCGGAGACTTCATCACGAGCCCAGAGATATCCCAGATGTTTGGTGAAATGATTGGGATCTGGATTGTCGCCGAGTGGATGGCCCAGGGAAAGAAAAAGGACGGTGTGCAGATAGTGGAACTAGGTCCAGGGAGAGGCACGTTGATGGATGATGTTCTTCGTGTATGTGGCCCTACCTACTTTCACTCACCCCCGAGGGTGGGAACGATGAGTTGACTGAATAAGTGACTGTAGACATTGAACTTATTCAAACCCCTCCGTGATGCAGTGAGTGAGATATACCTTATCGAGGCATCTGCGTCTCTTCGTGAGACCCAGCGGAAGCTCCTCTGCGGCGAAGCCACGTCTTTCGAATCTATCGGAAAGGGCGAGCGCTGCATGAGCAAATACGCCATCCCTATAGTCTGGTATGAAGACCTCAGCTTCGTCCCAACTAAAACCACCGCGACTCCCCCTACTTTGACAACTCCCTTCATACTAGCCCACGAATTCTTCGATGCGCTTCCCATCCACGCATTCACCTCGACAACCGGGGGCTGGCGCGAACTCCTCGTCCACCACCTCCCCCCGCGCACAACCCATGTCACCCTACACACCCCACGTTCCCAATCCCTCGAACCAGTTCCCGAGTTTGCTCTCACAACGGCCAAATCCCAGACACCACACTCGGCCATCCTCCCAGAGCTCTCCCCCCGTTACAAGGCCCTCAAGAAGCATGTCAACTCCACGATCGAAATCTCGCCCGAATCACTAACAATAATGGAATCCATCTCTACCCGTATTGGAGACTCAAAGAGTGGGGCAGCACTGGTTATAGATTATGGCACGGAGTCCACCATCCCCGTGAATTCACTTAGGGGGATCAGAGCGCACAGGACTGTATCTCCGTTTATCAACCCCGGAGAGGTTGATCTGTCTGCTGATGTGGACTTTATGGCATTGGCTGAGAGGGCGCTGGATGCTAGCCCCGATGTAGAGGTGCATGGGCCTATAGAACAGGGTACATTCTTGGGCATGATGGGTATGAAGGAGAGAATGGAAGCTCTTACGGGGGCTATGAAGGGGGATGATGAGACAAAG